GGCCAGCTAGCTACGAGTATTCCCAGACAATTATGCTCTGATTGCACACGTTTTAGCTGCCATCGAATGTCATTGCGATTCCGGATTGCATGTCCACCGGACAATTGTGCCTTCGTAAAGGTAGAGGTACCTTTGTTAATTGCAGTTGGAAGCGTCTTCTGGTCAATGAGCTGGCCGGGCGGAAGCTCCAATGGCACTTGATGTGCATTCGACATTAGTTCGTTAGCTGCAGCAAATGGCCAGCAAGTGGGCCAGCAAGAAAGGCACTTGAGCTCTGGCCTCAACGAGACCTGAGAGCGGCGACCTCTGGTCCGGCCAAACGGGCAAAAGGGTGCAAAATGTCAACTTAAGGCGCCGGCAGGTCAGGGCAGGGCAGGGCTAGGTAGGAATTATAAAAGGACTCACAGACGAATGCATTTGCTATGTATGTATGTATTTACTTGTCGTATAGTATATGTATTAAGGGAGGGGTGGGGATATACGAGGATGTGCATATACCAGGTGGACTGGGATACACTCCAGAAGGCATAACAAAAGAGCTGAAAATTAAAAAGAGACAAGCAATTAAAAGGGCTTACAGCGAGGACAAGGAACAGGAGGAGGGCAGGAGGAGGTGCTGGTGCTGGAACTGGAGCTTGAACGGGAACGGTAACAGCTGTAACTGTAATTGTTGTTGCCCCTGCAGCATAATTGCCGGCAGGATGCAACGCACGCGACCACTTCCGCTTGGCTGGCACTGTGTCCTCCCTGCCAGGACCCTGCCAGCAGAGCAGGCAACGGAATACCCGGCAAAGAACTCATAACGTGGGCACATTTTCCGCACAAAATAAATGGCAGGCCGGAGTGCAGCAGAAATTAATGGCAGTGCAAACAACAAAAGCCAGGCCCTGGGATCAGACGGGGATTGCCCACACCCCACTTGGGCACAGGACCTCTGTCCCGTTCCCCGCCTCCGTGCGCATCTGCTGATGCGTAAGTTGTCATCTGCTGAATGGCCAAGTCCGCAGTGCTGACGGCTCCTGCACCACTGCTCTTCCTGAGGCTGCGGCTGCCTCTGGCAGGGACTTTGCATAATGCGCATACGCCGTGTAAGCCAGTCGGGCAGTCGGTCAGACGCCCAGCCACCCAGCCACCCAGACGGCATTTCGCCATTGAGTGTTACTTCCGGTTTCAAAGAGCCCCCCCATGAGCAGGGCCCTGGCTCCTGTGGCAAGAACAATTATAACAATTGCCTTGTAGCTACACGAACAGCAAACCAACTGTGAGCAAAAAATTACTAACAAATTTCACAGTCTGAGGGGGTTTCGTTACGACCCATCCAATACCAATACATATATAAAAAGAAAAAATCTTTACCAGCTAATAAGAAATTTAAATTTCAAGCGTTTGTACATATGTACGCGGTTTGGCGAGTATTTATGACTAGACTAGATACTATTAAGATAATCAGATACTGGGTTCAGTTGTTAAGGTTATGAATAGTACAAAATGTATCCTGTAATTGCAATATTAATTCTAATTGTTTAACTTATTGAAAACTTATTGAAATTAAAAAATATTTATATTTATTTCCCAATCATTCAGTTCCCAAGTGCATGGACGCGCCTCGCAACGCAGAACTGTTCATGCCCTCGCTTCCGACTGAAGAAACAACGAAGCAGGAGACACGGCGATGAGCGGTGCGGGAGCACGAGCCCCAGAAACATAATGAAATACATGGAAGATGGGCAGGGAAACCCGGAGCAGCAGTACAATGTGTGAATGCAACTCCACAACATGTCGTGGCTCCAGCATCCTGTGCCGGTCTTCGCTACACACCACACCACCTCCGTTCCGGTCCGTTCTGTTCTGTTCTGTTTCGAGCCGTTGTGTGGGGCACAGGCCCATCATGGTGGCAATCATAATAATGGCATACAATTTAACAGCATTGCATATCGGAAGGAAATCTCAGTGGTCGCAATCTGGACCTCGTCTTCAGGCGGCAGCCACCTTTTGTGGCTGGGGCTGGGGCTGGGGCTGACGCTTGGACCTGGACTCATTGCATTTGCCTACTTATGTACTTAAGCTGGAAGAGGCGGCGCTGGTGTTGGCACAGTGGCTGAGGCTACGACTGCTGCAGCACGGTTAAAGGGGCCACTTTGAACGCTGTTCAAATGACAATTGCAGGTCTGGACCCTGGTCCCTGGATCTACAGGGAATTGTTGCAGTTGTTGGCCCGGCTTAAATGCGAATGCATTAACCAAATAAATTATGCATTTTTCTGCCATACAATTCTGTCGTAGCCGAGTAGGCCATGAGATTCTTCCCAGAACACTACAGTCAGAATGAAGAGACAGAGACCCTATATTACTGGTCCTTAAAGCCCCACCAATACCCCTGGCCAGCCATCTAATGAACATTCAAAGTGATGGGTGACAGGACCTTTCTACGACAATAAAAGCAGCCAAAAGGCACGATTTCCTTGGCATACTGGAGTCGGAGTCGGAGAACGACCGCTTTTCACAACGTGTCTAGGTCTTGGTCCGCTCTGATTGCAGGCGCCAATTAGCGTAATATTCGCAATATGCCTTTGTCTGCGTGTTCATTTTTATTGCATTTCTTGTTCTCTTTGAGGCGCCAAGAAGAAGACCCTGTCCTGCTTTCCACGACACATTGGCTGGGCCTGGTGTCGTGGTAAAAAGTTTGCAGTGGCAGATGGTTTTAATTGCTTCCTGGTTTGTTTTTTGCCAAGTCTTTGAGAATTAGTTTAAAGGCATACTTGAGAGCGAGAGCAAGCATCTAATTGATATTGCAAAATATTTATTGTTGCCAGGGGGGGATGCATAGCAGCCGGGAGCGCAATTTAACAAATGGAAAACCGGGAAATACAAATTGGAGCAGAAGGAGCCACAAGCCGCTTAGGGGCGAAGAGTCGCTCGGAGAGTCCGCTCGTCTGTTCAGAATCAAATGTGTGTCAGCCGCAGGTGAGTGCCCCCCGAATGCTTTTGAATATTTCCCCCTTTAAAATTTGAGTGCTGCTGATAACTTTACGCCTGTCACGCCCAAACATGGCGGGCGTTTTGTCCACCGTATGGAGTGCCGAAAAATGATTTCATTCACTAGCCAGCGGCGGCGCCATGACAGCGGTGTGCACACGGTCTTCTTCGGTCCGAGATATCGTTCCGGCTACAAACAGAACACGGAACGTAAACAAAACGCGATAGGGAAAGCCTCGAATGAAAATGGAAATATGTGCCAGTCGCTTATCGGTAAACAATGGAGAAAAAAAAGAGATATGGGGCTCGGGCGATCGACTTTACGACTGATTAACAGATCTATGGGTCTTTAATGCTATGCAAACAGTCCAAGAGGCAACTTATTTCTAGACTTAACGCTAAACTCGAAACTCTTCCTACAAAAATGGTTATATACAAAATCCGTCGCAAGCGTCGAGCTACTCCTCATCCTTGATGCAGTTCTCGACCAGTTCGCGCAGATTCGGATTCTCCATGGCTGCTGCAATGCGCTCCTTGTCATTGATTTGCTTATTGACTGTTTAAAAAGGGTGGAAAAGAGATACAATTTAGCAAATTCCCTACGCATCTCATTGAAGAACCATCTCACTTTCGTCTTCCGTTTGATGAGCTCCTTTTTTGATGTAAATGTCCAGCTTGATGTTGTGCGGCAGACCACGCTCCACCTTCACGCGTATACACAGCCCTATCAGCGTGGCTAGGGAGCAGTGCGGCACCGTTGGGTTGAACTCGATGCGTACCTAGCGTAATATCAAACAAATCGGCGATTAAATCACACTCGAGCAGACTGCGGGGCGTGCGTAACCTACAACAGATACATTCGAGCGTGTGGGGGGCTGGACAAATATGCCGTCCTCGTAGATCACATTCAGATCCTCCAGAGTGCAGGGCTTCTCCGGATCGCGTATGCCGCGCAACAAGTCTGCAAGCAAAAGACGCATCGAAATTACATAATTCTGGAGGGGGGTGTAAAAAAAGCGTAATTTTCCGCACCGTAGATGGTCTCCTGCAGGTCCGTGGCATTCCGGTAGCCAAGCTCTTGCAGCAGTGCGTCCTCGCCGTAGGCAATCGCTTCATTATCCATCGACATCTGACTCGTTTTGCGCACTAAATCGTCCGCTGATGTGCGGCCGCCAACGCTGTTGCTGCTGTTGGTAGTGCCGCTGCTGCTGCTTTTGTTGCTGCTGACGCCTCCGCCACACGACGACGTCACGGGTACGACGCTAGAACCTCCGTCGGACTCGGAGAGCTTGCGTTTGATGTAAGACAGCATATTTGAACGCCGTGTGGTGTTGCTCTTTGTCATAAAGGGGGAGCAGCTGCTCTCTTATCGGTAACAAACGATTTAATCTATTACGAATCACAACGGCTGCAACTGTATGAGGGTGCTATAGGTGTGGGTATGTGTGTGTACTCAGTGCAGCATAATTGTGGTTTATGTTTGGTCTAGAACGATTTTTTCGCCGCTTTTTGTTTAATATTTTTAATTAATTGTCACTTCACCAGCTGATTTTTGTTTGTGTAAATTCCAGGGCTGCACAGAGCCACCTTCTCTTTTCAACAGAGTGGCAGCGCTCTCGATACCATATTTTCGATAGACGATAGGCATTTCCAAACAAATTCGGCGCGCTTTTATTTCCAAAATAAAGTACATATAATTATACAGAAAATTAATCAGTTAATTAAATATAATTATGCAGATATCGCCTTGTCTGTGCAAATTGTTTGTTGACAGCTGACACTGCGGCGCGTTGGCAACTCTATGTTTTGTCTGCGTTCTTCTTAGCCGGCGCATTCAGCTCAAAAACGAAACGTTTTGTTTTTATTGCAATTCTACCTATCCCACTGTGCCCACAAATCTGATGGAAGTCGAATCGTTTTCGCACCATTGTACTTAACAACCAATCAGTCATAAAGCAGGCCTTGATTTCGAACAAACTCGGCCAATTTCGAGCTGCCCGAAAAAGTCTGACAAAAATTCATTACGTTTTATTTTGTCGTACGGATTGTTTCTTTTTTGTGAGAGCTCGTCGGAAAAAAGCAATTTTGCTTTTGCCTTTTGTAAAAAAAAGGAAAAAGTTCGTAAAACGCGAAAGAACCGGTCGAAAGTAAACGCGAAGCGGAATCAACAAAAAAAAGGTAGGCCAAGAAAATAGTGGTAAAGTGATAAAGTGCGTGTGAAGGCAGAGAAGAAAAATCAAGATGGCGCTGAAAGTGAACAAGGCTGGAAGTAAACCGTAGCTTTCCATTTCCATTCCGCGGTGTAGTGCCTGCAGCTACCTGCAATCCGACATTCCAAAGTCAAAACTTGGCACAAGCGGTTCGCGAATTTTTTTTGTTTTGGGAACAAATTTGCGGTTGCGTGAAAACTTTTAATTTGTGTCAAAACAGTAGGCTAATTTTTTTTCCGAATTTTCCTGGTGAATCTCAGATTGTATTCAAAATGGTTGCCGAAATTTCTGAATCTTCTGTTACCATTGCTGCTGCCGATCAGTGCGTGGACATGAAGGAGGAGCTGCCGGCAGGCAACTACATCCTGGTTGGCGTTGATATAGACACCACTGGACGTCGTCTGATTGATGAGGTTGGTATTATGCCAGAGGACAGGGTCGTTGACCCCTTGCTTCGGACATAACCCAACTTTTCTCTCCGTCTACCCTTTGCCCCTTTCCAGATTGTCCAGTTGGCTGCCTACACTCCAAAGGACAACTTTCAGCAGTACATCATGCCGTATATGAATCTGAATCCAGCCGCTCGTCAGCGTCATCAAATTCGTGTTATTTCGATCGGTTTTTATCGCATGCTGAAGTCGATGCAGACCTACAAGGTACATACATACACATACATACATCCCGTTTTGTCCACTCCTCAGATACATACATACATACAATATGCACTAATTCGAACATATTTTTCTCTTAGATAATCAAATCTAAGTCGGAGGTCGCTGCCCTCATGGACTTTCTCAACTGGCTTGAGATGCTGGTCTCCAAACAGGCCAACACAGATGGCATCGTAATGCTATATCACGAGGAGCGTAAATTTATACCATACATGATATTGGAGGCGGTCAAGAAGTACGGTCTGATTGATAGATTCAATCGGACGGTCAAGTCTTTTGCCAACACTTTCAATATGGCCAAGGCCTCCCTTGGCGATACTAATATCAAGAACTGTGGTCTACGCAAGCTTTCGATGCTCTTGGCCAAGCCCAAGGATGACATTTCCAACAAGGAGAATGAACCCGAGAATGTCAAGAGGAACGGCAGCAGCAACGATAAAGGCCCCAAGAATGGATTAAATCACGAGCAGGACTGTTTTGAGGGGAGCGCCAATGTGCGGGCCAAAATGGTCTACAACGTGGCCCTGCAGTTGAGCAACTCTGAAAGCAAATCCGAGCCAGAGACTTCGGATGAGGTGGCTAACCTTTTCAATGCCGTGAAACCATTTGCCCAACTTGTCAGCTCAGACGTCATGGAGCTGCAAACCCAGAACGAGAACCTGGGGCGCCAAAACTCATTCCGTCCGGTCTTCTTGAACTATTTCCGCACCACACTGTACCATCGTGTGCGTGCCGTGAAGTTTCGCATTGTGCTGGCCGAAAATGGCTTTACTTTGGATTCCCTAAAAGCTATTTGGACCGAGAAGCGCAAGGAGGGCTTGGAACTGGTTCTGACAGCGATTTCTACTCTGAAGCCCGAGGAAAAGACTGAGCTGCTGGATCTTCTGGACAGCTTCTACGACCCCAGCAAGGCGACCATCAAGCCGAGTTTCAAGCCCAATGGCACTCGTCGTCGCACTCGGGCCAACGGTGCAGCATCATCGAAGAATGGAGCCATGAGCTCCCGCTCTACCAGCGCCGAATTTGGTGCAGGTGGCGACAAGTCCCAGAGTCAATCATCTGTGCCCGACTCCACCACCAAGTCGCCCTCGCCCAGCAAGACGGTAGGACGTTCTCATCGCAAACGCAACAACACTCGCAACAGCTTTGCCAATGCCAAGGGACCCAAGAAGGCTGACCAACTCGCATCAAATACGGAATTGAACACATCGGCCCCGGAATCTGTACCCGTGGACAACGCAATGCCCACACAGCTGCCGCCAATGGCGCTGCCCACACAAGTGGCCATTGCGGCCACCAACTAAAGCTCCAAGGAGAGGGGAAACAGTGCAAGTAATTAAGTTCTTCTTTTTATATTGTTGCATAACTTTGCTTTGCTAGTATTGCTTTGGTATCTCCATCCCATGCCGAGATTTACCTTCTCGGGTGGGTTCGAGATTGTAGATTGTTGATTAATTTTATGAATTGCCTATGCTTGTAATATATTATTGAATTTGTACATATACATACATATAAATGAGAGAATCGAAACGTGATCTTTCAGTAGTTTTTCAGTATTATTGTTGGATTCTTATCAAGCATATCGAATTTGCAGCCACTAAAAGAAACAGACACTGAAAGCCCCACAAAAGGACGAAGTATGGAGAAAGAAATATTAACACTGCGAACTTTTCCCCTTTCAAGGCCCCAAACACAGATTAGAAACAATGTCAAAATTTTAAGTGTATACACAAATTTACAATGCAAATCTACATAGTACGCATATATGTGAGCGCGTGGCCCGTAAAGACTATATGAAGACTGAATGTTGTACAAAACACTCGCAGCCAGCCCGGAGCTTGCTGGCTGTCGAGAAGTGCTTAATCGAGACGTTTTAAAACTATTATTGTAACTTGGATGGTGCGCCCAGGTCCCAAGCGAGGTGCGCTGTGCTACGCTACCACACACGAAAATCAAATATCGACACATTGGAGCACGTAACTTCGTAATGAATTCGTAATTACGAATAGAGCGTACAAATCGTTGCGTTTAGGCATAGTTTTCCAAAAATACGATATACAACTGCACTGTACTGTCGAAGGGCTATTGGAAAAATATGTTCCTAATAAACGCCTCGATTAAAATTTTGCATTGGGCAGGTCGACATAAACACACTAATAATTAAGCAAACCCGTATCAGGTCCCTGGCCCAATGTTTAAAATTCCACTTAAAAGCCTAAGTACACACAAAAAAAACCAACACAAACCCTTCTGTATTCACACACAAACAATGAAATCAATTAAGAATGAAGCGAGAAGAAACTAAAAGCTCAAATCACCTGTAAAATGTCAAATACATTACTAATATCATGGTATATTTCATTTGTATGAATAAACGATTATAGTGTAACGATATATTGTGCGCATCACTACGCCCATAAGATGACCATCACTAAGTGTGACCGCATACCACTGGAAGGAAACATATGATTCGCCTGGCGATCGTTTCGTTTCCATTGCTAGTGTGGTTCAGTGCCTCTTGGTATTTGTTTTTGTGAAGGTTTTAAATGGAAGTCGATCCGGAAGAGCCTCAGGAGGCGAATACATCGTTCTACAATGGCTATCCACTTGACTTTGAGTACTTTAACATGGCCCACGGCATGCTCGTGGATATTAGCGAGGAGCTGCGCGAAAAGTTTCCCAATGAAGAACACTTCAAGTTGCAGCAACTGAACACTCTTTACCTGGCCGCTCGGAGCAGCCAGATGATGAGATTCGTGGAGGCTCTCAACACCTCCAACAGCAAGGCGGTGCAGACATACCTGGTCAATACAGTGAGTATCGTGGTGTGGCAGGTGCAGCAATGTTATGGCATGGAAACGAGCTGTGCGCTGCCTGTATTTACTACTGCGTCATTAATGAAAATCGTTGCTATATGTATACATATATGTATTCGGTTTATATGTAAAGTTGATGGTCTGCTGCCCGCATAGAGCGCATTTTATACGATCCGATCCATTGCTGGTTTTTGGGTATTTACTTGGTTTGTCATTGTTTATGGGAAAGTGAGAGAGAGCTATAGAACGGGAATGAGAAGCGATCCATATGCTCTTTCCAATATACAGGAGACACTCGATAAATAAGAAAATGCAAAGGGGAACGGTATAATATTTTTAGTTTCTAATGTTCTTGAGAACATGCCACAAATATTTACAGAACTTTATTTAAAAAATCGAATTGGCATAGCATCTGTCTAGCCTAACGGACGTTCACTGTACTCGTTTATAACTTTACTGCCTGCCAAAAAGACAAGTAAACAGTAATTGTGTTAATTTGCAAACTTAATGATCGATTCCACCGCACACTAAACTCTATTTAAGGCCTGAACAGTCACTGTCACATTGAAATATCTGATGGATACAGCACTCGGGGTGTACCAGTACCATCCATCTTTGACCAATTACTCATGGCTAGGCGTAGGGGGAGCGGCGGCGTCAGCACCCTCTCTGGACACGAACTTGGCCTGGCGCCAGATCGAATGATTTTCAGTTTCCTGAAATGTGCGTTTATTAATTTGTTTACTAACCAAATGTTCTGCACACCTTTTGCCAGGAGAGGGTATCGGATCGAGAGATTGCGCCTCTGCTGCGCCTTAATCTAATCGAACACAAATCAAATCCCATAAATAATGCAATCTTTATGGAGTCAGAAACACGATTGAAATTCGCTTTCAAAAGTCGAATGAATGCGGCGGCTTGGCTTACTCTGCCTCTTTTTCGATGACTCTCTGGAATGCAGGGTAACAGCTGCGGCCGGTAAACAAACCCCTGGATAGAATGCAAGGACCTCTCTCCGGGAACAGCTGTTTGGGCCGAGGGCTCGTGCGCAGGCGGCCGGCTCTCTCCCTTTCGATTCAACCCCCAAAGTCTCAGGGCAGTCTTTGGGCCCTTCCCTTTACGAGCATGTCTCTCATATGCAAACTTAGGGTTGGGAATCGAGCGCTCGTTTCACTGGCGAAGTTTTATCGAATTTTTTCGGTGTTCGTCCGGGCTGGCAGGACCTTCTATGCCTCGGCAGCTGCCAGTTAAGAATTAGATTCCAGGCCATGAACGCGGATCTGTATCGGTAAAAGATTTCCTCCTTCATCGCCTGGGACTTGGCTAACACACACACACACACACATCAATCTCTCTATAACATTGTTGCAGCACACGGAAGCGGTGGTACGAGTCCGCCTGGCCAGGACCGAGCTTCTGGCGTGGAGCTAACGACACCATGCCCGTGACCAGCTACATAACGTATCCGGCGGTGAGTGCCGGCCCCTGCAGCCATCAGTTTCTTGACCCAAATTCTCTCTAAATGCAAGGCCAATACGCAATTGCCAGCCGAAAATTGTCATGTGCTTGGACTTTGGCCAGCCTGGATGCTGTATGCCTTGCCTGCAATCGTATGGCGCTGGCTTGTAATTTGTACACTCGCCGTGCCAAAAGGCAAACAAAGAAAGCGCCTGCCCCCCCAACCGAGCCATCATTTGGTTCCGGCCAAGTGACAAGAGTTGTGCTCCGAACGGTTTTTCCCACAGATTTATGCTTTACATTTCGTTTTACATTTTCCGACGCACTATTTTCGTCCAACCTTGACTGTGAAACGGCTGCGCACGCACATCATAAGCTTTCCCGTCTAATTCTCATGCTGTCTCTTTTTGTTTTTCCTACGCTGTAGAATTTCGATCAGCCAGATGGACAATCGCTGACCCCGCTGACAATGGCCGCCATGTCGGGCAATGTGACGTTTGTGAAGACCCTGCTCTCGCACTACGACGTGGATCTGGAGCGGGAGTGCAACGTCATCTTCGATGGCCTGGTGGTGTATGGAGCCACAGCCCTGTGGGTGGCTGCTGGCATGGGACATCTCCAGATCGTAAAGATGCTGGTCCAGGCAGGAGCGGCCATCAATCACAATACCAAGGCGCAATCATCGCCCCTGCGAGCGGCCTGCTATGAAGGTGGAAACTGGTGTTTCTATGAGCTTCCTTCTGTGCGTCATTCATAACTTTTCGTCACATTTTAGGTCGCCTGGACATTGTCCAGTTCCTGATAGAGCACGGAGCTGATGTGAATGCCACAAATCTGTTCAACAACAATACATTGATGATTGCCGCCTACAAGGGGCACCATCTAGTCGTGAAAACGTTGCTGTTGAACGGTTCGCGTCCCAACGATCAGGCCTTGTGCGGAGCCACTGCTCTGCACTATGCCGCCGAGAGCAGCAATCTGGATGTTGTGCTGGTTCTGCTGGATCATGGAGCCACATTAAAGAAGAACGAAATCGGCATAACGCCCGCCCTGCAAGCAGCCGAGCGTCTGAATGACGATGTTGTCGAGGCGTTCATACAGCGGCCGGACCTGATGAGCCTGGAGGAGCGGATCACAGCACTGGAACTGCTGGGGGCCACCTATGCCAATGACAAGACTAAATACGACATCAATCGGGCCTATAGCTATCTGCTGCGGGCCATGCAGTTGCGTTATAGCGATCCCCGGGGCGTGATCCGCAAGAAGGTTCAGCCCCCAGTGCCCGCCTACGACAGTTGGTTCGAGACCGAGAACCTGCCCGAGCTGAACGCCATCAAGCTAAACCACCACTCCATACACATGGAGTCGCTGGCCATACGGGAGCGTATTCTGGGGCGCAACAATCCAGACGTCCCCCAGGCCATTGTCTACCGCGGAGCTGTGATGGCGGATCATGGTCGCTTCGACCAGTGCCAGATGCTGTGGAATTATGCCATCGATCTCCGCATGCGAAACAATGTAAGTAGAATTGGAGACTCGTCGTGATTAAGTATTTAAATTTAATTGAAAATCCATCCATCTGCTTGCAGGTCTCTGTGGATCGCGATCTGCTGCGCTTTGCGCAATTTTTTGCCCAGATTCTGCGCGCTGATAATCACCGCCTCACCCTCGATCACGTTCTGCCCGTGCTGACCAAGTGCCAACAGGAGATTGAGAACAACAAGTTCAAGATACGCCAAGCGAAGCCGAACACGTGTGCCAGTCTGCTGCAGGACCAGAACAACCAGAACTGCATCACTGCTTTGTATTTAATCAAGATTGTTACTCAGCTGGCGCGTCGCAAGAAGGACCAGGACATCAACGAGGCGCACATCCAGGAACTATTCATTGTGGTGCGCAAGTTCATACAGAACGACACTCGTCTCAACGACGGCCAGACGCTGCTGCATATCGCTGTCAATGGAGTGATGCCTGTGGATGAGTTCTACACGAATGAGATGTTCAGGTAAGCCATGAGATGTCCAGCTCCGACTGTGAGTATAGCCACCTCTCCTGCCTCTGCTAACAGGTTCCCCTGCTATGCCACTGCCCTGGTTTTGGTCCACTGCGGTGCCTCTGTGGTGGCCGTCGATGGAGCTCGCAACACACCTCTGCACATACTGGTGTCCAAAGTGAATTCCTCGCAGGACCGACAGGGCGAGATGGCGCGCATTCTTCAGCTGTTTGTGGAGGCAGGTGCCCACTTGGATGCAGTGAATGCCGCGGGACAGACAGCTGCCACCGCCTGCAAGCAGGGTGAGTTCCATTACTGCATAATCAGCGCATATCATCCACTAAGCATATCCTCCGTTCTGTAGTTACCTTGGCCAACCTACTGCACGGCCATCAGAATGCGCACACCAGCCTCAAGTGTCTGGCGGCGCGCACCATAGCCACACACAGGCTGAACTTCAAGGGTCTGATACCCACGCAACTGGAGGCGTTCATCCAAATGCACAGCGTGCACAAAGTGCTCCCGTAGATAGCCAAAATATGCCAGGATTACTGAGTCATTATAGCTGTGTGTAGTCTGTACTCTGAGTGTATTCTGAGCCATGTTGGAACGAGCACATTTACTTTTATGTATCAACAATATGTACATACATATGTGCAGCCATTAGCCAGCCGCCATGCGTGTGTGTGTGTGTGTGTATATCGAATTTAGCGACTTAATTTAGCCAAAATGAAGAAGGGAAACGTTTACGTTTTATTTTTGTACACTTTTTATTTATCAATCGCCATTCTTAATTTATTTACAATTACAATCTGCAACAACTTTGACTGTACTTGGACTGACTGTTTGTTTGTAACCATTAACCATTAATCGTTAATCATTAATCATAAATCATTAATCATAACCATACTTATTAATCATACTTCTGTAGAATCATTTATACATTTTTCTATGTAAAGCTATGTATGTACTATGAGTGGTGTAATTAATGTTATTATTCGCAGTGCAAGTGGGCGCAGGCCACCTAAGTTCAATCAATCGAATTGATTTTGTTTCGTTTAGGTGCAACTAAAATAAAAAGATCCAACTAAAATCTATCTGTAAATCACAGCGGACAATGACAAACTACCAGTATGTACAGATCAAATCAATGCTTAGTTAGGTGGACTAAATATCTAAATATTAGCATCGCTTATCTTGTGATTATTGTGGCGAACCTGTGGATAGACCTGTGGCTGGCGCATCACCTCCTCGTACGTCGGTGGCGGAGCTGAAAATTGATGGAGGAACAAGGTAGATGACTCCCCACACAGACACCACACTTGTCAGCTTGCTTACCATTGATCACATAATCCTCGTCGTGCATGTAGGCCGGATTAATGATGGCATCTGTGGGATAGGCACGCTCAACTGTGCGCTCTTCCAGGGTGGAGCGCTGCGAGCGATGCGAGTACCGCTGCAGGTTGTCAGTGTTCCGGTGAAAGCTATCCATATAGTGGTCCTCGCTCTCCACATCCTCGTGCTGCAACTGTATCACATGCACCGAAGGACGACGTTCTGCCAACCAGTTGAAGAGAGGATACAAAATACGCTCCCAATAATTACACCACGAACTCACCCGTATCGGCAATGGCATCTGTGTAGTTCTCGCCAAAGCGAAACGGTGCGGCCAAGGACTTTTTGCACTTGAGAAACAGCACGATCAGTATCCAGCCCAAGATGAGAACCAGATAGACAAACCCCAACATACTCATGTAGAGGCCGTACTGTGTGGGTTGCCCAGCGGCGACCAGAGCTGGAACTTTTCCTTGGAGCCAAGCTCTCTAATCCAATGTATATCCAAAATCGATAAATGCTGTCACGCTGGTGGCGGCGTCTTGTGGAGTGGTCATTGTTGTCGCCTGACGGACTGGCACTGAACAACTAACCCTGCACACAGTCAGCTAGCAAGCAAGCATGATAGGCGGGACCGTTGTCGAGACTGGGGCTGGCCGTCGCCATATCAGCGGCTGGCCACAACAGAGCGGGTACAAAGCGACAGTGGGCCAGTGGGTGGGCACACACTCCCGAGCGAGAGCAAGGGCCACCACGTAGACGCATGAAGAAGTCCAGTTAAAATTTTGGCCACCTTTTGATTTCTGGTTAAGCATTTAAAAATCCGATTTGGCCGTTAGACTAACGCCAAAGCAGCAATATACAAATGAAATTCCCTGTACTCGTACCATATGTGGATTTATAGTCCCACCCTGCACCCATTGCGCAGAGCTTCCCCTTGGGATGAGATATGAGCTCATTTCCATGTAAAATTAACTAATTTAGCGGAAAGTTCGTGTTGAGTGTCGCTGATGATGTTGCTGTGACGTCATGGCTATAAGGTTAACAGACCACTTAGCATTATGCGGCTATTTGGTAATGTGCCAACCAATAATAGACCCACGGAATTGGCCCAACAGTCCCTTATGAACAACGCTACGCTGCTTCGATTGCAATTGGCTTTTATTTCTCATTCCACAATTGTTTGCTTGCTCGGTGCCTTGGAATTGGTTAATAAATTATTAAAGCCTTACGACTAAGAGGGTCATGACTTATGGTTCCGCTCCTAACTTGAAGGAGGCGTACCCTTAGCTAACACTAATTCTAGATGAGCTCAAGAGGGCTGGGCTGGGCTGTCGCTGGCTGACTGCACCTGCACCTGCACAGTGGCGGCTAAAAACAATAGTAGTTGGAGTGGAGTACCTTTAATTCTTCATTGCTGCATTTTTTGGCGCTACTACTATTACTTTGGCCGCTGCTGTCAAGTGGCTCTGGGATGTGTATCGATTAGCTTATGGCACGAGTGGGTTAGTGTGGTGGCGCCAAGTATTTGGATTAGTGCAGTGGGTAGTGGTTATGGGGTCCTTAGGGCTACGGACTATTATCCTATGCAACTACGCAAGTCGGTACAGTTTCTGCTGTACTATCACATGTTTTATTGAGTGGGGATCCTGGTCCTGCTGCCTCCTCTCCTCTCCTCACAGGCTCGTCGTCGCCTGCAGCTTTAGATAGCGCGTTCCGCTCTCCGCGTCGGCGAGGCGGGCTATGTGATCCGAGGCGGCGTAGCAGGTGGTCGCCGTCGGAGTGCCCGGTCGACTGTTGTTGTTATTGTTGTGTATGCTGCTGCTGTTGCTGCTGCCAACGCTGCCACTGCTCCTATCCGCTCCGACGCCGCTGCCATTGACACCGCCCGACTGGCGGAGGCGCGTGGCGCCCCAGATGAGCACCAGCACGGAGGTGACCAGAACGCCCAGACCCAGGCCGGGCAGAAAGCTCTTGTTGAGGGAATCTATGACCGTGTAGCTGTGCAGCAGTGTCGACTGCTGGTGAGGATGCGTCTGCTGGCTGCCCGCCATCGTGTTGAACTGTCGCTGGTTGTGCTGATAGTCCTCGCTGGCCTCCTGCTCCTGGGAGTCGGGCTTCAGCTCGTTGGGCGTGTAGTAGGGGCGTCGCTGGTACTGGCGCGACACGGGAATGGAGCCCGGACTGCTCAGCTGCAGCTGGGTGATGTTGGAGCATCCGATGTTCAGGTCCGCCTTCGGATTCTGCTCCTGCACCATCACCAGACAGAATCGGTAGCTGAGAGTAAAATCGAGAAGGGATTGGATCGGTGAGTGGATAATCGGGAAAATCGGGCAATTCAAGCACTGCTTACCTCTCGCCTATGTCCAGGGAGGAGCTGTCGGGAACGATGACGCTGACCGTGTTCTGGCCATTCACCACCTTGCTCTCGCAATGGATCTGCAGATGGGAATGTGGCATTTAAGCAGGTGCAAGAGGCAGGAAGAGTAGACGTTCTACCACTTACCGGCGAGTTGTCGATGAGGATCTCATTAATGTTCTCCTCCTTGTAGACAAAGATGGCATCGCACATGTAGTCCTTCTTGCTGAGATTCAGCAGCCAGGTGAGGATCAGGCCATAGTCCGCCGAGTAGTGCAGATCGTGTAGAATAATCTGCGGAAGGAGGGAAACGTTTTGATTTATCTGCACATCGCACATCGCACTCTGGTCTGGTCTGCTCTGCTTCAGTTGCTCCTCTCACCTCCTCGGACAAATCCCTGACGGGCGACGTCTGATTCGGCTTGGCCAGGGTCTCCAGATGCTGCATGATATTGGCATTGTCCTTCTCCACATTGTCCATGTCGCAGCTGAGCGTCTCCACGGGCACCTGCAGCAGCGGAGCGCCCTCAAGGCGCGGCGGGGTCACACAGGAGGCCGTGAGGCTGGAATGCAGCTGGGAGACCTGCAGCCACTCGGCGAAGGGACGAATGCTGCAGTCGCAAGAGAGCGGATTGTCCTGCATCTGGAGGCTCTGCAACTCGCGGGCTCCATCCATGGCGTTCCTAGCCACAATGGAGATGTCGTTCCCGGCCAGCCGCAGCTCCCTCAACGATGGCAGCGGTGCTATCAGATCCGAGGTAAGGGCGCGCAGGAAGTTATGCGTCAGGTCCAGGACAGTCAATCGACTCAGATGCTGCAGCGAGGAACTGGAGATGGCCACAATGCCGTTGTAGCTCAGATCCAAGCTGTCCAGAGCGCCCAGTCCGTAGAAGGCGTGATCCTGCAGCACATCGATCTGGTTGTGGCGCAGCGAGAGGCTCACCAGCCGCGAGAAGTTGGCCAGCGCCTTGTTCTGAATGCTCTTGATCATGTTCCGATTGAGATTCAGGCTCTCCAGGTTCCTCATCCCAGCCAGCGTCTGTGCGCTGAGCGGTCCATTCAGATTGTTGGCCGTCAGGTCGAGTTGCCGCAAGCTCAGGCACTGGCTCAAGGATCGCAGGCTCTGGGCATAGTCGCCCAGCCGATTGCCGCCCAACTTGAGCACCTCCAGCTTCCGCAGATTGCTGAAGGTGCGCTGCGATATGCTCGAGATCTGATTGCTGCTCAGCTCCAGGTACACCAGATTGGTCAGGCCCACAAAGTCGGCCGTGCCCAAGGCCTTAATTTTGTTGTTGGCCAGGTCCAGGCGTTCGAGGGCTCCCAGCGTGGACAGGGCATTCCAGGGCACACTGAGCAGAGCGTTGCCGGGCAGCCCCAAGGCCTGCAGGGGACCCTTGATGCCCAAGAAGGCAGACTTGTGCACCCGCTTGATCTCCCCCGAGGAGATGACCAGCCCATGCAGCGAGACGCCGTCGAAGATCTTCGCATCGCTCAGAAAGGTCACGTTGCGCAAGGAGCAGTCGAGCAGCGATATGGAGTACGGGGAGGTGCGCAGCCTATCCGCCAGCAGCTGTGAATAGCATCGAGCAGAGTCCAGGGTTAGTATAGGTCTACCAATGCATCCGCAGTGGATATTCTTACCAGCAGTCCATGCAGATCGATGTTGCATCTGAGGGTATGTGGCAAGTCGCATCCGCACTCGAGCTCCGCATTCCGGGAGCCCGTTATATTGGGACACTTCCATTCCATGAGGCCATCGTCCACGGGCAGGGGCAGCGAGGAGACCTGCTCGGCCTTCCTCTTCCTGGGCGTGCTCTTGTTGAAGTACTTTACGGCCGAAGACTTGGACTTGCTCTTCCCCGTGGTGGATGTAACGGGCACGGCAGCCGCCGACACCACATAGGCAGTGGGTGTGGTTGCGGTGCTCGTTGATGTCATAGGGACACTGGTAGAAGTCGTGGAAGTCGTGGCAGCCACTGTGGTGGTGGTATCCTCAAGCAGATCCTTGAGTTCATTGGCCTCTGTCAGCGCAGAGACCAGACAGAGCAGCAGCACAAATAGGCTGCAATGTAAATGGAAAAATTTTCATGGAAATTATTATTATTATATTGAAAGCAACAAAACACTTGGATACAACAGCAGCAACAGCAGCAACAGCAGATTATGCGTTTTTAGGTCAAGCAGCCACTGACACTCTGACACAATATGTGGCACCCACACACCACCCAACCCACCCGAAGGTGTTTGTTTGAGTTAAAGCGGCCCACGCTTAAATTTGCATTGTGCCTGCATCCGAGCTGATCGCTGCAAGACAATTTGCCAATTTAGAGCTTAACGCAATCAAAACTCAAGCGATTTATGCACTGTGAGATAATCTGTGCGGCTTTTGCGGGTGTGCGCGGAACTCAATGAAAATTTCACATTTCACATGATATTTCTGCACCCCCAAAGAGATCATCTCAACGAACAGGCCACCACCCAGCCACCCACCCACCCAAGCGTCGCGTCGCGTCTCATCTTGTTGCGCCTCCGCCTCCCAGTGACACACTTAAGTTGCGTGCGAGGCTTTAAAAACCCAGAATTCAGTCGCTACGCATCCAGTGCCATAGAAATAATTCCGCAGCAAAGTGCCCAGTGCTCGCAGTTGCCGTGGAAGCCTCAAATACACACAGAGCAGGATTAGCAGTGGTCCCATCTACACTCTCACTATCACTCTCGTTATATCCTGCTCCTCCTCCTCCTCCTCCTCTTCCTCATATCCATGGCCAATCAGATGCACAAGAGTGGTGCCCTAGTCCTGGTCCTCAATCTGTTGCTGCTGACACAGTCGCAGACGGAGGCCAAGCTGCTGACACGCTGCCAGCTGGCCAAAGAGCTGCTGCGCCACGACTTTCCCAGGAGCTATTTGTCCAACTGTGAGTCGTAATCCCAGACAAAGCGTTGATTTAACCGAGCTCTGTATTTGCTAGGGGTCTGCCTGGTGGAGTCGGAGAGCGGACGCAGCACGTCCAAGTCCATGCAGCTGCCCAACCAGAGCGTCAGCTATGGACTCTTTCAGGTGGGTTATCTCATCAACACTCTGTGCATGTCCATGTAAATGACCCAAACCACAAACCAACAGATCAACAGCAAAAACTGGTGTCGCAAAGGTCGTCGCGGTGGCATCTGCAACATCAAATGCGAAGGTGAGTCGAGTCGAGTCGAATCGAGTCGTCTACCCACGCGCACAAGGAGAGAGTATGAAAGATATTTTTGTGTGTGTTTATTACAGAGTTCCTGAACGATGAGATCTCAGATGATTCACGCTGCGCCATGCAGATCTTCAATCGCCACGGCTTCCAGGCTTGGCCCGGTTGGATGAGCAAATGTCGTGGGCGCACGTTGCCCGACGTCTCCCGCTGCTAAGACGGGGCTCCAGACCTGCCCACAATTTCCCCGACTTGCTCTGTAGCCTTAAACGTACTCTACTATTAATCTAGCTACTAATTAATATACAGCTTAAGCCATGATGCCCCGTACGATAATGTATTCATTCTGCAAAATGCGCAGTTTCTCGCAATCATTTCCAGGAATCTCCACTATCAGCTCTGAGGCGATGCGATGCATCGCTGATACTTGGCTTGAACTTTATTGAACTTTGTCTCATATTCGACTGATAAGACAGCGCCCAAAGCAGGGGAACTTACGAAAGCTATGACAGACAAATGCAGACAGATATCAGCTCAGAGCCACCCCAAATGGGGGAGAGTCCCAACCCTCAGACCACAAATACACAGAGAGGAAAGCACTCAACCATGGCATTCATATCGTTCAATGTGCAAGTAGACTGCCTTATCAGCTTAATCATCCAAAACGGAGAGCATTCGCACTGAGAGACGGACAGAGAGAGAGAGAGAGAGAGAGTGGGAGAGGGAGGGCCCGACGATCGTCGGTGCGATCGGTGTGATCGGTGCGCTCGGCATTTGGGGAGAGAATTTCCTAAGCGCCCCCCAATCTATGGGAGCAATACTTGGGGAGCATTTGGCTTTCGATTTTAGTACTTCAGCTCGGGTCAGCAGCGTCGCACCTGGCACCTGGCAGCTAGCGAGCGACCGAGCAAACGACGTGTGCAAATGAGATTGAAAAGCACGCCATCGAGTACGAAGCCCACGAAACGCGGTAAGAAGATACTCGGGCACAGCAGTTTATAATTATACCTACTCATAGCTACAGATACTCCGCGAAACAAACTCGTTTCCTGTTGTGTTGTTCTGCCTCTGCGTTCATTAACAACATGAAGTAAACAAACAGTTTGCTCTGCCAGAAGTATCTGTGGGGAGAAGTCACTCACATTCACTCAATCCCATACCCATACCCATTCTCATTCTTTGCTTTGCTGATCCGTGTATGCAAATCAAACAAAAGTGAAACGTGTACGTGCGTGTACTTAATGATCAAAGTAGTACCAATCATAGTTTGTACGCTTTTTGGGTGCCTTGAGAAGGTTTGAGAGAGACAATGCTAAGATAGAAGATCACAGAAAGGTAGATAGTTCCATAGAGAGCAAGGTGGGGATTAGCACATCGATGGGCATACAGGGTTTGCATCAAACATTGAGAAGGAACCAATCAAAGGCATCAATTTCTGTGTCCATCATTCAGATTCAGTCTCACATGAAATATTACACCAAATACGAGTGTACTTAGGGGAAATAGTGCATATAGAACTCGTTCGTGTGTGTGTGTGTGTGTGTGCGTGTGTGTGTGTGCTGGTCTGACTAATTAAGTATGCCCATAAATGATTAGCAAGCCAACAACAGCACACCCAGAGCAGACTTATCAAAATACGCCGAGCAATTCGTTTAATACTTTGTACCTGCGGGCAATACTTTAATGTCGCAGTCTTGCAGTTGAAGATGAAACCTCTTTGGGTGTGTGTGATGCCCGTGCTGGTCCTGCTGCTGTTGGGATCTGAGCGGGCAGAGTCCAAGAAGTATCTGCGCTGTGAACTCACCCGCGTGCTGGTGGAAAATTACAACTTTGACAAGACTTTCCTCTCCAATTGTAAGTGGTGCAGTGGCTGGAAGTTGTGGGACTTAAACCCGGATTATGATGTATTTTTTGTGCAGGGATTTGCCTGGTGGAGCACGAGAGCAACCTGGACACCAGCAAGGTAACGCGCAAGGAGAACGACAGCAAAAACTATGGCCTGTTCCAGATCAACAGCAAGGACTACTGCGCCGAGGGACGCAAGGGCGGGCGATGCAACATGAAATGTGAAGGTAATTCCACTCACTTTTTAAGCCATGTCCTATGTACATATCCCACTGGTACGAGTATATCGCATTGTGTTACGTTCTTAGACTTTTCCAACGATGACATTGGCGATGATATTGCCTGTGCCAGGCTGATTCAGGAGCGCGACGGCTTCAAGTACTGGAAGGGATGGGATCGCTTCTGTCGCAATCCCCAGAATCTGCCCAATCTGCGTGTTGCCTGCAATCTGCGTAGCCTGTCGCCTCTGCGCACACCCCGCAGCTTCTTCTACATCCCAGGCTGATAACTTATCCCCTTTTTCAGATATACTATATGTAAAAAATACGATACTAATGTATATAATTGCTTGCTCAACTTTGCATTTGTTGCACACACACACGGGACACAGATCTGCGGCTGCAGGGCCCTGTCCTCTTTTCTGTGTCTACAAGTGGGCGACCGACCACTGGTGGGGGGGGCTGACAATGCTGGGACCAAGACTGCCACTAAGACCTTCACTGGGGATGGAGCCCGTGTAATTGATAGCTGCGGTGCAACATGCTGCAACTCGATTCCCATTCAAAGTCAATCGTACAGACTTACTTCTTGGCACAGAGCCATGCACACAGCACACAGCAGACAGAACAATATCATTTTGTATTTCCGTTCAACAAAGGCGGCATTTCCGTTTGCCGGGCAACAATTGAGTGCGAGATTGTGGTGGTGTGTGTGTGGTGTGTGTTCTACAACGCACCGCAGGGCATCGGATCAGGGAAGCGTAGCATGCAAAGCCATGGTAACAGGTGGAAGCTCAAAAATCAGAGCGTAACTACAATACAAATTGTACGAGAGACACAATGGCCAAACATGGCCAAGAGGAAGCACTGGCCTGGCCCTGGCTCCCCAACTGTCCGGTTGCCTGGCTGCCTGGGGTCTGTCTCTCCCGGCGGTTCCATTAGAATGCGCTTTGCATATGTACGTGGTCAAAATAAATCAGTTCTTGGTAGAACAGAAAAGTGTTGTGTTGACCATTGCCTGCACGTAGGGGCAGGGGCAGTTTCAGGGGCAGGGGCAGGGGCACTGGGGTCTGGCAACATCCTCAACAACAATAAAAATTATTTAAAATGCAGCTCAGACGAATAGCCCGACACCGACTCCTCCCCTGTCACGCTAACTGGTCAACGGCTCGCAACGTTTGAGTGCCTCTAATTTCCGCCCTGCCTCCCTCCCCCCACTCACCACATTGTGGCTAATTATGCATAAAATGCCACGCCTCACACCGCCAAGGATCTCTTTGGAGTCGGAGTCGGAATGGGAACGGGATCGGGTCGAATCCAACCGCTGACTCAGCCAGATGGGATGCACACTCAATCACATAGCAGTTGTTTGGTTTGGCCAACTAGCCGATGCTCCTTGGTGGCTGTTCTGTTTGACTTTAAACTTGCCACAGACTTGCTAATCAATCGACAACCAGTCGGCGCTCTGAGTACCAAACAAAACCGAAAAGAGCTGGAGTCGTCGTCGTCGACACCTCCTCTCTGTGTGGCAGACTGGAGACGCCGGCTTGGGTTGATTATTCTTCTGAGCCAGCTCCCACACACCGGAGCTACGAGCTGCGACTGTGCAGCAGATGGAAACGAATTCGAAATACTCTTTCGGGGTACTCTTCTACTACAGGGCTACGCCACCGATCCTTAGCTAACTTAAATTTGTATCCAAGTATCTTTTACTGCCTCCAGGCGAGTCCCACAGCTAATGGACTCCTCATCGTACACCTACCCAATGCCCAGGGCTCTGTGTTGTGGCTGGTTGGCTGTTTCGCGCGCTGTGTGTGTGTAGGCGCACAGTTCAAGCGCCATCATCATTATCATCGTCAGCCGGAGCCGGGCAGGCCAGCCGAAACTGACTGGAATTAAGGCACGTCAACGGAAATAAACCTTCGCGCACGCATCCGTGTATTGGTGCCACATATGCACATACATCTGTGTGTGTGTGTGTGTATCCGTGTGAGCCAAATGGTTGAAAATGGTTCGAGCTGTGTGGGTAACGGCATTGCAACGTTTTCTGTGGAACAGACCGAAGCGAACAGAAGAGACTTGGGCTGCCGCCTGTAGCCGGTTGATGCTGGAGCCAAGCGGCGATGTCGAGTCACAGATGAAGACCAAAAGATACAAAGATATGATAATGATGCCACAAAATGGGTGTGAATGTGTGTGTGTGTGTGTGTGTGTGTGCAGCTGACTCTTCAAACTTGCCGCAAAATACGAAATATACGAAACTGATTGAAAAATTCCAAAATGAAATCATTTGCTGCTGCTGCTGCTGCTGCGGCTGCTATTAACGAATCGTGTAAAAGTCGGGTGTTTATTTTTGCTTTTCTTATTTTTTTTTTCCATAAGTTAAAACTTAAACTGGCACACAAGCACAGGCGAGCCTAATATATGTATGTATTATTATTATTTGTTGTTTTTCTGCAGTTTAGTTTGCGCTCCCCAAATGGCCAAAACATGCGATAAGCCATTGAACAATTAAAAACGCGTTTTTTTTGCTGGCCTGCCTTCTTTGGCAACCAACAAACAAAAAACTAAAACCCAATAATTGTCGATTGTTTACAACGAAGTGCAAATTCTCTTCGGAAGGTAGTCGAATTAATTGCATGAGAAAGGAGTTACTAGAGGTATACTTTTGCAGCAATTAAAGGGTACAATTACTCCAGTTAAGATGTCAAATATAAATACTGTACATATCTAAAATTATTAACTATTTATTGGAAATTCTAGCATAAATGAAACGATTTACCACAAGTTCAGCTTTAGCTGATTCTTTTTCTTAAAGAATCTCTGGCTTGAAGTATCTTTTTTGGTTGTTGTTTAGTTACCGCAAGCGAATGACATGAATTGCTGTAAAAACAGCAGCGCAGCAGTAGCCAATTGGGCAACATGTTGCTAATCATAATGACAGCAGCATGTTGCATAGGTTAAAGGCGAAATTACCAATTTGCTATATCTTTCGGTAGTTTGGTAGTTTTATAGTTTTTTTTTTGCCATATTGAATATCAACCTGCTGTGGCATTGTTGGCGCGTTGAAAGCGCAACGAAATGTGGCTCTTGGATGTGTGTTGTGTCGTGTCGTGGCTGTCCCGCTTGGCGCGTTGTGTGTGTGTGTGTGTGTGGCAAATGAAATTTATGCCTAGCATGAAAATAGTAAAAGTTAGCTGCAACAGCCAGGCCAGCCAAAGGTCGAAATGTCACGCAAGTGGCAACCACAGACGTGTTGCACACAACAGGCAAAATAAAACCGAAGCAGCTGCTTTCGAAATTGAAGTAGCCACAGCAACAATTGTGGTCTGGCGTGAGTATTTAGCATGCCAAAAAAAAAAACGAAAAAACCAAATGAAAAGAAGGAGAAGACAAAAGGCGACAGGAAACACAGGCAAAGGGGATTTAATTGTGTGGCCCATCCTCATTCTGGGCCCCTGGATCAGTCCCTACCTCCTTGAGCCCTGTGAGAATTGGATGTGTGAATGACGGGACGCATTTGCTCCTCTGTGGAGGTAAGACGGAAACGGATGCTGGTCCTTGTCTGAATGCAGAACCACATCAATGTGTATTGTATTTACATTTACAACACGAATACTCGTACAATAATAATTCAATTATATTGCATTTGGAGTGCTATTCATGGATGCATTTGAAGTTATTTCTCTTGATTATTTGGTAATCAACTGCTACCGAATATTAAATTTATAATATCATTATCAATAATATAATTTAACACATAATTGATAATTTAAACAATTTGCAACTGCCTTCGCTCCACTATTTTCTTGTTGACAAGTGCCTGATGCCACGAATAAAATGCATGACATTCACTTGATTTTTAGAAAATACATACATACTCGTATGTTTGTATGGATGTACACAAAATACTCACCCCTCGGGGCAAGTGAAATGAGCTACAGGAGGAGACGTTCGATGTGGATGCCCATAAATTTCGAACCTCAAATTGCTTTTAGTTGTTCGCGGTGGCTGCCGTCTGCGACGGCCATATTAATATGCAAATGGCAGACAAACACACAGATTCCGAGCAACGAAAATCCAATTTAATTTAAATGAAACACAACCTGGTTCCCTGGTTCATTCATGCTCGGACAGGGCCTGACGCTGAGGCGCTCGTAAAGTGCAAGATTTGGTGAATAAAATAAAAATGCATGCGGACAAAAGCCGGCTTAAGACCGTTCCACCAAATAATGGTTTGTTTACCTTGGACCAGGGGTAATCGGATCGTATTGGTTGGGATCAGCCAGCCAACTGTTCATCCCAGAGAATAGCACATGTGCGGGGATTTGTGTAGACACAACAAGAGACCCCCGACAGAAGTTCAATTTTGCAGCAATTGCCGTCACTTACGGGCTACTTTGTCTCCGATTTGGTTAATTGTTCGAGTGCCGGTGCTTGTCCGAGCAGCTGCCCACGTGAGTGTTCCATTAAAAAGTAATTTGCCCAACAGAAAAACTTGAAAACAGACAAAAAGCCAAAGCCAAAGCCAAAGCTAAATCCAAATCCCATTCAAACAGCAAAAACACTGGCAGCCCCAACAGGCCGAGCCTCGGTAGAGACGACAGTCAGCCGCCACCCACACACTTCCGCTGACTTGTCTCGGCCCACTCTCGAAAAATAATACTCACTAATTTTATTTCTCCGACTTGACTTGTTGTGGCTGTTGTTTTGTCTCTGGTTTTTGTTTGGAGGAGAAACAAGTTTGTCAGCCCAGTGATTTGCAGTTGCGGTGACAATATTACCAACAATTTGAGACTAGAAGCGAGTCCACGCAGATCCAGAGAGCTCAGCAGCAGGCAGATTGCGATCGGAATGAATTTGCCAGCAGAAGGATGCCGCAAGGTTTAAGAATATTACAATCATTGGTAAAAAGAAACTCTGACTTATTCTAAACGCCGAGAATAATTGGTTTTATGTTATACTGCCCTGATCACAGACTGATATATAGTTGGTCCCTTAACGCTAGAATTTCATGACGATGCATGAGGAATTTCCCTGCTGCCCCTCTGCACACCAGCACAACCAGAGCAGGCCATAAACCACACAGAGAAGCCAAGTTCACAGCCCACACAGGCACCGGAGAGCGAGTGGAGGAGCAGACCGCCAACGCATGTGCATAATGCTAAATCGACTGTTAATTGCGACATTTCGAAAGCCGTCAAGTCAGGCCGAACTCACACACACACACACACACACACACACACTGAGTCTCCAACAGATCCAATAAAATGGATATCGCTGTTCGGCAGTCAAAAATTGAATCAATTTGGTAGGAAAATATTAAACAAGAAGAAAGCTGACTGGAGTCTGGGCACGGAAATGGGTCTGAAAATGAACTAAATTAAAGATATTATGCGACAACATACGACATGCCACATACACATACACAGATACAAATACACACACACACACACACACACAACTGTCGGGCCCACACCAAGAGCTCCACTCCGCAGCCCACACACAAATGCAAATGCCAGAGACAGCGCCAACTGCTGCGGCTGCTTGGATGCTGCGGAGGAGTATGCTAAGTGAATGGATGCTGGATGCCTCATGTGCACTGCCAGAAATCCACACAGATCATATGCCTGGTGAAGATGCCAAGAGAAACGAAATCCCCAACATGTTCATTCCCCAAGACAGTGTTTAGTTTCGGTTTAGAATCATCTTCGGGGTAGATCATCTGACTGTTAACTTTATTACCTCGACGGCGACACACTTTGGGCACAAAAGTAAGTGGGCAGGTAGCGGCAGCAGGCATATATATCTCTTGGTTGCTGGCTGCCGCTGTTGCGCTCCCATTGCCAAATTTGGCAACTTGTTGTGGAGCAACCAGCCAACAGTTAAAAGCCAAGAGGCAGCAGCAGCAGCCGCAGCCGCAGCAGCACCAGTAACCAAGTAAGTGGCACAAATGTATTTTTATTTATCTCTCTTTTTTTCTTGGTTATTTTTTTCCCCTGTATTTCTGTCGTTTCATTCCCGCATCAAAACGGACGCCCACAGACGAGCAAACAAAAGACTTAGGCAACGAACTTGCCGGCCCATATCCATAGACGACACACACACACACACAAACCGACGCAATGGAGAAGAACAGGGAGACGGAGCCCAAGCGGCTAATGAGCAGCATGTAAAGCAGTAAAAAATTATATAAACATTAATTATGAACAACAATCTTTGTTCCGTTTTCATTGTTGTTGTAGGCGTTCGAAAATGAAATGAAAATACAAAGATTTTCTTCAGCTGTAACTCAAGTAGAAAGATCCAGAGCTGCCTGCTGTGAAAATGATAAGTTATAGAGAATCGGGAAGAGTATATAAAGGGTTAGAGAGGAGGAAAGCCAACGACAAAGCGCTAATTGCGCGTAAAACCGAGCAGCAGATGTGGTGAGCCCAGGCCCCGGCCGCCTCCGTGTGTGGGTTCATTTTGAATTCCCTCCCCTCCCAACACTACCATTTCTTCTGCGTCTCCTCTGTTGCGTAGGTTGAACAAACTCCCCCTCCGTTGTTGCATGTATATTTGAGAGATATTAGCCCATTAAACATAACGAAAGATGAGAGAAACGCAACGGAAGAGTTGACTTTAAGTTGATTGAAATCTTTATAGCAAAAACATTATAATTTCCAACACGAAGCGGCCATCGGGCGACGTCGGAATTAAGACTGACTAAGCCGAATCGCAGTCAATTAGATTAGAGTGTTATTATTAGATTAAAAGCCGCTAAGTTCTCTGGCACACGAAGAGGCAAACACAAAATAGCCAAATGTATTTCACGACTCTTTTCTTATGCCATTCCAAGGCTGTCTGTCCCACCTCGATTTCTACAACATAAAACGTTGTGGGCGTCTCTTTTATTTGCCTTTTGTGGCGACTCACCTTAGCTTTGGCCACATCTTGCTGGTTGCTGCCAAAGTCCGGAGATAGTGTGGCATGGTTCTTTATCAGCGTGCGAAACTTAAACAGAGAGCAGGCAGGCAGGCAGGCGATCGCTGGCAACGTTCATAGAACAATAAACAGCATTAACCTGGCCTCTACCTGGCTCTGGCACTGACACACACACACACACAAACACAAAGCGGCTGTCTTCTGCCTTCTGCTCCAGAACGTATTTAGAATGCGATAAAGATCTTTACGGTGCACCGACGCCCAGGGAGCGACAACAGCGGCAATAAATGGATGGAATGGGACGTCAGTTGACACCGCTGGAGCTGGACAGAAGGCTCACACACACGCGCACACACACTCGCGGACACACAGAGGCACAGTCGAAATTAAAATTTCATTCATGAAAAACTACCGACCGACTCGGAGTGCAACTCGAATAATAGTCAACTGAAAGAACCGGAAACGGATGCGAATCCGACGCTGTTGATGTTTGTCTTGCCCCCCGCCAGGATTCCAAGAGTTTTGAGGGATGATGACGCGGACAAAGACGCTGTCGCAGGTAGGCTGTGTGCCACTCGCGATCGTAACTCCACTGACAACTGGCGACGACCGTTCGTTGGGTATTGTCAAATTTGCATTTTTCACATTTGCCGCTTGAGACGAACGTTGGCTGCATGCGGCAACAAGGTGCACATCGACAGAGAGGAGAACGGAGGAGAGCACACGCTATCAAATGCCACGAACTGAACACGACCACGTCTGAAACTCGACTGAGCGGCCTACGCTCAGGTAAGGCGGCTCGAGCCGCCACCAGAATGATTTCATATGCGTTGTCTGGGCTGTGCATCTGTATGGGTGTGTGCCTGGGTGTTTGCCTTCGCGTTCGGTCGATTCATTCACAAATACTGGTCCGGTCTCTGGTCTCTGGTCTGTTCGCTGTTGTTGTTGACTTCGGCTGAATGAGCCGCCCCGCCTCCGCCTGCAGTGTGGCAGTGTGTGGGCAGGCATGGAATTGTAAGAGTACATATCCACGCGGTTCAACTTAATTCTCATTTTTCGCTTGCCAAAGATCGCCAGAGCCCAGAGCCGCATTCGACTGCAGGCTTAACCCAAATACTGGCCACTAACTAGCCGTTTGACTGGCCATCGTCGGGCTGCAAAGAAGTGCTGGATGGAAAATAAATCACGCAGCGGAAAAAGTTCTCACACTCGACATGGCATCTGGCATGACCATCGCTGGCCGTGGGCTATTTGATTTTCACATTGAATGTGCCGCAAAACAATTTTCTTGTTTATCCATTTATTCCCCAAGCGGACTGGGAGTAGCGCAATGCACAAATATGGACAGTGGAAAACGGGTTACAATGATTAGCACGCCGCACACACGTCTACGTCAACTGCGTATGGTACGTATGCTACGAATGCTACGTCTGCTTGGTCGGCGGCATCATTGGCAGGAGCAGCCAGCCACTGGGGCAGCATTAGATCTACGTGGTAACGGAGAGTGCTAACTTAATTAATTTGTGCTATTGTCCACGGTTTCCGTCTTGAGGGGCACCATCGAGGGCGGTATGTTCAGCGTCTGCAGTGATTAGGAAAAACAAATTAGTTGCATAAATGTATTCGATTTTGAATTATTAACTCACCTTGCCCGGACAAGCAGCCTCGTACTGATGCTTTAGGCTTTCCATCTCGTAGATGCAGGTGGACAGGGCCGTGCGCAGCTCACAAAGCAACACCATGTCGGAACGCAGCTCGTTAAAGGATGTGCATATATCCTCGGTGGGCGGTGGCGCGGGATCTGTGAAGAACAATACAATTAGCAAATGTAGGACAAAGTCCCAGTTACTCAACCTACCAACTTTGAATTCCTGTATGGCCTGCTCGAGAGCCTTCACCTTACGCTGACCAATGTTGGCAGGCAACTTCATCTTCTGCGACCGCAACGAGACCCCAGATCCACGCAGATCGGCAAACTTGATGCCGCTGCTGCCTATTTCGATTGCATTCACCACCGAGTCCACCTTCGAGGGTCGCGGCTGATGGTGCACCTTCTTCTTGTGCAGTTTCTTTTCGTATTTGCGAGTGCTGGGCGTACTGGATGCATGCTCATTCTGCTGATCCGCCTGCGAGATGAGTTTTTGTAGATCCTGCGTTTTGCGCTCACGCTCCTTTTTGCGAGCCTCGATCTTCTTCATCTCATTAATGAGCATCTGCTCCTCCTCCACCTGCAGGGTGGTGCGCTTGAACAGTTTCTCAAGCTGCTCCTTGCGGCGCCGCTCGTGCTCCGGATCATACGAATATATTTTCTTCTCTATGGTCTGATTCTTGGCCTTGGCTAGCAGCGCCACGACCTCATAGTACCGCTCCTTGAGCTCCTCCACAGTTTTGTCCCCGTGCTGCTGACGGTTCCAACGATCCGCCATCACGATAAAGCGAAGATCAAAGCTGTGACAGGAATGGTTAATGAAATACTTTTCCAATGGCTAATTCGAGCTATTTACCGTCTTGCCAAGTCAAACAGATGATCCGTCTGCACCTTGCTCCAGTTGGTTATGTTGTTCCTCAAGTGCGCATTGTACTCCGTCATGGTGTAGGAGGGGATTTCCAGCTGTACGTTGAAATTGGCAAACGGATACTCTCCCGAATCATCGCTGACCCTTTTCCAGTGATGAAAGGCGGCTGAATCGGTGCGCGCCGGGTTGGCAAACGGCGCCCACTCCCACTTGCGCACCTTCTTCATCCCCAGCCGCGCCTTGGTCTGCTTGTAGCCGCCACCAATGCCCAGTGCCGTGTCTGTGGGCAGCAGCGGCGGGGCATCTTTCTTGTCTGTGTAGAGCAGGGCGAACACCTCGCGGTGCATGCCCTCGGGACGCCGAGAGGCATGTTTGGTGCTGGTAAATATAGTTTTTCTTAAAAATGCTCATTTTACTCAACAATATATTACTGTTTACCGTTCGAAGTTGCGCTTTTTTGTTGCAAGAAAGGAATCCTTTGTCACTTCGGGCGTATTGGCACGCTCCATGTCCAGAATATCACGTACGTCGGCCGACATTTTGCCTTCTTACTGTTACTTAATTATTAATGAATACGATTTAAATTTATATTGTTTACTTTTCGTAAAAATTCGCGAAAACGATACAATTTGACAATGAGACCGTATAAGAGATACCTGAAAATCTAACGTTTGCACTTCGGAAAATACCGATTTGTCTTTATATTACAGTATATTTCGGAGGTATATTTTATGGGTAAGTCCGTGGCCACACTGGTTGCATTTAACGTGCTCAAGACAGGCAAAAATTATGTTGTTTTTCTGCCCATCGTGCGGCAATATATTGATCATTGAGGAAGATACAGATAGCCACCGCTTCACATGTAACACCTGCCCATACATATCGAAGATCACGCGTAAGATATCAACGAAAACCTTTCCCCGCCTCAAGGTAAGTCCATCAATTTGATGATGCAATTTAAGTTCCATCAACAATAATGCTTGACTTTCCGTCCACGCAGGAGGTGGATCACGTTCTGGGTGGCAAGGCGGCGTGGGAGAACGTCGATTCGACGGACGCTGATTGTCCTTCGTGTAGCCACAAGCGAGCCTATTTTATGCAAATTCAAACCCGGTCGGCTGACGAGCCCATGACTACATTCTTCAAGTGCTGCAACCACCAGTGCGGTCACACTTGGCGGGACTAATGCTCCACCTAAAAACACTGATTATCACTCGTCTCCTTGGGCAACAAGCCCACCCCAGATTCAGCACAATGCAGCCCCGAACAGTGGAGAAGAAGACACCGGTGTGTCAAGTGGAGGATAGAGCCGCTCTGAAGGTGGCTCGGCAATGCCTGTTGGGCGGTCAGGTGATAGCACTGCCCACAGACACTGTCTATGGGCTGGCATGCGATGCCAACAACGAGCATGCCATCCAGCGCTTGTACGAGATTAAGGGAAGAGACGAACACAAGCCTGTGGCCATCTGCGTAAACAATATTGAGGCGCTGCGTCGCTATGGTCAGGCTGCACACCTCAGCGACGAGCTGCTAACTCGTTTGCTGCCGGGCCCTCTGACCATTGTGATTGAGCGGACGCCCGAGTTGAGCAATCGTTTCCTGAATCCCAGCACCTCCAAGATAGGCATCCGCATTCCAGACTTCAAGTTATACGCGATCTGTGCTCCGTGTGGCACGAACAGCCGCTTGCCCTGACCAGTGCCAATCGCTCCAGTGCCCCCAGCAGCCTCCAGGTGACCGAGTTCCGTTCGCTGTGGTCCCAGCTGGGCGCCGTCTTCGATGCTGGTCAGATTGGTATCACCGAGGAGCGTCGCCTGGCCTCTACTGTGATTGACTTGGCCACACCAGGATACTATGAGATCGTGCGTGCTGGAGTGGCCCTCAAGCAGACCCTGCGCTTGGTGGAGGAATATGGGATCAAGCCTCGCAAGGATATTGCTCAAATACTATAGAAGGATCGGTTCACCGATGAGTCTTTAAATAAACTATAACTTTATTTGGTTTAATTTTGATCATCCTGCCTTGCCTTGCTTGGGTGAGGGGACAACAAGATGGGATTAAAAAATATATACATATGTATGTAAATCCGTGGATGTACATGATTGGAACTATCATTGAAAAGACTCTTAACTGGTCAGTCTTCTAGCCTCGGGCTAATTGTAGTGGCTAGTCTTGGCCACTTGAATGGGCGCACGTCGTCTGGGCAGCTCGTTCTCCAGCAGTCGCCAACGCTCTGGAGGCCATACGATTGCCACCGCCTTCGCCGTCATCAGACCCAGTGCCACCGGCCCGAATGTATTGCTGTCCATGGAGTGACCCGTGTGATCACCCTCCACCCAACAATGGCCCTGTGGGACGCTCACTATCTCATCGCGGTAGCCTATCGTGGAAACCACATCGCCCTGCAGGCCGACCACACGTTTGATGATCTTCTGGGCGGGATCCTTCGGCGAGACGAGTGATATTATGTCCCCTCTCTCCACATCACAGTTGTGATTCCCCCAACGCAACAGGAACACATAATCCCTCACATCTGCCACTGGATTGAGTGCGGGCTGCATGGAGGTACCTGTATCGGATGCGATGTGGCGTGATTCTCTCTTAGTTAACAAGCAATCCCTATAGCAGGCAACTTACCGTCCACTCTGGCTACATAGCCCACGCAGTCGAGGAAGGTAATCCCCAGTGGCAGGCCGTAGAGTACAGATTTAGTAAAGAAACGAAATGCCATGTGTCAGGTACGGGCAGCTGATGCGGGTCCGTGAAGTTACAAATTCTCTGTTGGACACCTGACACCGGTTTGGGGCTGCAATCCCCAGCCTTTCGATTCCGCTTAGTTACAATCGACCAAAAACACTAGAATTAATACATAACCAGCCAGAATTTGGCTGAGTTTCGTCGCCCCAAGCCTTTTGGCATTCGCAGCGAACGACCTGCACAGTCGGTTGTTTATGCGCCAGTAAACAGGGTGTCTGAACGGAAATACAAATACGATATTTATTATAGTAATATAGATTATAGCAGTGAAAGCAAGTAAAAGTGAAGTTTCCAGCTATTGTACTATTGTTACAGGTGATGTGGCCAAGTTTTATTTTAATTTGTAGTGAAAAAGAAATGGGGTTGACTGCTCTTGGACAGGTCTCAGCAGCCCTCCAGCTCTCTCGGAATGGGAATATCGTTTTGTTTGGCAAAATGAAGGAGAGCCTTGTATTTGTTCTTCCAGTTTCCGACCTCGATGCGTATCAGCTCGTTGTCTTCGTGCCTTTGCTCTAGCTCGGTCCATTCGCACGATTTTTTCGTCTCCAGCTCGTCCTTTTGCTCGATTCTCTTGATGCGGCAACTGGCAGCATAGCCGCGGTTCTTCAACGTGCGTCTTCGCTGCTTCATCCGCACGATCTCCTCGCGGTTGAGGCCACGCATTTTCAGGGTCCGATTCAAGTCCCTCACTGAAATGGTGACCAGCTCGTCATCCGTGATGTCGGAAATGGGACAGGGGGAAAGTGGTGGCTAGAAAAGTTCATACAATATATGGTTTTATATCGTTTATAGTGAATTTCAAAACAACATACCAACGAGGACTTTCTTTCACGCTTGGATTCCATTTTAAATAGGAATAAATAACTTTTTAGCTAAATTTTTCTTCTCCGACGGAGTTTTTGCGTTGTTATTGTGGGACTGACCCTCAGAAATATACCGAAAATATATCGTAAATATACCCAGAAAAAAACTAACTTAACCCACTTAACACCCCTTTATTTAAACAGGTGAGCACCTTGAGGTAAACAGCAGATAATAATACTCTTTGTAAATGTAAATGTGTAATAAAGGAATTTAATAAATTGATGAAACTGATTAAATATACCATTATACACCGATGTACCGTAAAGATCCCTTCAACTTCATTTTGACGTAAAATATCCAGAAAAGTTATTGTTACATATTCGAGTGCTATAATATTTATCGTTCAATACAATTTATAAAAAGGCCGAGGTTTTTCAAATGAACCTGTAGTACATCTTCTGTCATTTCTGCATAGTTTCGATGCAGCTGCATCCATTTTCATAGCATTCAAAGATAAAAAAATTAACAACTGAAAGACCTCAATTCATTTTTGATTGTTTCTTACCCTGTAAGGGCAATTTTTTCAGTACTATTTTCGCTTTTAATGGGAATGGCAAATGCATATAGCTTTTCTAGCAACATAGGAGGGGTCTTCTCACTAAAATTATAGTTGAAATAATTCCTAATATGATTTTTCAGGTAGAAGGTGTGATAGAAGCGGCGCAGCATGTTTTTGTCGCTTAAGGTACGTGTGCTATGCGCTTTGCTGTGCAGCTCCCTCGCTAAATCCTTGTGGTTTATGTACATTAGGAATGTTTTCAGCGTAACCGGATATTCATAAGATACGCCTTTGAAAGTGATCACAGTCAGATCAGAGTCACTGTCTGTGCTTCCCATAGGGTCCGCCGTTTCATCTTTGCATCTCGTGGATGATCTCTCAGGACATCGCGGATCAGCATCTCGCGTATTTTAGAAAGGAACACTCTAAAAGCAAAAATAGAAACGCAATTAAAATGTCGAAAACTACAAAAACTCAGAAAACAGAGATACTTACGGGGCTGCCTCTAGTGGATCTGTACGATTCTGTTCGGCTGCCTTTTCAACTCCATTCGATGCCCTGCAATGTACAAGCCATTTCAAAATAACACGTAAAATGCATTCATATTTCCATTTACCCTTCTGACTCCGATTGGCGCACACGCTGAGCAAACTGGAGAAGCCTCACCCGCAGCTCGGGGGGCGCAGCTCTAAAGGAGTAGTGGTACCTTACCCGGAAGCCCTCATCTGTGTAGAAGGCGTGGTAGAAGCGTTGCATCAACTGTTCATCCGTAAGATTCGTCGCATCTTTCCTTATTTTCTCTTGGTCTGATGTCCTGATCTGGTAAATCAGGTCCTTGTAATTGATGTACTGACAAAAGCATTGCGGGGGTATGGGATATTCCCATCCCATATGAGGTGTGACGCCTTCAAAGGTTATAATTGGTTTGATAAGCTGTGGTTCGTCGAGTTCCTTGGGTTCATTAGGACTGTCGGCAATAACTGAGCAGGTCGGCCGACTCAGCAATTTTTCGCGTACCACTTCGGGACATGGTTTTAATTTGAACTGGAATCGTTCGCGGATTTCTGGCGAGCTGTAGAACTGTCTGAAGTATTCCCTGGTACACTGCCTTTTGGATAGATGCTTGTACTCGTCGCAGCTCCGCATTTGCTTGGTGATTTTATTTAGATTCTTGATGTACTTTTTAAAAATCAAATAGGCCACAGGTGCATCGTTATCCGTTTCCGTGATACAATCTGAGCTTTTGGGTCGCTTCAGATCTGGGGATAGTTTAATCAAATCTGGAAAAGTTCGCCTCAGCTTCTTAGCTTCCTTGCGACTGGGTATGGCCAGTAGGCGAGCGCTCATGTCCGAGGTACACGCTTTCAGGGTGTACTTGTATCGCTCCCGAATCTCTGGCGTCAGATAGAATGCCATGTAATAAGCATAGGCACAATCCTCAAAGCCCATGGGCGCATACTCGGGGTCATTGAGCTTCAGGTGACACGCAATACTGTACAGGTTTTCCAAATATACCGCGAATTCTTCATAGCTCACAATCGAAGAGTCGCTGTCAAAGGGACAAAGCGTTGAAGCGTTCAGTAGGTCGGACACACTCGTATTTATGTAACGTGGACTCACCTGCTTTTGTTATGTTCAGCCAAACTCTTGACTGCCGATTCATCCATGGCTTGGCCACATTCCAACAACTTTGGCATCAGAGCATCAGGTGCCTTGGGGAATATATTGGTAGACTTTCGCTTTTTGGGAAACAAGTAGAAGTTTTTGTAGAATCGCCGCCACCGATTTTGTTTCTGAGTGGCGTCGGGCAGGTCTGCTGGCGGGCTTTTATGCTTGTGTTTCATAAAATGGCGTACCTTCTTCTTGTCCACGTACTTTTTAAAGGTGTAGTAAGACACGGGAAAGTTGAACTTTCCCATTCTGTCAATGATCAAGAAAATTAGCAAAAAATGTGGCATAATGTGGTACGGTACTCACTTGCCCACTTCGACTGTTACACCATCGGCCGATTCATGCTCAAACTCTTCGGGCGATGCATCCTCTTCTGCTTCCGGCATAGAGAGCAACCTATCCTTGATTTGTTGGGGACACGCGCACAGCCTAAACGGGTAGCGCTCGCGGACAGTGGCGTCCTTGTAGAAGGCGTTGTAATACCACATTGCACACTTTTCCAGCGTTTTCTTGACTCCATCGACATCACCATTCCCAGCATGGTCGCATTGGACCTTGAATGCAATGCTCGGCAGGTTCTCTATAAGCTTAATAAATTCCTGAAATGATACTGGCTGACGCCTTTAGGTAGAATACATTTTTACGTTGTTACTTAAATTAAGTAAATTTCACAATGTGTTGGTAGACTTACTGCTTGCTTCTTGGCTTTGGCTTGGACGCCTTTTTACTATTGTTCGGACTAAACATGCTGATTTGAATTGAATATTGAAATAACGTAAGTAACGTAACGTAAACGACAACAAAATGATGGGATGGAACGTCAATAGGAACACCAGCTGTTCTGCGGCAGAGAGGAGCTGTTTTCGACTACCGTTTTTCTATCTATCGATCTATCGATATTTTTATATATCAATTAACTTACATCCCTATTTCGACGCCAAATGTTAGCGCGAAAATTCCTCCAATTTCTGCAAATGCACAGTGTTATTTCATCAAAATAAAATGGATTCGCAGCTAATTTATCACAATGTTCCAACACCGCCGGCAACAAACATACCGCTGGCGGTTGCGGCACCAGACGGCGGCTTCCTTTATGCCGGCGTACGCAGCATAAACTACATATCAGCAGACCCGGCAAACACCGCGGAGAAGTCGCAGGTTAAAATCATGTCCACGCGCTTCAACATCATTGCACTCGATGTCAGTCCCATGTGGGGCAAGCGGAGCCAGCCATTTGCCATAGTTGGCGACGATCTGAGTGTGCAAGTCTGGGACTGCATGCTGGGCGGGGCTGTTACCGGACACAAGGCGCATCAGCATCAGCACGAGGCACGCAATTTCAGGGGAAACCGTCCCTTTGAAACGTCTGTGCTGATGAGCTACATGAGCAACGGCAATATACTTTCGATAGATGCCAGCGATTTGGTTATCTACTGTGTGGCCTCTAACACCTATTGCCGTCGTCCCATATTCATCCCGTCACGCGTGCACCGCCTCGAAGTCCTGCGCTGCTCTCCCTATAACGACAACATATTTGCCGTGGGCACGGCCTTGGGAGCTGTTTTAGTGTGTGACCTGCTCAAGATGAGCATTCTTTACAAGTTCACTGGCCACAAAAGCTGCATCAATGGATTGGCATGGCGGCAAGTATCCCTTCCCTATGAGGAGGAAATGTTGAATGAGTTGTCCTCACGAGCTGAGCAGTGGCGCAGTCACAAAGCAAACGAGGATGAGGTAGCCGAAGCCAAAGTCGAGGTCAAGGTCGAAGCCGAAGCCGAAGCCCCTTCCAAACCAAAACCGAAACCCCCTCAGCTCGTCAAGTCGAAGGCAGCCGAATCCGATGATCCGTTTGACATTTACAACTTTGATCATCTGGAATGCGAATTCGGGGCCCCAGTCGATGCTCGTCGCAAGTCATCCGACGATTGCGGCGACGACTTTGTTGGCCTGGAGAAGCCAGCAGGGGCCGCTGCTCTGGATTTTGTGGAGGCCTGTGAGAGCATGAGGGCGGATATTATGGCAAATCGCTCGGAGGCAGGTGGCGAATCTGGCCACCAGCATGTGGAGGTCACCTTAGACGACTGCCAGCCTACAAAGCCAACTGGTCCCCTCAGCGATGCCAGCACCATAAGCAACAATGGCAGCCGAACAAGCAACAATCAGAATGCCGCCCTGCCCAGCGACTCGACCGAAGGCAGTCTGGAGGTGATCCAATACAGCTCCTCCAGCGACGATGCCGTGATCGTCGATGGCGATGCAGCTAAGCCGAAGAGAGAGGTGCTGCATCACATCTATCACCGGGCCGAAGTGCACGCACCAGAGACACCTCAAATTCAAGTGAATCCCGTGCCGGATTCAATAATCTCATTGGTTGAGGAGAGCAGCACAGAGTCCATCAATTTGAGTTCCATAAACTCGTCCATTCGGCCAGACGTACTCCTGGTCTCCATTGACTCCGAAGAGGTGGTGATGATCTGGAATACGAACACGGGCGCCCATGCCGGCAAGAACTACAGTCACATCAAGTCAACAGGTGAGCTCCATGTGAAAAATAAACAGCCCTGGACCATGCCTTTATCCCTGGATCCCATCTTTTCAGATCAGTACTGCAGTGTCCTGTGGCTAAATGACCGCACCATTGTCTCCCTGGGTCGGCATCAGTTGTCCTTCTGGTCGCTGGTATATGACCGCAAAGTGCTTCGCTACAAGATCAGCAAGGACAACGCACACAAGTGCGGCACAAAGGACATACTATCTGTGGCCAGTACTTGCAGCAATCGGCAGCTTTGGGTGTGCAAAACCAATCGCACAACTGGACTGATGGATCCCCTCACTGGCCTCACAACCTCCCACTATAGCTCACTGGCATTTGGAGTGCGGGCCATGGTCGAGTGTCCGGATGATATGAACAAGTAAGTAACCCGTGAATTTTCTTAATACATTGCTCATTTTCGTATTTTCGCTCCCTCGTTGTGCAGAATCGCACTGGGATGTTCGGACCGTCGCGTGGCTTTCTTTGATCTGTCTAAACTTCAGACGAACGGCGCGGCCATCAACACTTATAACGTTGGCAGCAACGTCTACTCCCTGGCTTGGAGTCCCGACTGCTTGCAACTTGCCTGCGGCACCTACGATGGAACTGTAAGTTTTTACTTTGATTTTATTTCAGAAACATTAATCAACGTTCAACAATAGGTAGTGATACTCGACGTGGAGAGCATGAAGGTGAAGAGAACCATTCAAGGGCCCCAAAAGAAAGAAGTCTACAGTTTGGTGTGGCAGGATAACTACATCTACTTCGTGGTGAACCGCAAGCTTTACCTCGTGGACGTGACCAAACCCAAAGCCGGTAAGTGAAGAAGCTCTGCTCAGCCTCGCCTCGCCTCGCCTCTCTCATTTGTGCTGTCGTGTGTTGTACATCTGGTTCTGTGCATGGCGCTGGCCATAGCTGATCTTTGTCTGGGTATCGTGGGTCTGTCGCTTGCGTATCTCTGCCATGTGGATGGTCTCGCGGTGGTAGTCCCACGCATTCCATGTCACATTTATCCAGTTGGGGGCCGACAGGTCGTTGGTGACCACCATTTCGGTTTGACCTGCGAAATCTTGTTGCTTCGGAGGTTCCACAATCAGTTCCTGCAGCTCTTGGGTTATCAGCGCTTCGTCCAGCTTGAAGAGCAACGCCAGGTTAGCACTATTGAAGATCACCTTCCTGAAGGCAGGTATGAACTGCTCGAAGCAGAGCTCCGTGAAGCGGGCGTACATGTGGTCCCTCAGCCCAAATGTTATGTTCACGTTCATGCAAAGCTGCCGCGTCACCTTTGCCGGCAACAAAAGCCCGTTGGTTATGGTCAAGGTCAGTGCACAAAAATCCTTGATATCCGCCTGAGCTAAGCTGCAAAAGTTGCCGTCCGTGTGGAAGTCCGTCAGTATGGCCATGCGATCAAGAAAGTTGGTTGTTTGCGGCTCCTGGATGCGTCTGTTCAACGCCTGAAGCTCGGCAATTGTGGCCTCTGCCAGATCCTTAATCTGAGGGCCCACCAGCAGTTCCAGTTGCTCCCGCAACTTGTTTAGCTCGACAATGTGATTGAGGAAGTTATTCAGATTGCTCCACACCTGCGAGATGTACACAAAGTGGGGCTAATGGATGCCCAGAGGGGTGTTAGAAGTGAGCTGACTCTTTAGAGGGTGAGGCTTTCCACTTACGAATATCAGCTCCGAGTCGATGGCCGTGCGCATGGCCAGCGTGTCATTTATCTTGGCCACCACACAGTCGTAGCGCTTCTGCTCCACCTCAATGAGATAGACGGTGCTCTCATAGCTGCCATGCAATGTGCGCAGGCAGCGCTGCAGCATGGCGTAGATGATGGAGAACTGATTCAGGCGCTGCAAGTGCTCAAGGGGCACTCGATAGGTCATCGTGGTGTCCTTGGGATCCAGGTGAATCAGCTCATCGATGGCGGTTTGGCAAATCGATTGCATTTTGGCCGCTCCATCCAGAGCCAGCTGGAAGGCAGAGCTCGTGTTCTTCTGCGCCATTTCCAGGTCGCCAACGACTGAGATGGGGGGAAAAATCAAAACCGTATACGGTTTACAGATCGCTGCACTCACCAAATCTCACATTCTCCCGGTCCCCATCCGGACCATCGTTGTTATAGATGACGATGCCGCCCACAGTGGCCGCCAGTCGCTGGAGGTACTCCAGTCGATGGTACTTCTTCTTCAGCACATAGTTCTGCAGGTCGCTACGCCCGATCACGCTGTTCAGGGCCTGGGCGGTCAGCTTGAGCAGCACGTGGTTCTTGGGACAGCCCAGGTTGTAGCAGGCCACAATGAAGACCTGCATCTTGGCAAAGAGCTGATCCAGCTGCGCCTTGCTGCAGCTCTCCGGATACTGGAGAATGTCGTCGATGAGCAGCTTCAGTTCTTTGAGGAACTTCTCCTCGTACTGCTCCTTTACGTACTGCAAGTCGATGGCCCGACCCTTTTTCATTACCCACGACATCTTCATGTTGGCCATGGTGCAGTCCACCGGACTCACATAGCTCTCTACAATGCCGTCCACGAATCTCATCATGGCACAGGCATTCTGCTTGTTCAGGTCGCTCTTGAGCAGGCCCCGCCGCAAGTCGCGGGCAAGCAGATGCACCACAAAGATGATGAACTCCTCCTCCACATCCAGGTCGAGTTGTTCGAAGCGCTTGATAATGCGCCGCCCAATCTCCACCAGGGTCTTGTGTCGCGGCATTATAACTGAACAATAAATTTGATTTGTTAAAGAGGAAAACTGGGGCTTCAACTGAAGGCAAATGTGGAAATGTAGGGGCTGCTTGTTATTTCTTTTTTTAAGCCGTTGCTCCTGGAAACGTCAGCCTACTTACTGTATTACTCAATACAGTGGAGGGGGGCTATATATATGTATATCTATGATCTGTTCCCCAAAAGATGTTAACAAGCTTCACTTCCTTTGCATTTCTTTGACAGAACCTCTTGTTCTAAACCTAATGGAACGCCCGTGTTTCTTGAGCGTTCGTGGACCTTTCCTGTTTTTGGGCTCCGAGGACGGTGTACTGCAGTTGCACGAACGTAGGCCCGACCGGAATCCCAGCTGGGGCCCAGCGCTCCGCCAGTCTGCACTGCTGTCTCGGTACGTTACGGACATTACCTGGAATCCGTTGGAGAGCAATGTGTTTGCCGTTGTGGGCCACGACAAGCATATCATAATACTGGAATTCCTTGAGGCAGAGCGCAACTGGAGGACGCTCCATACATTCACAGCCAGCGATCCAAAGGGCTCGATCACCTCGCTGAAGTGGAGCAACTGCCAGAAGAACCATTTGCTCAGCTTCCACATCGAGGGAAAGGTGTGCATGTGGGACACTCAGGATCCGAAGAAGGCGCCTCTGACCATCACCTACCACTGCCCCATGTGGTGCGGCATGTTCCTGCCCTCCGATGAGAATGTCGTGATGTGCTCGGGCAAAGCGGTCTCCCTGGAACTTATCAATATAAAAGACGCCTTGGCTGGCGACGAGAGAAACATTTGCTCTAAAGTGGATGGACTGCTCAATGTCAAGTGGGCCACCAAATCCCTGGTGCAGTCGTATGCACCGCCCGCCAGTGCAGAGGTTAAGAAAAATAGGCGCACCGGTCGACGAAGGTATCAAAAAGGCTACTCTGGAGGTGCGCGTAAAGTGCAAGAGGTGGGAGTCATCCCAGATCGCGAGGCGTCGAATGACGGCCAAAAAGTAGAAGAGATGTTCGGCGCTCTGAGCCTGGACCAAAAGAAACCAGAGCCAAGCCAGAGCACAAACGAGTGCAGCAAGTGCAAGGAGAATGACGCTGCCAACCAGGCTCCCGAGAGTGTCGCTACCGTAAGTCAAAGGTCAATCTAGATGTCACCATTGCACTTCATTACGCTTCATTCTGTTTTCAACCACAGAATAACCGCACCTGCCTCTACCTAACTCACAAGGATCTCAACAAGAACGCCCTGGCTAAGCTGGCCATTGTACTGACCGAAGATGCGGTAAAGATTGACAAGTCCGTGCTCCTGTCTAAACTGTTCGGCACCAAGGTGATGGCCAAGGAGCTCATTGAAGCGGAGTGTAAGTGAAGTTCAAGCTCGAGCAGAATCTCAATGACGTGAGAATTATTTCAGTGACCAACTTAAAGCACTCCAATTCGAAGGATATTGCACCACTGTGCCTAACCATATCCACATTTAAGCTGCGCAAGGAGTTGGAGGAGCACATTGCCAACAAGACACTCACGGAAGGTCACCTGGCTGTGGCCCCCTCAGTGTCCTATGTGTAAGCATTTGGCCACGTCCTTTGCATCACTTTGCATCACTCGCTTAAATCCCAAAATTTACTTTTTAGGTTTTGGAGAGACTGTTGCGAAGCCTATGCCAAGCAGATGGAGGAGAAGGGCTACATCATGCATGCGGCCACGTATCGCTTTAGCTTGGGCCAGCACAGGGAGGCCATCGATCTGCTCTTGGCCCACGAGTATTTTAAGGAGGCCTTGGTCCATGCCCGCATCAGCCTGCCGGCCACTGACCCCATGATAAAAACCATCATCAATCAGTGGTTGGAGAGGCTGGAGAAGACGGGAAACTTTGGAGCGGCTGCTCTGATGTAAGTGCCACATCGAAATGCATTGTAGATAGTGAAAAACTAATGCCATTCCCTCCACAGCTGCGTGCTGGACAACGAGATGATGCGTGGGTACACCTATCTGCGCAAGTTCCACAATTGCACGCCCGAGATTGCCGATCTAATGGCCCAGATTAAACGCATCGGCCAGCTGGGCGAAGTGCTTGATGGCTGTGCTCCCGGCGAGCCACCGGCTTTGAATGGCGAAGCTAGCGACCAAGTTGCCTAATTGTTATTAAGTTTGATTCAAACATAGAAAAGGCTGTACACACATGACATTTATGCATTTCATAGCAGAGACTAGAGCCTGCGCCTTAAATGAAGTATTTGATTTAATCAACGAAGAATGAAAATCAAAAGAAATTCACAATAGTTGGAGAAAACACCAAAATTGATTTTTGAATAAATGAAAATGAGAAACATTAATTAATTAGAACCCTAAGTCCCAGCCCCAGGCCCAGCGGCCTGGGCCATTCATTCGAGCCACTTCTTATCAGGCATAAGACCTGCGGCCCAGACAAAGGTATGACCGTTAGGCCTTATTTTTGTCTGGTCTGGGCCTTTGTTTTTGGCTGGAATCAAATTATGCAAATGCCGGGCGGGGAGGTGCCCGGCCTCTGTCCCCACCTCCCTCCCTGCCCAGCATCATTGCCAGTTAGAAATTAAGTCTTAATTGTTGGTACAAAAGTCAGGGCGAGTGAACTTGCTGCACGGCAGACGACCAGAAAACCAACAAAATCTACAAGCAGGCAAACAAACAAACAAACGAAATATTCAAATGAACGACAGACAGAAGCAGAGCTCGAGCTCTGGCCTGGTCGGGGGACCGGGCCCCGAGCACATTTCAGTTGCCAAACAGCCGTCGTAGCGCTCGCTCAGCTGGCGCGCAGATCAGAATCCATGGTTCGGTGTCGTTCGGCGTTCGCTTCGTTTCGTTTCGCGTTTCCTCCCAAGTCATTTTCGAATTTCACTTTTAACTGTTTGTAGGCAAGCGCGCCAACTCGAACGTACCGTTACCGCTGCACGTTACGGTTATTTATGTGAGTGACCGAGAGAGGAGAGGAGAGGAGAGTAGAGTAGAGTGGTGACCCATCCACACACATATGTATGTATGTACGATACGTACGATGCAGATTGTGTGCGAGTATTGTCAGCACATGGCATGTGCGTGTGGCTCTGGGGAGGCGGACTGAAAACACTCCGCAGTTCTCACGTCCCATCAACTTTGACTTGACCCAGCTTACGCTTGCGCTTATGGCCTAACCGTTGTACAATTAAATAACAATTAGATTATAATTATGTCCAAAAGCACATTTCGCTTTTGCAAAACAAGTTTTTTCAGTTTATTCAATTTGTGCGGGTAAAAGTGTTGAGAACAAAAGTGGTCCTCCCCCCCTCGTCCCCTCCACCGACTCCGCCAGCATAGCCTCAAGCTCTGCTCAGCGAACGACGCAATTTGCATGCGCGACAAGACAAGCCCAAAAGCTTCGCTTCTCTTCTTCGGGCATGACTCAACATTGAACAATTTTTGTCGTATGCGCATGCGTGTATGTCTGGTGTGTGTTGTGTGTGTGTGTGTCTGCGAGTGTGTCGTCGCTGAGGAGCAATCATTTCTTGGTTGACTGATAATTTGTACGATTTTCCTTACTCTTTTTGGTGTATTTCTTATGGGCTTGTTGTAACTGCTTGGCTTGGGCCGGGGATTAATTGGAAGTGAAAGGTAGTCATACACATAGTAAACCCATTCATGTAGTTTTGATTGCATTTTGAAACGCATATCATAACGGTAGCATTCATTCATTTCCTTTCCTCTTCATTTCGACTTCATTCCATTTCGACTTTAACTTTACAATATAATAATAACAATTTGCATAACTTTGCTGCTGCATTGTTGCTTATTCATGCATTGCATTCAGTTGGCAATGCACTGAATGGTGTTGCCATTGTTAATGCTGTGTGTTGTACGGTACGTAGCATTGTTGCACTTCTGCTATTGAACCCGCCGTCATGCCACCGACACGCAACGCAACTGCAGTCATAATCGCATTAACAACAATCACAAAATTAATTCAATTTCACGACTCGGAAAATACAATGCAAAAGAAATAAATAAAACCAAAAAATATACCAGAGACGACAACAAAATATTTTGAAATGTGGTTCAGATGGCCTGGCATGGCCTGGGTTCACAGAAATTATGTTGAATCTGCATAATTTCGTAATCATCGCAGCGGGAATACCTCGCTTCGACATGGGTGTGGCTTGGCTGGCACTCAGTCAAGGGCGCACTGGATTCGTTTTGCCACCTTTCCCTGCCACTCCACAGCCAGTGCTAATGGGTAGCAGCAGCAGCAGCAGCAGCTGCAGCCCCCTCTGTGATCCCGAAACCCGTTTCAATGGCGGCAGCTTTGCCCCCGAAAAACCGGACAACAACCCAAAGAGCTGGCTAAATATACATATGTATGTATGTACATGTGTATCTATTTTTGTCCAGAAAATTAGCAATAAAACGGAGTTGGCTTGCAATTCTTTCCGGCCACCAAAGAAAGCCAGAGGCAGGCCAAGCCACTGTGAGACTGGGACTCGAACTCGGACTAGGACAGGAAAGAGCTTAGTGCTGGCAGGGGGTTTGGGGGGCCCAACTGTGCAACGTCTGCGGAATGTCAATGGGGCAAGTCAACGCCTGACACATTAAGGTGCGCATATCCGGCGCGTCGCTCCATATGGGGAGGACGCAGGCAAAGAATAGCCCAGCCCAGTCCATGCCGCAGCCACAACACGCCCCCATCATATTCGATGATCATGATGATGATGATGAAGATGATGTTGATGGCACACCTGCGCGATGACGGCATTGACAGCGAGTTCGTCGCCTCGTCTGGATGACGCTGTCTATTATAGGAAGATTACCGTATCCGTCTAAGCCGCTAACTGCCTCTAGCTCTGACTCTGGCTGTGAGTGATGTGTTGGCGAGGCGTCTCAATTGCCTACACTCCACAACACAAGATCGTGGGCAATTATATTACCTCAGAAGTGGGGCTCAGCTCTCACTGAATGGGCTGAAGATTATCAGCCATTTAAATGGTCATTTAGGAGATGCTCTGGCTGCTTCTTCAGAGTCCTCAAGTAGCTAGCCCAATATACACGTTGACTTTGTAGTGCAGTGTAATTGATTAAATGATTTAATATTAGTTTTGCTTGGCTTTGGCGAGCACACAAATTCATTTGTCATGACATAAGGCAACAGGCACTCCACTCCACTCGGTAGCTGGCAACAGTTGGACAGAGTTAATATTTGAGCACGCGCTGGCCCCCTCACTATATATACATATGTATGTACATACATATATCGTCCATAAACATTGGTTTAGGGTCAAATATTTGCTTGGCTAGCGCCGTGGGGCATAACAAAAGATTTGGGCAAAGGCAACGGCAACGAACTGGCTTTGTAGAAAAGTGAAAATCTTCTAGAGAATATGGCACAGGCCGTTAGCTCTCGAAAGATACGACACTCGAGAGAGTGAATGTGTGTGTGTGTGTGTGTGTGTAAAACAAGTTCGTTGCCTAAGTCTTTTGTTGGACGAGTATTTTGTATATCGAACAGCTTGAATCGTCTCTCAAAAACACAAACACAAACGCTTGGCCACTCATTCGAATTCTCATTTCAGCATCAACCTAGCATGACAAGGCTCAATTAGGCCGCTTAACGCTTTCATCCAACCACACCAGACACCAAGCACCAGCAGCAGCAGCGGTCTGGACTCAAAACTCATTCAGACATAAACCAAGATCTAGAACTAGAGCTTCTTCCCGCCACGCATCGCACCACTGACCTCCTGCGGGCGAACCAAGGCCGGCACCAGCTGGTGGTTGAGCAGGCAGGCGGCTTACCATTCCCATCTCCCTTCCCTTCCCTTCCCATCAACACATACCACACTTTACTGAACAATCTTCTACTACCATCTTCTGCCGAAACCGCTAACACCAACCACAACTACAACCGCAACTGAAACCGAAACACGAATAAAATGAATTATCAGAAGGCCAGTGAAAAGCATTCGCCGTCCTCATTGAAGCAGAGGCCGTCGGCCAACGGCGGCAGCATACAAAACTTTTGGAACGAACGCATTATGGAGCGCTTTATAAAGGCGAATCTATTCATTATATGCTGCGTGGTGGCTGTTCTTATGCTGGTGAGTAGTAGCAGTAGTACTCGTAGTGCACTGGCGAAAAAGTCCTCTATATTCTCGATACACATTCAATACTATATACGTTCAGATTAAGATGCTTTAAGTACCAGATGAGCACCAACTTAGATAGGCAGATAGTTAATCTCTTTTGCTCCGGTGTGGGCACAACTTGGTGATATATGAGCAACATATCTTCTGCCATCCCTCCTCCGTAGATCTTTCCGTCTGTCTCTTTGGTCGTCTTGTCTCTTCAACTGTTTGTCCGGGTCTGTCCGCTATCAGTGTGAAAACATTTTTGCCCCATTAAGTGAAAACGAAATGAAATCGTTTTTGTGCATCGTGCAAAATGTTTTGTTTTGCTCTCTGTGTTTGTGCTGTCAGAGGGGCAGAGACTTTGCAGATGGGGGAGCTCATTAATTGATTGATGGATGATTGTGGGGCAAAGATGTCTCCGGTTTTTGTTCCGCCACATACGAGTACCGACCACATCACACAGCATCTTCTTTTGCCATCTTTTGCTTGATTTATGTTTTCGCTTTTCTTTTCCGATTGTGGGTTAATTTCCATTTCCATTTCTCTCATTCCGATTCGCCCGCCCCGTGCCACGGCAGATTGTCTACCTGGGTGCCTTCTCGTGTGAGGTCTCGTGGATACTGGAGGCCCATGGAGAGCTGCCCTTCGCCGCCTATACGCTCTGCACGCTCTACTTTGTGATGTTCGTGGCGACCACAATTCTGATCCACGGTCTGGTCAGCGGTCTGTGCTGGCCCCTCTTCGCCTGGTCGGGCATCATTGGCCTTCTCTCCATCCCGGAGCTGGTCTTTGTGATGATCATGACCACACAGCACTGGGTAAGCACTGAAGCCGCACCTGCTACTCGACTACTGTTCCATAATTCCATCTATCCGATGATTCCAGGGCCTGCAGTCCGTGCACGGTCTGACGGAGCTGACCTCGTACCTGATCCGCCTGATCATCAACTGTTTGGCGTTGATCTGCGTCATACCCACGGGGATTCGATGGCGCCGCGAAACGCAGGTGCTCAGCCAGCTTCAGGGCCTGGCCACGCGACTATCCCTGCAGACCCCGGCGCCGAGCGTGCCCATGACCAAGGCGGATTCCAGGCGCTCCAGCCAGCGGCTGAGTGGCTTCGAGAATGCAGGCTATCAGCTTTGCGACGAAACGGCTGCCAAGCTGCCACTGGGCCCCGGCTTGGGGATGGGACTGAACAACCAGTGCGGCAATGGCAGCCAGGCCTATGGCTCCCAGAACGAGTTCAATGCCAGCATGTTTGCACCGGCCCTGGCACAGCAGTTCAACAATGCCGCCCAGATGCAGAGAGCGGGCGGAGCAGGGGGAGGAGGACCTCCTGGACATCGCGCCCAATCTCTGATGGACCTGCGCTGCACCTTGCCGGGCATGTACAACCCCCGCCACGTCCTGGACACAGAGGACAAGAATGCCAAGTACTTCAACATAACCATCGACGACCTGAAGAACAATCTCCAAGACTCGCACCGGCCGTCACCTCCCTCGCTCATCGGCTCGACCAGCAACGATCCCATCTACTGCTCCATCGAGCCCAAGCAGATGACCCCGCCGCCGGCCCAACAGCGTCCCAACCACGGCCATCGACCCAGGGGCAGCCACAAGCAGCCGCCGCCGGGACAGCTGTCGAGGAACTGCATCTCGCTGGAGAACCTGGACGGGATCAGCAAGGTGCAAAACGACCTGAACGCCTACGGCAACAACCTGCTGCAGAACTACACCCAGCAGCAGCAGTACTACCTGGCCATGCTGCTCAATCCCCTGCACCAGCAACAGCAGCAGCATCATCAGCAGATGCAGCAACTGCAACAGCACCACCACCAGGCGGCAGGGGGCATCTACCGCAGGCCCTCCGCCTGCAGCTCGATTGGCGGATTCACCGGCACGGTGCTCGCCCAGCCGCGACGCGGCTCACACCACAGCCAACAGATGCAGTACTACGGCGGCTTTGGGTATGCCAACTACGCCAATCCCTACATCACGGCCAACAGCAAGCTGTCGCTGGGCAACGAGTCTGACGACTACCGCAAGTACCGCGATGTGGCCCTGTAGGCCGTGTCCAGATTCAGTCCAGTGCAGTGCAGTCAGTCCAGTCCAGTCCAGTCAGTGCTTAGATTTTACTTTAATTATAGATTGTAGGACATGCTCGACATAGAATGAGATTCCTCGGAATAACGACCAAAGAGCCACAAACTAACTCAGTTTACGTTCGCAGACCAACACGTGGTGGGGGAAGGAGAAGCGACAGACTAGACTCCATGTTAAGTTATAGTTTACCCAGAGAGGAACTTGCTAAAATCATCGACCAACCAACTAGCACCATCAACTAGATTCTCCCTAAGTTTAGACGTAAGCATCGACAGCGAACATTCATCGTTTAATATTGTAGCCTAGGTATACGAATACGAATAACAATACTCGAATAATCGAATACTCGGACTGATCGTCAGTCCCAATTGTAAGTAAAGGCAATCATGTTTCACTTGAAGCCCAACAGATCGGCCAGGGGATTGTCCCCAGAGCTGGCTGGAATGGTTGCTGCAGTGCGGGTTCTGCTGGGAGCGGGCTTGGCCACACCTTGGGGCAGAGGCACAGGCGTAGGCTTGGCCTGTTTGGTCGTTGCAGCCCCTCCGAATAGATCATCATCGTCTTCGTCATCGCTAAAGAGGCTCGTGCTCTTGCTCGCCTGGATGGGCGCGACCTTTTTCTTGGGAACAATCTTCGCCGGCAACTTGAAGTCCTCATCCTCGTCGCTGCTAAACAGAGATGCTGCTGGCGGTTTGGAGAGCACCTTGGCCTGTACAGTGGGCGGAGGGGCGGCCACTGCTGCACTGGCAAACAAATCGTCATCGTCGTCGCTCTCATCGAACAACTTGACAGGTTCCACCGGCACCGTAGGTGCTTGTGGCTTCAAGTGATCTTCCGGCGGCTCACTGTGCAGAGCAGCAGTCATTACCGTAGCCTTGGGAGCTGGCATGGTCGACAGGGTCTTTGCTGAAGGGGCCGACACTGTCATCGCAGGACCAAAGAGATCCTCATCTTCATCATCACTGTCCAAAAAAGATCGTACCAGTTTGGGCAGGGCGGGGGTCTGGCTTGGAGCCGCTGCTTTCGATTTTGGAGCTATCTCAGCTGCTGGCGGCTGCCCATCTTCCAGCACACTCTTGGCGTAGTTCTCCTTCCTGCCCTGCCTGGTCGAAGGTCGCCTTCGAGACGGGCCTCGAGCGCGTGTTTTGTTCACATGTTGCAGGCCGTTCTCCCTGCCGATGAGGGTGGAGGTGGAAGTGGAGTTGACGTCCTCATTGGTATCAGACACTGACACTTGTGCTTCTTGTGGGGGATGCGCAGGCTGCTGTTTCTTTGGGAACTTGGGCAGACCTCCGGCGCCAGGAAGCAAAGCCTGAACATTGATGTTGATGTTGGGCATCTTCAGTTTCTTCACGGGAGATGTGGGAGTTGGCGGGTCAGCTGCTTCCTGCACCTTGCTGTGGTCCACTTCATCAGATGGTGGATGCTCCTCCTCCTGCACAACGGAAGGCTTGGTGGGATGGCTTTGCCCTACCGCTCCTGCGCCTGCTCCTGCTCTAGCCGTTTCACTGAAGTCATCATAGAAAATCGTATGGATGCGTGTTGTAGTTGAAGTAGCCTCGACTGGGTGTGCTGCAGATTGTTGCAGCGTCTCAGCAGCATCCCCGTCGTCATCGGGTGGCACATCGCTGAACAACCCAATTGCCCCATGGTCGACTGGGGTTGCTGCCGGGGTCTTGTTTGCAACTGGAATCTGGGGCAGCGCCGGCTCAAAGAAGTCCTGCTCGTTCTCAAACATTTTCGAGGCACTCAGGCTGCTGAGACTGCTGCTGCCGAGTGTCTGGAAGAACTCGCTGTCATCCGGAGGCTCCTCGGAGAAGAGACTTGTGTAGTTCTGCATGATTTGCTGGGCAGCATCGAGGTCGGCATCGGGCTCAGTCGAAGTGGCTTCTTCTTTGGTCGATTTATTAGTGATATCAGCCACCATAGTTATGATGGGGTCTTCATCGTGATCCAGGTCATCCGGCGGAGGGGTCTCTGAGACCGTTGGACCCATCTGTGGGCTACCAAAAAGATCCGCCATGACATCTTCCGTTTTGTTCGGTGGCTCCAGAGTTGGGAGGAGTGTCTCTGTCCCTGGTAGTTTCTGTGGCTTAATCTCTGCGTCCAACACTTGTGGCTCAATCTCATTACTAATTTCCGTCGTAGTAGCAGTAGCAGCCTCTTCTGGCTTGCTCTTTGCTGTGCTCAAAAATGAATCATCATCGCTGAAATCTTCGTTGAACAAGTCAGCAGCTTTGAGTGGAACAGTTTCACGTGCGACCTGCTGAGGGTTCGATTTCTCTTCAATAATCTCAGTGGCTGGTGCGGATTTGTTGTGAACATATTCGTTCTCCGGTAATACCTCCCGTTGCTTCTCTTCAACTTCCTCCGCTGGCTGGGTGTTCCCTTGAACAATCTTTAATTTCTCTGTTTTGTTATTAGCTTCTCCATCTGCTGAGGGTTGTTCAGGCTGATTGTGATCCCCGCCTATGGCAAACAAGTTCTTGGACTTTGGCGTTCCGAATAGATCCTCATCCTGGATGTCATCAAAAAGATGCTTCTTTTGTGCCACATGCGTCTCTACTTTCTTTTCAACTGGCAGATATTTCTCTTTAGCTGACTCCTTCTTTGAGCCAAAAAAATCTGTGACATCATCCTGATCATCATCATCGAACAAAGAGGTTTTTCCCACCAATCTGTCCGAAAGTTTGTTTGGCTGTGTCGATGGCTTGACAAATATATCGTCTATATCCAAATCATCATCATCGAATAGCGAAGATTTTAGTTTTTGGTCTGGCGGCTTTGGCTTGGGCGAAAAGGAACTCAAGAAATCATCTTCCAGGTCATCATCGAATAGAGATTTTGGCAACGGTTTCGCAGGCTCTTTGGGAGGAATTTGCCTGGGCTTGATACTCGAAGACGACGGCCCGTCATCAAAGATGGGCCCTGACAGATCATTGGTCGCATCCCGAATCGGAGTTTGCGTTGGGGTGGGGCTCAAGGGTGGACTGTCATCAAAGAGATTAACAGTCTTGGGCTTGGGCTGAGTTGCTACAATCTCATTGATCTGCTTAGGGGCGTCCGGTTTGGGTACTTGATCCACTGGCTTCTTTTCTTCAGGCTGCTTGTTCCCTTGATTCGATGTTCTAGCGGCTGTTGAGTTGTTTCCCGCCTTGTTCTGCACCTTGTCCACGATTTCAGACACTAGCGAGTGGAACTCATCATCATTAAAGAGATTGACAGGCTTGCGCTTGATTGGGCTGGAATTAGCGTCGGTTCTCTTAGGAATTTGTGTGGCAACAGCTTCGCCGAATAGCCTTGGGGGCGGGTGATGGGCGGCGCTGCTGCTGCTCGAACTCAGGGAGCCCTCCGATGCGATGAGCAAGCGTGCTGCAGTACTCCTAGGGCCAATGGCAGGTGAAGATCTGGGCGAGGATGAAGTAGATGGCGGATCATCGCTTGGCGGTGATTGCCGAAGGGCAGCAAACAAGTCACGTTCATGGGGGTTCCGTTGGCTGCTTATAATTGGACGTGGCTGTGTCCTATTGACAGCAGGTTCCCTTAGATGGTCAGCAGGGGCTAAGATAGGAGCTGCAGTGGCAGGAATCTGCAGCTTAACAGGGGGCACAACTACCATGGTCGCCGAGGCCAAGGATGAAGAGTCGGATAGCTGTGGCTGCACAAATTTGTTCTCTTGCTTTGGTGTCTTACTAGAGACAGGCTCCCTCTCATCCGATGAGCTGGACGAGAATTCCTCTGACTTTTCATCATCGCTGTTCTCTTTGCTATCGTAGAGTCCCGCATACTTATGCTCCTGCCATTCCTTGGAGCCAATAATGTAGGGCAAGGGAATGGCATCGTACGGGTTCATGGCGCGAAAGATTGTTCTGTCAATTTGAAAAGTTAATAGGGAGGGAATCTTCGTAAACGTAACCCACATACGTAGAACTAACTGGCGCATCTTCATCGTCCGAATCGTTGGGCACGTCAATGGTCACCGGCTCAAAGTTCTTGCGAAACATTTGCAGATTGTTTTCTAGAAATTCTTTCGACATTTCCTGCGAACTTTTTGGGGGAGACTCAGGCTGCAAGCAGATATTGATCATAAATAGTTCCCCAATGAAAATTCATTGGCTTATGGCACCTTCTTTTTCTTGTCAGCTGGCATCTCAAAGTCGTCATCGTCAATCTCCTGCACCCGGTACTCCACAAACTGCTGCCCGAACTGAAGCGAGCGCAGGCTATTGGTGGCATTGCTCAGCGCTATATCGGCTTGCCTGACAGTAGTTTCGAACTCTCTCAGATTCCGAGTGGTCCGTTCCCCTCGTTCTTGCAAGTTCTAGGCAAGAGAATATTAATAAATAAATAATAATAATTTTTTTGATAAGCGAACTTGAGAGATGCGCTTCATTAGCGCCAGAAGAGCACAATCGCCAGCAAAGTTCCATTCCGGTGCCTGGGCAGTAATATCTGCTATTTCTGCACTTATATCCATTGCCACTTGAAAACAGATTGCAGATTTACAATTTAATAACAATAACTAATGAAGACAAAACAAAGAAAACGAAAAAGTGCACCACTGCACAACAGTGATGAGAGCCATTCCAATAACTGTTACTTGTTGCTAGCCAATAAAAATCACTGGTGATTGGGTTGATTCGGAGAGGCAACGTCGTATAAATGATAAGGAAACTAGAAGCTAAGCTATCGTTATAATTTACTTAATATAGTTATTTAGTATCTCATTTATATATTTAAAATAGATTTCTAGTCACGGTTTAAAAAGATATCACTGTGTTCTTAAAATCTATCGCTCATCACTATCCGGCCAGCTGTTTTTCAATCGCTATCGATAACGTCGATATTGATAGCACGTGTTGTGGAAGCGTTTTACTTTACCATACCATATATTTATTAAATATTAATAGCAGTTTTATTTAAAATACAATGGCTATGCTGGCAGAACCACGTCGCCGCAAACGGTATAATTTGTGCCCGCGCGGCAAAGCGCTCTACGAAGGTAAAGTATTCAAAATCAAAAGTTGAAGGAAAGATCTGAATAATGGCTATTTCGCAGATGATGCTCGCTTTGGCACCAAAATGCTGGAAAAAATGGGCTGGACCAAGGGTAAAGGTCTTGGCGCCAACGAGGATGGCCAACAGGAATTTGTTCGAGTTCGCTTGAAGAACGACGCTGAAGGATTGGGCTTCGAGGCAAGGGATGACCAGTGGACCGTTCATGAGGAGGGATTCAATGGGCTCCTTAAATCCCTCAATGGTGGCGCTGATGAAACCAATGGTGCAAACGGAGCGGCCTCCGCATCTGAAGATGAAGCCAGACCCATGGGTTTCGGGTTTAAAGCCGCAGAACCCGAGGAGCCACCTAAAAAGAAGCTCAAAGAGAAGATCAGTGGCATATCGCTGGAGGAGGCGTCCAAGGCGAGCAAGGCGCGAGTGCACTACAAGAAATTCACACGGGGTAAGGATCTATCGCAGTACAGCGAAAAGGACCTGGCCAATATTTTCGGCAAAAAGGCCACCGAAGATATTGCGGCACCAGTGAAAATAGAGCTGCCACAAGTAGAAGAAAAGGAGATAAACCCCAATTTTAGTGGCGTCACAACAGTTCCCACTGGGCTTTCTGTCCATGATTATTTCAAGCAGAAAATGGAAGCCATGAAAAATAGACTCAAAAATGGAAACGCAGCTACCCTGACGCAAAGCAAAGAGGATCAGACAGAGATCGACCAAAACGAGCCCATCAAAAAGAAGAAGAAAAAGGACAAGGAGAGAACGGTCGAAGTGCCTGCTGAGGTGGAGGAAAATGTAGAGCCTAAGCTAAAGAAAAAGAAGAAGTCGAAACGTGCGTCCGACCATGAAGTTGAGCCATCAGATAAAACTGAGAAAGAGAAGCCAGGGGAAGAATTATCTATAGATGAAACAGCTCCAAAAAAGAAAAAGAAAGCAAAGGAAATTGTAGAAACCATTGAGAGAGCCATTGCTCCAGAGCCAATTCAGGAAGTAGCAAACGAACCGTTGAAAAAGAAAAAAAAGTCAAGGGAAGGTAAAAAAGTGGTCGAGACCAAGGAAGTTGCAGAATCCGAAGAAGCGACGGCCGTTCCACAAGAAGCTGAGAATACACCATCATCCAAAAGTAAAAAGAAGAAAAGATCGAAGGAAACAGTTGAAAGCCTTTCAGAGCCTATTGAGGAGAAAGCCAGTAAAGTCTCAAAAAGTACACCTGAAGAATCCTTAGAAGAAGTTCCACTGAAAAAGAAAAAGAAGTCCAAGAAAGTCAAGGAGATAGACGAGGACATTGGATTGGAATCAGAGATCACTGAAAAATCGTCAAAGAAAGAGAAAAAATCCAAAAGCGATGTACCTGAAGATCCCACAACAGCACCAGCAGTTGACAGCGGAAGGAAGCACAAGGACGCTGTAAGTGCTGAACCCAACTCATCCGGCGATAAAAGCGATCAATCAGCCGATGAAGATCAGCCTGAGGAGCTCTTATCTCTGGACGAAATAAAAGAAAAAATCAAATTATTCAATATCTGTACCATCTCTCAATTTTGCGCAGACAAATTCCAAATGTTTGATATGAATGCGTTTCGAGACTCGACGCTGACTGAAATAACAGGCTACGGGAGCAGCGAAAACATGGAGCTGAGGGTGGAGGAGATGAAGCACGACGACAAGCGAATTATGGACCTTTGGAGGAATGAATCTTATGCCAGCTTTAAGAAATCTGATAGATTCACAAACCTCAGATATCCGCAGCAGGTGAAGCGCACAACGCTACGGGCAGTGAAGAAAAGATTCGCATTTCAGGCCATCTAATTAAGGCAAAACGAAATATATGTAATTCAACGTGATTCTTAATACGATTTGTTTGTACAGAAAGAACTTAATTAAGTAAATTTTAAGCTTCATGGTCTACATTTTAATGTGTAACGCCGTTAATTAAACTGAACTATACCCCGCAAAGCTGTGCCATTATCTTCAGTCTTATCCATAGAACCAAGATGCGGCGTGACTCTGGTGGGATATGCACTCCACTCCACTCTAATCCCCCTTTAGTCTGAGCTTCAATGCTAATTACTCACGCTGGTGTACATGTGTGGTATTGTAATATCAATGGGGTGCCGCCTTACAAGCTAATAATGAAATGTCAACATGCTTAAGACTAGTCCGGCGTCCCATTGCGATTCGCTAGACGACGTGAACGTCGCAGTGGTCTCTTGTCCTGATCGGAGCTCTGTTGACGTTTCTCCGACCGATTGGCGTTGTTTCGACTAAAGTTGTTCAGATGAACGTGCGTGTCCCACTGCGAAAGAGATACAAATGTGAAAAAAAGCCATCCACATGGACGCCACAATCTGTTTTTGTCAACTTACCGAACCGGACACGATTTCCGAGCGCACAGGATGCCAGTCCAAGTCCCTTACCACATTCCTGTGTCCCTCAATAGCCTCTTTAATTCTGCCAGTCAGTACATCGTAAACTGTAACCAATACGCAATTGAAGCTTATCTTATTGAATTTCTTTTCCATTTTGGCTACTCACTAATAATGCGCCCCGTAGAACAGCCTGTGTAGATGAAACGCTGCCCAGTCTGTTCCAAGGGCGAGAACTTGGCGCGCAGCAGTGTTTTGGTTACTCTATGGCCACGATAAGTCATTATGCTGGAGTCCCCCTCCATGGCCTTGCGGGGATCGTAAACTGCAAAAGAACCATTAAACAATAAATGCAGCCTGGAAATGTCTCGTATTCCTTACATGATTGTGGCACCCGGTTCCAGCGATAGTCCCACATCGATAGCTCCTGTCGCTCATGCCTGGTCCTGCTGCGATTTCGCGTGTTGCTGGGCTGCCTCAAGTCCCACAGCTTAATGCTTTGATCTTTGGAATTGGAAAGCACATAATAGCCGTCGTTGCGGGAATCAAGGTACGTGACGCCATCGTAGTGGCCGACTAGGGAGACCACAGCCTTGGACAGTTCCCGAGAGCGGAATGAGGTGCGCAGATCGAAGACCTTGATCAGACCGTCATCGCAGCCAGCGATTATCACATTTGGATCCTTATCATGAAGGTAACTGACGGTGTTCACGTCCGTGCCAGGCATCCTATGAGTGCGAAAGATTTGGGTGGCCCGCGTTTGAATGTCTGTTACGATGACCATGGAATTGTTGCTGCCACCAATAATGGTGTCGCCCGTGGGTGAGTACCGAAGCGAGAATATCGCAAGTCGCAGATTGGGCAATCCATGGACATCGATCCATTGGCAGTCGTCCTCAGTGCCGCTCACAGGCATAATGAAAACTGCAAGAACATGCGTGTACAATCGGATTTTGTAATTCCTGCTATGCGTTATGATGAACTCAGCAAGAGTAAAAAAGGGTCACACAACTTACACGAGCGGGACCAGGTGCTGTAGGCAAAGTGCTGGCCATTTGGACTGAAGTCAGCATCAATAATGCTCCACTCGACGTCGCGGGCTCTGATGCGATTCAGTAGATGATAGGTGCCCTTCGCTCCGTCATAGATGCGCACAAAGCCATCTGCAACAGGTAATACGTGTTTAGCGAGGTAAAACTTGACCGTTGTGTCAACCCATTCTGACCTTGACAGGCAATCAAGAGCTTGTCGCCCCGCTTATCAAACTTGGTCACAAATACTTTCGAGTCCAGCGACATCAGACGCGAGGACTTTTTATTTGGTATATACAGATTGGATATATAGCGCTGTTGGTTCTGCGAGAACGAGGCAGTGCCAGGCGCGGCCAGGCCATTTTCTCGCTGCTGCAGAGCGTGCAGGAGATTCCAGCGTTCGTTCAATGGCTTGCTGGCGAAACCACTCAAGGCCCTTATCTCTTTGTACATGTCGGAGCCCTGCAAATTCATGACGTACTCGTTAGTCTCGCCTCGATAGAAAGCTAGAGTATTTCATGATTACTTGAAATTTGTGCAGGTTTGGCTCTCCGCGAATTTTGGGCATTTGGTTTGTGTGAAAGCAAGTATTACGCATTTCCAGCTCCATCGCATTTACAGTAAAGTTGATATAATTGTTAATGTCACTGTTGCCTGAAGAATCATCGTCGTCACTTAAAAGACCCACTTGATTTCCCATTCTCCGTTCTTTTCCAAATGGGAATTAATTTTCTTTTTGTTATTAAATCCACAGTTTTAATACATTTGGTCTAGAGGTGTCAAACCAAAGAGGGCACTATCGATAGTACCGATATTTTACTGCTAGCTTCTACTATCGACGTTTTTGCGACTATCATGTGGTTCACACCACGAAAAGGAGGGGAAAGTCACCACGAAAACGCTCTCTTCCCTCAAAAAAGAGAGCCAATTTTGAAAACCCACCACGAATTGAGAGCGAAAAATGTCAGTATTTTTTGTGCGCTAAATGAATTTGGCGGTCATTTTCAAATGGAAAAATAAATAGTTCACTTGACTTGTTTTGTCGAGTGTGACTGGAACCTCAGAAACCGAGAAAAAATAGCTTAACCCCGCTCTATTTAATCAGGTTAGTAACCAGTAAATATCAACAAAAAAGGAATTAATAATTAATCGTTTGACAGCTCTAAGTTGGACATTTGTTCGAAACGTGAAAAATATGTGTGAATGCGTTTCGCATGCGGTCATACTTTTTGGTATATATTTGTGTGATACTAGGGCATACCGATTTCTTTTAGTGCTGAAAAACGAAGTAAAGCATTTAGAATTGCGTTGTTACAACAAAACACCTGATATGGTATATACCATGCGCCCAAACATATACGATTTCTATGTTGGAAAACAGCCAAGGCCCGCCAAATGATCGTATTCAACAAGACTTTAAGCACAATGGAGATTGCATTGTAGCATTGGAGGTATATTAGTAGTATAGTGGGCATTCGCTCACATCCGAAAAGGTTTTTACAGTCTGTTTGAATTCGACCATTAGGTCACATAAGAGCGGGATGGATGGCTGTACCTTATGATTAATTGTACCATGGTTCGTGGAATTCGATCTGAGACTCTGAGCCGAGCTTTGCTATTATTCGAGAAAGCGCTACATAGCTAGAAAAAGCTTGGCTCAAAGCGATCTCGACAACAAGCGTGGTTGGTTGGAACGGTCGGTCCAACTCGAATCTTGCAACTGTGTGAGTTGTGTGTGCGTTTGCGTGTGTGGTGTTGTATTTGTGTTTGGTAATGAAATTTGGTTACATTCCCAATCTGAAACTTGCCTTGGCTCTTCTCGGCCTAAACACACGAAAAATGCCAAAAATGTAATAAACCAAAACGAAGAATCGGAATTCCTCACACCATTTTACCAACTCTGCCGTGTTCTGTGCTTGTGTGTGTTTGTGTGTGTGCTTGGATTTTGCTGCTACACCAGCTCGTGGCGTTTGTGTGCGTGCGTGTGTGTGGAATTGATCATAAATACTTTTGCACAACGCGCCCCTCCACAATTCCAGAAGAAAGTTGTTTAGCATATGCGTCCGACCAGAGGCGCATAGACCCCGGGCAAAGCGGAAAGGAGAGGAAGTGGGAGGGCCCCAGCAGCACGGCAATAAGTATGTCAAAAAGGGCCTAGAACTGCAGCAACAAACAAGGCACGAATCAGCTACCCAGCTACATATATCGCGTGTGTATAATCAAGGCGAAATAATAAAAATAGTAATGAAGAAAGAGAAATAATTTACAAACAAAAACTGGAACGCGCGAGCCAGACTCGAAAAAGTGAAAGATTGCAAGCTGACGTTTGATGTTGAAGCAGACGCAGAGGCTGAGGCTGAAACTGTGTTTAACTGGAGTGACGTCGTTGTCTCAGTCATGGCCTAAACACACTCACACACACATATGTGCATTTGTGCACACATGGGTGGGGGGGTTGCTTAGATGCCACCACCACCTGTCATGGGCGCTGGCTGCACACACCGCTTCCCTTCCCTTCTGCTCATTCCGGAGCATAGTTCCAGCGACAGTTCCAGTGTCACTTCCACTTCCAGTGCTGTGCTGCAGTTTTCAATTACTGTTTTGCGACTCATAAATAATTTTCGTTTTCGGTGTTTCGGTGTTTGTGCTTCTAATTTATTGCCTATTGCGAGCTTGTTTTGGGCGATTTCTAAAAGCAGTCCATTGTGCCATTCAATTAGCACACAAGTGCCTGGAATCTGCCGATTTGCCCAAGTAATTCTCGTATAGTTTCTCTTGTTATCCGGTTCGTTTTGGTATCTCATGTTCAATATACATACATTTGTATGTATGTATCCCCCCCACCTCTTCCTGCATTCATCCAAAAGTGACGCAATCATTTGCATTTTATTTCAATTCCTATGATTGTTTCACTCTCTGGCTGAATAACCAGTTGCTGGCTGGCTGGCTGGCGTTCGTTTCGTTGCGTTTATCAAATCTCTAGTATCGGACTCTTGAATGCTATTAGCTCTGGCAATTATGCCAATTCAAGTTCATTATGCTGTTGCTGTTGTTGCCGATGCCGCTGCCGCTGCCGTTTACTGTTATTATTGGGTATTTATTTAATTGTCATTGTTAGCGCTTCGAACCGCAGCCCGAAACGAATCGAAACGAAAGACTTAGGCAACGAACTACCCTCCCATCGACCAAAAATTGAAACAGCCGCCAATCCCCAGATGCAAATGTCGCTGCGACCGTGCGACCGCTTATCAATTTATTTAAATGATTTCTGATTGCAAGCAATTGTTTAAGTCGAGCCACTTTCATTTTCCTTTATTTTCCGCCTCAGCCTTTGTCTTTTGCCATCATTTAAATCATATATTTACAGCATTCCATCCGCACTCGGATGGAAAGGAAAGCTGGAAAGAAGGCTAGTTTCCGACTCGGGCATACCCGCTAATCCACTATCCGTTCTACTATCCATTGATGGGATCAATAGGCTTAATAAATTTCCACTATATAGCATATCCTGCCCACAAGTCAAAAATATCTTTCAAATGCAGATCAACTATCAAATCATTTATTGACTCTGAAACCCTCCCTATTCTCTGATTTCGACACACATTCATAGAAACCTGTATACCCATCAAACAGTACGAGTACAGGGTGGAGTAAATACGGAACAGTGGAGAGACAATATGATGCTTTTGACAGGTATGCGAAATTCTATGCGAGCAGCTCCCATTTCCTCCTCCTCCTCCTACTCTTGTTCTGTAACCAAAGCAGAAGCTTCCCTGCTCGTCTCGTCTCAGTCACACCCAAGTGACCATGGTGGCATGACGTGTGATGTGAGTCGCACGAGGCGTTTTGTCAAAGACGCCCCCCTCCAGCCCCCCTCCCCCTAAGCTAATTGGCAGGCCAGGAGGAGGCAGGGCTACTCCTCAGCATTATGGATATCCGTATCCACATCCACATTTATGTTCATGTCCATTACAATTATCATTACACGCTAATTATGTCAAAGCAATGTCTAATTGGACCATTCAATCACACCGATTGTGATCGCATCAACGGATCATACGCTCTTTTCGTTTGTCGCCCTCGTGGGCGTTTCCATTCATGGATTGTCAGTTGTTGATTGATATTCGATTGCGGGGGCTGGACAACAAAACTATTCCGACGTAGAGATCAGTTACTCATCGCTGTGGACCACTGGTGACAATGTAAACTTGGGGGGTAACTTCTTGGGGCCGTTCACACACCTGGAACGGAGCTGCTGGAACGCTTGTCCGTCAAAAGCGGAACAAACTTTGATTCACAGCCAATCACAGTAATTTTGTGTTACAAAATATATTAACGGCCTTCGCCGCGTTTGCATTTGCATTTCCATTTTCCAACTCTTCATCTTTCAATCTTTCCATTTTCCATTAGTGCTGGAGCTGGAGCCCAAGTTGGAGCTGGCATGCCATCCGCCGTTCGACTGGGGCTCTGGCTCCGGCCAGCAACCTTCGGTGGGAGATGGCGGCGAGGTGACTATGCAACACACTCCCCCTCTCGATCCACTGGCGCAACGCTTAACGTTCATTAAACTTGAAAAGAAAGCAAAACGATGACGCTGACGAGGCTTCGACTTCGACTCTGACTTCCACTTGCAGTTTTGGCTTTGTCTGAGCTGAGCCGAGCCGCATTTGTTTTAATTTTGGTCAAAGCAACAGCCGCGTGGCAGCCACAGCAATAGCAACAGTTACAGCCGCAATGGCAGCCACAATAAGATTCAATTAAAGTTACATGCACTTGCCTCGAGGCGCATACCCGTAGATACAATATGCGAGTACTCGCATATGCTTTTTTCCACTTCAATTTAATTGTTGCAGCGAAACAACAACTACAACACGAATAACCGAAAGAAAACAACAATCGCGTCAATTAATCAAATGGAAAATGCAACTTTTGCTGGTGCCAGGCGTCTGTTGAAGGCGGTTCGGCGGTTCGTTCGTGCCACAGCAACAAAAGGCAGCAAGTTCAATTGTGGCACGTTCAACGCAGGCTCTGGCTACCAGCACGAGGTCAATGGCAAGGCGAAATACTTACCCGAAACCCAAGCGCAGGCCCAGTCCTATTCCGAACCTGTAACCCTTTTCGTACCCAAAAATGAATCGAATCCGCCTCTTGTCCACTTAATTAAAATTCATTAATAATCTGTTCACAGTTGTCCACAAAGCAGCCAAAAAGCCGAAAAAAAAAACAAATACAAAAAAAAATGAAAGTTTTGGCTCGGACGCCTGCGCAGAAACCAAAGTTTGTGTGGCTTTGACTTTGACTGGGCATTGGGGATGGGGCTGGTGCTGGGGCTGGGGCTTTGGGCTGTTGGCCAGTTTTGGTCTGGGCCAAAATCTAATCTCAACTTAAATAGGAAATCTGTCTCCCACTCAGCCAGTAATCAATTTGGTCATTTCTCGCTTATTTCCGTGGCACACAGCAGCTTCTGCCAGCAGCGGACGGATGATGAGGATGAGCGGCTGCTGATGACGAATGACGACGAACTGAAAGTGTCGAACCCCCAGAACCAGAACCAGCTCGACGCACCACAAACCAGCACCTTGTTCGGAAGCTGCGCCTGCAGAACAGATACGATTTCGAGTGAAATTAGAAGAGGAAAAGAAAAGTGACATATCCAACTGGCAACTGGCGACTGGCGGAACCAGTCTCCGAAATACCCAACGATACACACACAGAAGGAGCTGGAGAGAGGCAGGCAGCAGGCAGAAGCAGCAGCAGCATGTATCGCCCAAATTTCTACGAGTCGACGTGCCTGCGGTGCAGCGAGACCGTCTATCAGGTGGATCGTGTGGGGCCACTCAAGGATTTCACATTCTTTCATTCCGGTTGCTTCAAGTGCGTCCACTGCGGCACCAAGCTAACGCTCAAGACATATTTCAATAATCAACACAAGCAGGATGACAAAGAGGTAAGTGCCAAAGCCAAAGCCAGTGCCAGTGCCACAGACGAAACTACGAAAGACTCGGGCGACAAACGCGTCAAGCAGACACAGCTGCAAGATGTAAAAATGCGAAAATGCAAAAATGCAATTCGAATTTCGAACGACTCTACGACACTTTTCCGTGCCCATGCATAATAATAAATAACTCTGTTATTGCACTCTGCCGCAGCAGAAATGTGTGTCAGTGCGGTCTGGTCTGTCCGTCCGTCTGTCCGTCTGTCAGTCTGTTTGCCTGTCATCTATATGCAGCAGCAATATGCATATTTCTCGTTCATACATAAGTGTGCATTTATGTACACGAGCGTACAGTGCGTATCACAGTTATAAGACTATTACAGCTGTAGCAATCTTATAAATATTTACTCCAAAATTGGGTTGTAATTCAATAATTCAAATTATCAATTCAAACACACATTTTCTATGACAGGCGGTCTTAGATCGTTGACATTCCAAGCACGAACCGCGCTGTACTTTGGAGTACACTCGCACTGCCACCTGCTGTGTGTAGGTGCAGCGGTTTGGTGTTGCATTTGCAAGTGTCTCGTATCTTGGGGTCTGCTCACGCACTCGAAACGAAGCCGAATATGGCAATGGGGATATTGATTTGGGCATTAGATATAGATACAAAATATAATGATTCGACAATATCTTCCTCTAAAAGGAAACTCTAAAAGATAAACTTTAATTGGTACCAAATTAGAATTCGGTTAATAGCCTCCTCTGTCGAATGTGAGGGATCTAATGGAAGAATGGGCAATGACAAATCATTTCTCGCGCCTAGAAGCATTCCATTTATAAGTCAATTAATGCTGCATTAACCTCTTTCTTCTGCAGGTCTATTGCAGTTCCCATGTACCAAAGAGCGGACCCGGTCATCTCGATCAGACAGCGGTGGGCATTCGCCAGGCCCTGAATGCGCCGCGCACGAGCAAGTTCGTGAACGAACAGATTCGGGGCACGCGCACCGAGATTGACGGTGAGTAGGGGCTACAATTGATTCCTCGTGGCCCACAGCCTGGCTGACCGTTCTCCTGGCTTCGGCCTGTTCTGTTCTGTTTTGCAGGTGCCCCACTGGGCGGTTCGCGTCAATCCACGCCCAACGGCTACGTCGGCCGCGAGGTCAACTCCCCGTCACAAAACGAATCCGACTACAAGTACGGCCGCTTCGACGCCAGTGCCCTGCACATCGCCCATGCACTGAAGCAGACGGAGGTCCAGAAGGCCTACAATAAGGCGCGCGAGAAGCCGATTGATTTCTACCTGGTAAGTGACCATCGTTGATGGCAGCAGAAGCAGACCCAGACCCCACTCTGCCCCAAGAAGTGGCCGCAAATTAAGAGATTATTTAGTGCAGAACATGTAATGAAATTTTAAGTGGCTAGCGGTCCGCCGGCTGGTCAAGTGTGTATCCCCATCCCCTGTCTCTGCGTATCTTCAGTTGCCGCCAAGTTCTCTCCGAGCTCCAGCGATTGTGCAATGCTTCTGCGAGTATGTGCAGAGCCTAATTAATGCACTGCCAGCGCAAAGTCATGATTATGTAGGCTAGTGTGCTATTTGCACCTCTCTGAGGGGTTGCCTGCCATATCCAAAAGAAGCGAGAATGAGAAGAGGCTGTCCACGGGGGCGGAACACTAAGAAACCCTGCCAGATTGATAGAACATTACGAGTACTCGTATGCATATATAATAGTCATTCTCCCCTCTTCCAATATTCATCTAAAGACTATTGGGTACAAGTATTATTATCACTTAATATATAATGATTTAAGCAGCACCCAACTGATCTAGTTGGGGGAAATGGAAATCCACGCAGAGATTTCCATTCGAGTGGTGGTGGGGATGGACATGATCGCCCAGCTTGATTATAATTTATTATCGTGCTGCATCGGCACGGGTCCAGGTCTACGACTAATCTGGCTGGCTAATCTCTGCATGATGCTTGGGTGAAAGCATTATAATCGCATTCAAATCGCACAAGTTTTGCTTTTCTTTGCCACTGCCATTGCAAATGCCAAAAACCGATTTTTCTTTCACTTTCGAGAATGCCACACGCGAGTGGCCAGCAGCAGCAGCATCACCACCAGCACCACTAGGAGCATTAGCAGTACACCACCAACAAATATTTTTATTGCAACGCTCAATTTAACAAATTTCGAACAGGTGTCTGATGGCGGCACACACCACCGCAACAGCCACAACAAACAAACCACAAAAAAACAACATACATACATACATATGTGAAAAATTGCATGCATGCAATCATTAAAAATTTTCCATGTTTTACAACTGCCACGCACACTCCCTCCCTCACACACCACACACCAAACACTTGAGCCTGCGCCTGGGTCTAAGCCCGGGGCGGGCACACTATTTTGGCCAGCAGTGTGGCTGCCTGGAAGCATAGATTTCCATATACGGATACAAGTACAGCCGTGGCAGTGGCAGACATAGACACGTACAAGACAATGTGCCGTCACCGTCACTTGTTTTTCCGGCTGCGCTTGCGTTCGTTCGGTAAATCTAAATTATGCGCAGCACAGTGAAAGTAACGGCAAGCGAAGCTTTTGCCAGCGATAGCTTTTCTCTGCAGAGCGAGCGCCATTCTGATGGTGAAGCTTACGCTCCCACTATACTCTCTCTTCTGCACGCTCTCTCCTTTCCCTGTCTTGGGTGGTGGTGTCGGTGTCTTCAGACAAGCCATGCCCAGCCCAGCCCTTATGCAATGCACGCGTATTTAAACGCCATGTAATCGTCGTGTAATTTGGCGCGCCGATTCCATATAAAAGTCTCACGCAGCCGCAGCGCCAGCGGGACAGACAGGCAAAGCCACAGACACTTCCTCATAGCTGAAAGCTTTTTGCGCATTTCTGTCCAAACGCCAATTTTACAATTTATGCCACCGTTTTGGGCTTTTTTGTTGCTGCTGCTGGTTTTTCTGTTGTTGTTTGTGTGGCCGCTTGCGCAATAATTAATTTCAACATTTTTAGACTTTCGTTTTCGTTCGGTTTTGATTTGATTTGGTTTTGCTTTGCTTTTGATACGATTTGTACTCTGCTATTTCGCTATTCCGGTCTTTTTTTGCCTTTGTCACCGTGGGCGTCGCGTCGCATAACTGTACGTACTGCTTCTCGGCTTATGGTCATGTTCAAAACCAACTCTAAGCCGCTCACGCAATTCCCACCCCCATCCGCTGACCAGCGCAGCGCTTTGCCCATTGTCAATGGGGCTTTGAACCATTTAGTGGCTGCCAGCTGCTTATTACTTGATTTTGCTTTTGTTTCATACATATTTATATGTATATATGTAGTTATTGTTTTGAACTTGACATTGAATTTCGGCTTTAATTACACATTGTTTGGCCCGTTGCATGGCGCTAAATGCTTTCTGAATGCCCCTCTAGTGTACATATTCCCATGCGGAAGCTACGAGTATCAATTTGTCAGAGCTTTCAAACTGTATTTAGTTGGAAAGAATTGAGGTACTGGGGATACCCAAACCTATATTTTCTACTCTGTTTTGGTATATTTTAAAGACAATTGCTAATCTTTAGTCTCTCTGGGGGAGAGAGATTACATGTGGTTCTTGTAGTGAAATCTGTGATTGAGGTCCCACATAGGAATCATAAAGAACGACATTTTTTGTACCCTTTTGCCACACGAGTATAATGTAGGGAAATTGAGTGCAGCCCGCTGATGCGTAATTACGGCTGAGATCACTGCGAATGAGGTAACAACCATTTGTGGCATTGCCTGAGAAAACACTAGCCAGATTAGTGGTCACAGAGAGCGGGCGCACAGACCCGCAATTATTGTTGCACAAATGCAAACAGCAACGCAACGGTACATCCGATCACCGGCCAGCAATTATCGATGGACAGACGTGCACTTATCGATGGGCGCACGCAATGCGTGGCGAGTGTGTGGGCGGGATGGCGGCAGATGCAACTCCAGTTGGAGACGGGGTGGTGCCGGGCCGGGCCGGGCCGGCCGGTGCCTAATGCCAGACATTTAGCCGGGTCTGGTGGCAGCTCAGGCGTGGCATTATAATTAGCCAAGTTAACAAGCCAAGCATTGCAAAAACAACAACCCAAACCAAACGCTCGAAATGCATTCGGCGAAAATGCAGGTGGATGGATCGTTGCGAAAGCTTTCACCTAACATCTGTCCCGCTCTTCTGTTTATAGGCCCGCGAGGAGCAGGCTCACCTGGAGATGAAGCACCGCAAGGAGGAGGACGACCTGTATCGGAGATTTGCCAAGAAGCGCGAGGAGGAGGATCGCAAGATCCAAAGCGAGTTCCAGGACGAGTGGGAGCGCGAACTGCAGCGCCTGACGCACAAGTTCGAGAAGGAGTTGGCCACCTCACGACGCAGCCGGGACGAGGCCAACGTTCTGACGCTGCGGCACGAGCAGCAGAAGGAGGACCTGGAGAAGAACATGACCCTGCGCCGGAGCAAGAAGAAGGAGAGCATCACCCGGAAGATGCTGGAGCACGAGCGTTACGAGACCGCCGCCCTGGTGGACAGGCAGTCGAGCGAGATGCTGGAGCTGATCAGCGCCCGCCGCTCCGAGTACATGCAGAGCGAGAGCATCTTCCTGGATGATGAGTTCAGCGAGGGCGCCGTGCCCATCGAGTATCCGCTGAATGCCCCCGTTCCAGCACCGCCGGCGGTCAGTAAATTCCAGATCTACACGGACCCCATAGAGTTTGAGGATGTGGATCGCATTGCCATCTCCGTGGCCCAGGAGGACCAGAAGACGTTCACGGATCTGGTGCGCCAGCTGGTGGGACGCTGCACCACCGATATCGAGAAGGCCCGCACCATCTTCCGGTGGATCACAGTCAAGAACCTGAATGCCATGCACTTTGACGATGATCTGCGCGGCGACACGCCCATGGGCCTCCTGCGTGGCATCAAATATGGCACGGAGAGCTACCATGTCCTGTTCAAGCGCCTCTGCAGCTATGCCGGCCTCCACTGTGTCGTCATCAAGGGCTACTCGAAGAGCGCCGGCTACCAGCCCGGCGTGAAGTTCCAGGACTCACGATTCCGCAACTCCTGGAACGCCGTCTACGTGGCTGGTGCCTGGCGCTTCGTTCAATGCAACTGGGGAGCCCGCCACCTGGTCAATGCCAAGGAGGCTCCCAAGCAAGGACGCGGCAAGAACGACAGTCTGCGGTGAGTCCACTTAACAGCAGATCGAGAATGTGTCGGTATCTAATCCAAGTTTCTCCCTCTTCAGGTATGAGTATGATGACCATTATTTCCTCACCGATCCACGCGAGTTCATCTACGAGTTCTATCCGCTGCAAGAGGAATGGCAGCTACTGAAGCGTCCCATAACGTTGCGCGAGTTCGAGAATCTACCCTTTGTGCGCTCGCTCTTCTTCCGGTACGGCCTGCACTTTGCCGACGAGGGCTATGGGGCTGTGGTCTTCACGGACGACACTGGAGCGGCAACTGTGCGCATCGCTATGCCCACGGACATGCAGAGTTGCCTGATCTTCCACTACAATCTCAAGTTCTACGACAGCGACGAGGAGCTCTCCTACGATGGCGTCTCCCTCAAGAGATTCGTGATGCAGTCGGTGATCGGCAACATTGTGGCCTTCCGCGTGCACGCCCCATGTTCGGGCGCCTTTCTGCTGGACATCTTTGCCAATGCGGTGACGCCCCAGGAGTACCTAACCGGGGAGCCCATGAAGTTCAAGTCTGTTTGCAAATTCAAGGTGAGTTTCCCTCCCCGGACCTATATCCCTCCATCGTCTGCTCCTGCTAATGGGTGAGCTGACATTTTCTTCCGATCAGATCTGCTGCGAGGAGCTGCAGACGGTGATGGTGCCGCTGCCGGACTGTGCCAGCGGAGAATGGGGACCCACAAAGGCCACCCGCCTCTTCGGTCTCATTCCCATCACGCACCAGGTGGGTTAATTGGTCATTTACTCTGGTAAATATGTCAGTGCTTATTTACTTCGTGCTTTGCAGGATCCGCTCATCTTTGCCGGGCGCAGCCTGGATTTACAATTTCGTATGTCGCGTCCGCTGACAGATTTTATGGCCACGCTGCACAAGAATGGCATCGAGGAGAAGAAGCTGGCGAAATATGTGACTCACAGCACGCTGGACGACATTGTCACGTTCATCATTAAGTGAGTGCAGAAGGAAATGGAAAATTTAATAGCAATTCAGTGCAATCATTCCCGTTCCCGTTCTTGTTCTCAATCCCGTTTGTAGCTTTCCCGAGGAGGGTCAGTACGGACTCGACATTTACACGCGTGAACTGGGCGCCCCACAGCATCACCATCACCACAACAACAACTCCTCATCCTCCTCCGGCGAGAAACATTTGTTGACGCACTGTTGTAAATATTTAATCAACTCGTCCAAGCGGAATTGAATTGGTTCGGAGGGCGGAGCTGGACGTGGAGGCGTAGCTGTAGATGCATGGATGCATTCTTGGACATATGGAAGGCGGAAAGCGAAGCGGAGCAAACATACACACAAAATGCAATATTAATTATAGTCTATACTTAAGCGGGAGCTTAACAAATGTTTACCATATCACAAAAGTCCATTATGGAGGTGCTATCTGGCAGCAAACTGGCGAAAATTGAAATAATCCGATGATAACAATGCAGGAGGATGGATGGATGGATGGATGGATGATGACGATGAGAAGAATGATAATCGGAACTTGTAAATACTCTAGACTCTAATCATTAGACCTTAACGATGCCTAGTAATACCAACCCTAAAATCAGTTCTTAATTAAATTGTACATCTACCGATTAATGCTTAATAATTTATTACGTGAAACGCAATCAACTCTACATTCTACGAGTACACATATACATACATACATACATACACGTACGTACACACATATATACGCGTACATCCGACTTGAATTCGAAATGTTTAATGTTTTTGTTTTGTTTAAGCGTTCATAATGTGAATAAAACCTTATTATACAATTATCCTTCAAAGACTAATCGAAAGCACTTCCGTAGGCCGTCAGCCTTGCATCAAGTTTAATTATACTTTATTTGTTCATTCTTCTTATCGTACAGAATTTTAAGGTTGACTTTCCCCGTTCAAGAGCAGAAATGGTGTGGCTGAGAGAATGATGGTTGGGTTGTGTGGGGGAGGGAGATGCACGGTGTATGGGGCATGTGGCAGGGGACACTTATTGTTCCAGTTGTCGTCCTTTCCTTCTTTTCGGATTTTCTTTCTCTTTACGGGGGAATTTTTCACTTAAAGTTAAAGAAGAAATACATAAATTTCTTTCGTGTTTTTTTTGGAGGATGCTCTCTCGCTCTGTTCCTTTTCTTCTGTTAGTAAATTTAATTTTAAACGTGAAACGCAGCACATCTCGATGGTTATTGTTGTTGTTGTTTTTGCACTTGCATGTTGCTGTGTGTGGCTGTTGCTAAAGTTGTATTTGCCCACTTAAATGTTTCGCCTTCCATTCTCGTGCACACTGCAATGAGAGTTGTGGAGCGATGGCGGAAAGCCAAAGGAAAACATAATTAATTAACTTTTTAATGAACAGCAGATACAGCTGAATGAAGGTTGGTGTTGGTTGTTGGTGTGGTTGTATATAAGTGTGGATGGGTGTAGATGGGGGATGGGGTTGCAATGGATGCAGGATGCTGCGCGATATGCGATATGAGTTTGGATTGGGATAAGCCGTGACACAATTAGTAAATTAATAAACAAGTATTTTCTGTTTATTTTTTAATGCCGAGTTCCACTTAATTTGGTTAACCATCGATATACAATGAAGAGCACAGATGCACGCCGTAAGAAGACAAGGGATTTATTGTTATTAGCAGAGACCAAACAACAAAATCACTAGTCTTCCATACGGAATACACTCCCAGGAGAGGCCAATCGGTTAGTTAGTTTTGGATGGATGGTTGTTGGAGCGATTTGCGAGTTAAAAATATACGATATATAGATATGATACGATATCAAAAGCACTTAACACTTAGGACCCACGACTTGAGGCACCGTTTCCGAGTTAATTACGCACAGAATTAGCTTTTGGGGTGGGAGTTTGATTGGGATTAGGGCAGGTAATTTGTAATGTGTGTGTGTGTGTGTGTGTGTATGTGTGGTTTTGGGTTAGTCAAATGAGAAGGAGTTGAGTGCATACTTTGATCTGCTTAGTCTGTTTGCGACACCAACCTCTGTTGCAGCAGATACTGGGCCATTTGTATTTGCTTGGGCGTGCCCGAGATGGTGATTATGCGATCGTTCGAGTTGGGCAGGGGCTCGTCGATGGTTATGTACGCACTGGACTCATTCCGAATGCGGCGGATGCGGCCACCTCCCTTGCCAATGATGGCGCCAGCCAACTGAAAAACAAACAAAAATCATACAAATTAGCAATCAAATTGGACCCGAAACCAAGTCTGCTCCACCACTCACCTCCTTTGGAATGGTGACCTGTGTGCTGTTGTTGGGGTCATGACCCTGGGGCACATTAGTCGGAGCATTCGGGCTCCCGTTGCCGCCGTTGCTGCCGCCGCCAGCGTTGAAGCCACCAGCGCCATTAGCACCGCCCAGGGCTCCAACGCCCCCGTTGTTGGCACTGCCGCCTCCCAGGCCGTTGCCCAGGCTGCTGTTGCCGCCCTGATTCTGGCCGAAGCTGCCCAGGCTGGGCAGACTGTTGCTGCCGCCCTGGCTCTGGCTGAAATTGCCGAGACTCGGCAGGCTGTTGGCGCCCTGGCTCTGGCCAAAGCTGCCGTTGTTGCCCCCAAAGTCACCAGGACCGCCGCCAAAACCGTTGTTGCCAAAGCTGCCGCCACCGCCAAATGGCCCGCCGCTGCCACCACCAAAACCAGCGCCAGCAAAGCCACCGGCACCGCCACTGGCACCGCCAAAACCATCCACATCACCGCCACCGCCGTTGGCCCACGGATTGATGAAGGATTGTCGCGCTGGCCCATGCCGCCACCGCCGCCGCCGACTCCTACGCCAGCACCTCCGGTGCCTGCACCAAAGCGTTCAGCGCCACGTCCTCCACCGCCACTGCCGCGACCTCCGCCAGCATTACCGCCGAATCCTCCGCCGTTGCCGCCACCAGCAGCGCCGCCAGCACCAGCTGCTCCTGCTCCCCCGTTGCGGCTGCCTCCCCGCTGGCTGGGGCGAGTGCTGCCACTGCCGGTGCCATAGCCGCCGTACTCATCCGCATAGACGCGGTCGAAGTTCATCGGATCATAGTTGTGGATGGCCCCCTTGATGGGCGTGTCCCGAGTGAGGGTAATCACCTCACGCACCGCCTCGATGACCTGGGCCTGCTTGCCCACCGTCTGCACCACACGATCTGTGCTCTGCGGAGCCACATTGGAGAATACCTTCAAGAAGCGGCAGCCGATGCGCTGTAAGTGGAGAGATTAGAAAGGAGATTAGTTTCACATCGTACTGGATTTCTGGGAATATGGTTTTCCCGCTGAGACCCCGCACTATATCCATAGGACTAGGCCTAAGACTAATCCTAAGCCCAAAGGCCTATCATTTCCCGGAAATCAGAACAAAGAATGGCACACACACAGAGAGTGGTCAAGGTCTATTGAGAGCCGAGTTCAAATCAATTTGACCGTGACACAGACACTGGCCCTGACCCGTCCGTTTCTGTAGATATTCGTATGTGTGTCCTGCATCCTGCCACAGCGGGCAATGGCTCCTAAACAGCATGAAGCAGCAGCAGCAGCTGAAAGCGGCAGCAGATGTCAGAGGCAGGCACACAGAATGAGGTCTTCTACCTGCGGCATCGAATGGTTCGGGGCAGCTGCTTGTCTCTCGCTGGCTGCATGTAAAGTGGCAGGAAGTTCTTCTTGCCTCTGCCTCTGTCTGCTCCCCTCGGCTGGCTTTCTTGTCTGCAGCGGAAGTGTAAATGGGAAATTCGATAGCCACTTAAGAGGGGAAGCAGGTGGGGAGCGGATGGAACAGATTTCTGTGTGTGTGTGTGTGTGTGTGTGTCAATGCCTGGAGTCCCGAGTTCGTCCCGCTTCCGTTGCAGAGCCTTCGTTGCTTGGCGATTTCCTTAGTTTTTCATCAGTTTCATTGGTGCCGCCGCCTAACTGCTGCCTGCCGCTTGATGATTGCATCATTCCTAGGCCCATTGCGTGTTCCCTTCTCGACTCTCCCTGTCTTCGTGTGTGTGTGTTTGTATGTGTAGCAATGACCAAAGGCTGCGTCATGTTCCCTTCCAGCTATCCAGTTCTACCCTCTCCCCCCTTGGCTACAGCTACTCCCAGGCGACAACTCGTTGCGTGTGCTCCAGACAACAATGGCGACATCAAAATTCTGAAGTGTTTCCTCGACCCCCCACCCAATTCCCGCATGCCTTCATTCACATCACCCTTGTGGCAGAAGGGGCGCAGGATGTGGAGCCTTATGAATGGCCAGGCCAAATGAGTTGAGTCACACCAACACTCATACACGAAATACGAACATAAAAGAACGAGGTCCCATGAGCATTCCAGCGCCCAAGAATCCCTGAATCAAAATTATTAAATTAAAACATGACAATGCCACTACTCTCTCTCTGCCTCTGTTCCACTCTCGCTTGCTCTCTATTAACTGTATTTTTATGGCTGACACACATAGATAACAAATAGAAACTGTAGCATACTTTTTAGCTGTCCAACGAAACATACAATATTTATGGGCCAGGGCGTGTCGCCGCCTTCCCAAATCTATACCTTATATTCCCCAATTATTCGAGCTAACTCTTTTAGCTTTTTTCATTCTTTTTCTTTTTGGCGCCGTCCGACATGGACGCACACGCACATCCTCGCCACTGAGGCATGTGATGTGGATAGATATGCCAGCAATTGTTGTTAGAATTTGTACATAATTATTATTATTAATATAACTCAGGGAATCACCAACAACAAACCGATCATTTGAATGTGTAAATAAATATTTTAATGTACACAACTTTTTCTATACCTTTTAAAAGTTTGTTATCCACTTTGAAATTCCACACCATTTTCCACTTTACCGAATTTAAATTATATATTTATTTTTTTCATCACTGTTTTCTTAATTATATGAACAGCAGGAGCAGCAGCAGCACCGGACTGCTGCCAGATAGATGGAGACAACAGTGGAGGAACAGGACCGTGCACGACCAGCACCAATGTCGAAATAATTGGGTTCAACGATTGCCAGTTGCCATGTAAGGCGACAGAGACGCAGGCAGGACGTCGGCAGCGCACACACAGAGAGAGAGAGAGAACCAGAGAGAAAAAAATGGAAGCACACACAAACACGCGGCGCATATACAAAAAGGCAGGCAACAGCATGTGCGTCTCTTCTTCTTCCGATTCGTGTTAGCTTGTGTTTGTGTGTGTGTGTGTGTGTGTGTGCGTGTGTCATGTCAGGCCCAAAAAGGATACGCAGACAGGCTGCTGTGTGTGGCAGGGCAGCTGCTGCTCTTGCGATAACTCTGCCGCCGTCGCTGCTGCTCCTCTTCTCTGCTGTTCTGCTTTGCTCCCGCTGGCAGCAAACGGAACCGGTGTATTTCTTCAGTTCGCCTCATTTCAAAGTTTTCGTCTTTTTTCTTTTTTTTTTGTTGCTTTTTTGTTGTTGTTGTGTGCGCAGGCGCAGACGAGGAGGAGAACAAAAAAAAACCGAAAGTAAATGTTTTGGACATAATCCAACAACAACTTTACATAGTTCTACAAACACACACACACATTCGCACTTTTATATGTATGTGTGATATAAGACGAGAGCAAACTTCACACGAAGAGCGGGGACATCATTAACAACAAATCGCATTCAATTGATATGCAAAATCTTTAAGTGATTCATGTATGCATCGATGGTGCTCCATTAAAAGATTGTAGGGGATTACCAAGGCGGCTAAGATCCCCCTATCAGCCACCAGCACCAGAAGCAGCAGAATAAGCAGCAGCAGCAGACGAAGTAGAATATTGAGAGTGCCAGAGCCAGAGAAAGAGAGCATCTCAAGCACACAGTGCTGGTGGTTGGGTGGTTGGTGTTGGAGGGATAGCCAAAAGGCAATCAAAATTCACTTACGACAGCAGCAATTAAAAAACTTTTACCTACAGCTGCGGGCAAAATGATAGTAGTGCAAAACAGGCACACAAAATATGCAAAAAGCTGTTGGCTTTAATTGAGAAACAATTGTACGAGTATGTTAAAAGCTGTGATACTATTTTACTGACTACACCGGTTTTAATCACTCCCACACAGGCAGACAGGCAGGCAAATCTGGAGTACAGCTCTCCAGTTCTGTATCAATTACCGATGTCTGTTCGATATAGTACTCCTCCCTTCAAGTGGCTAGCTGAGAGCAGAGTGGGGAAGGAGGGATGCCACAAATAAGGCGGAAGAGTGGAAAAACCTTCAAAATAATTTTGTGTAGTGTGCGACCGAAAACTAAACCGGATATTGATACAATGTTTTCCCCCTTGCCTTCCCTGCTGATGCCACTAACTCCTGCTTCCGCCACTATAAACTGATGAATCAAATGATGATCAAAAAACTCGTTTTGGCAGCCAGAAAAGCTGTCGGATGCCAGGACGAAATTCGTTTCAATAAAGGGTGCCACAGAATTCTCGTCACAGAATTATATAGAAGGTTTGGTTTCTTAACTGAAGGTACTCTCAGTCCTATGGAATCAATGTATTTTCGAGTCAAGGATGGAAAATCACAGTAGTTTTCTCCCTCCCCCCTCCTCGTTTACTTACTTCAAAGTGTTTCTTTCTTTCTTTTTTGTAATAAATAATAGTATCTATTCTAATCTGGCCGTACCCTTACAAAAGGGCACCCTTTATGAGCAGTGGCATGTGGAGTTTACTGCGTAGCACCTGTTTGGCATTCATTAAGACGAACAGCGTGCAACAAATGTAAGCCGCAGGCGGCAGGCAGGCAGGCAGAGAGAGAGCAAGAAGAGTGCAGGAACAAAGCCAGGCGGCCCATTGGCACGCTCAATCCTCAAATGCATTTTAGGGCATTTTAGGATTTACAGACATACGCACAAAGGAGGACGGCTGCAGGATCAGTGTGTGGAGACGCAGTAGAAGCAGCAGCTGTCGCTCATTATTACTGCCGCTGCCTTGGCAGATGCCATTGTCCCCCGCCGCTCCTTCCTTGCTGCCTCCTTGGCACAGGACAAAATTTTACTGGTGGGGGCACACAGGCATGAAACCTGACGACTGAGTTGTTCTCTAGGCATTATATGTACACATACGAGTAGATATCCACATACTACCATAGGGAACACATGTCCGGACACACACAATGTGACAGGACCTGGCGCTCTGCGAGTTCGGGGGAGATGTGTATTAAGAATGATCTAGGGCAGAAATAGCAACAAGACTCTACCCCAGCCAAGATGTATTAGAAGCCAGAAGTAAGCAATTACTATAACCTCGGGCAAGGTACTTCCTTGGCAAGGGGAAAACCGAACGTAAACCGGCTTTGCTGAGGCCAAAGACAGAAAGCCAGAGCGGGAAATGGCTGAAGACAGAAGACTAAGGGAGAATGGGGAGACCAAATGGCTCACTAAATGGAAACAGCTGCTGCCCATGGCCAGGCCATGCCTTGCTGCTGCTGCTGCGGCTACGGCTGTTGCTGCCGCCGTTTTTCTTGCCGCAACAATGAAGATGGAAACGAGGACGACTTCCTTTTCAGCACAGACCAAAGAAAAGGTACAAATGTATAAACGACAAACACATGCTCTGAGGCAGACACAGTTGAGGATGCTGATGCTGCCCCACGGATGCTGATGCTGTTGCTGCTGCTGGAGGCTGATCGTCATCATCATCATCTGCTGTGGCCATCAAAGCAGTAGCTCAGCTCAGACGACAGCTGCAAGGATGCTGCACGTATAGGAAAGCCATAATAAAAGGAAGGAGTACGAGATAGAAGGACGCTTCTTTCTGCCTGCCGCCGCCGTGGACTTGTTGACCTCCATAGAAGTGTGCAGCAGCAGTAGCAGCAGCACAGAAATATGAATATGCATGAGGGGCAGCTTCATGGGAGACTAGGTGTGCGATATTATATTCAGAGCTGGCAGAAGGGGGAAACAAAGCAAAGTAAAGCAAAGAAAGCAAAGCCAGAAAAGCGTGCAGGACATTCCAATTAAAATGCAGTCCCACTCGTCGCTAATTAATGAGAGCCCTGCCAGCTCACCTGCTGCTGATACGCCTGGAAGGACATGCCTTCCACTTAACTGCATTTCCTATCCTAATTGAACGCAGCAGCACCTCTGATGGGGGAGACATTTCTGATTATTTTGAACTTGCGAATTGCGCAATTGAAAAGAGTTTCACGTCTGCTGCCACATGCAACCTGCCGACCTACCTATCCTCACGTGTCAGCAGTTATGAATGCACTAGACGAAGCTCAAGCCAGCTTCAGTAAAGCGGCGGCACTGACAAGTGTGTTATGAAAAAGGCGTAGTAGCAGCAGGACGTCAGCAACAGATTCCTTCTCCGCTGCATGAGCATTCACGTTCCACACACCCACACCGACACCGACACCGGCACCCACTTTCGCCCTTGTATTGCTATCCATTCGATCGATTCCCTCCCATCATCGATGGAGGTGCATTCTCCTGTCGCAAACAGAGAAATGCACGCGGAGCAGCCGACAGAAGGCAGCAGGAATGTATCCCCGTACAAAGTTTTCGATTTAGCCAAGCGCAAAGTTATGTTGACGGGTTTCAGCTTCACGTGGCACTGCCTCAGTCGCCCCCCTCACTCCGCTGCTGGGACCATCAAAAACATGTCAAATATTCCCACATAACCCATCCTGAATTGGATGTGCTTCTCATTCTCAGGCACACCATAACAGTTATAAGTCCAATTATGTTAACCTTCATGCCACAAGCGTCATGGATGGCTAGCGATGTCCGTTGACCGCAGACTACTGGGGTTGTGTGTGTGTGTGTGTGGTGGGGGATTGCAGCATTACAGGATTACCATGGACACGCGCGCACTCAGGACAGACATCTGCAGGGAAGGTACTCAAAAAGCGGAATAGCGGAAATACCTAAATTAAATAGGAGCATGTTTAAAATATTGAAAGGAAAACATGTTCCCAACGTTTTGCAGTAATTATTATGCCGACCATATTCATTACTGCAGCATTATGAAAATAGTTGGATCGAAGCATAATTAGTGCATACTTCAAGACTGTACTTCGGAGGTGGTAGAATACAAATAAAATATATATAATCTACCCCTTAATCATGCACACGACATGTATATATTTTTGTTTGCATACTCTACTATCTACTCTGTTTTTAGAGGAGCCCAGATTTAACGCGATAGCACGGAATGGAGTTTGAAGTAGAAATTGTTAGCATTTACTCACATCGCGTATCTCCTTGATCTTCTGTCCACCTTTGCCTATAACGCAGCCGGCCAAGCTCTGATGGATCAATAGGCGCACATCAAAGTCCTCATCGCGCTGCATGCAAAGAAAGCGATTGAATGGAATTGATTGGAGTGTTATCATATGTGAGGAGAATCATATCATATTACACTTGGGCGGGCGGCACTTACCTCTTCAAAGTATTTCAACATTTCGGTGATTATCTCCAGAGTTGCCTCGATATCCGCCGATATTTGGATGGTCCTGTGTTCGGTGTTGAGCGAGCAGTTGTTAGGCGTGCATAGAGATATGTATAGGATGGTGAGTGGATAGAAAAAGAGAGAGAGAGAGAGAGAAAAGTGAGGGGAAAAACACATATTAGAATTGCACATAACATTAACTAGAAATTAATTCAGGTCTAAAAATGGCCTTCTTTAATGTTTGTGGGGAGAACTAGAGAACAAACTTTGCCAGATAGAGAATCGGTGATAAAAATAGAGAACAAGAGGGAGAGAGATGGAGATTCCCCTCCCAAGTGCCATTCCATGTCACATCATATATCATAAAATACGAGTAATACCACCACAAGGACACACAAGACGCTTGCTGGGGGGACTTGGGATGTCGGCATATGGATGATCTCAGGATCTCAGGCCTTTCGATTCTCGGTTCCTTCAGAGTTTAAGCTCAGGCCGTGCATTTGGGATGGATTGGGCTTAGCATGGTACATGGACATGGTACATGGTACGGGGGTGCATTGTGGATTAGTATGCGATTAGGATTAGGTTTTTAGCGAGAGCGAGATCAAGTTAGATTCGGGCTAAGAAGGCTGACCTTCTGGTCAGCACAAACTACACACAAACTGGATATACGGGATATACATAAGATACTGTGCGCCTGGCATACGAGGAGGAGGAGGAGGCATAGGAGGACACAACACACAATATTAAGATAGATATTTGGATAGATTGTAGATAACTATAGCGCATACAGGACAAAGATATAGATATAGATATAGATATATATATATATCTATCTATGTGTATCTATATATGTATGGGTTAAGGTTAATGCTGACAAGAGCTCAAACTCGATGGGGTTTCGTGTTTGGCTCGGTTCTCGTCAATTCAATTTCAATATGGCTTGTACAGGAGGAGAGATGCAGATTATATAGTATCTAATAATTGGTAAGGTTAAAGATTTGTATGTGGTTTACCGTTCGGGGCCTTGGGAATCGTCGACAGACACAGCTGCTTTATACTGTGTGTGCCACACAGAGACGCACACACACACATATATAGTCGAAGACACGGGCGGACAGGCGGGCGTTATGTCAGGCAGGCGGGCAGACGGGCGGTCGGTCGGGCCAGACGGTCGATGGTTGGGCGGGCAGACAGGCGGTCATTCGGTCGATGGGCGTAATATACATATAGATTTTTTTTTTGTTTTTTCGATTTTGGATAATTTTTTTTTTTTTTTGGTTTGGTTGATTGATGCGCCATATATATAAATACATCACAGGGAGAAGGGACAGGGCCCAAGCATCCACATAGAGTGGGAATATGGGTTCATAGGCATATACATACACATATACATGGATGTTCAGATATCAGATTATATAGAATTCAATTCAATTCAATTCGATTCGATTGGATTTGGTATTGGTATTGGTATTTGGTATCATCGGGCCAGTTCAGATTCAGATTCGGATTCATATACAGATTCAGATTCGGGATACAGATCGATCGGTTACCCAGTACCCGGGTGGGACATATAGACCAGAGACCATGGAGACCAGCGGTGCAGAGTGACGGTGCGGGCGGGCGGGCCGGATGGTCGGTCGGGCGATTGTTTTTTTGGTCGGATCGGTTCAGATGATAATGTTGAAGATTTTGTTGGGCGTACGAAACCGACGATTTATTTCATTTTTCAAACAATTGGATTGGTTTTTGTTTTCGATTTGTTACATATATGGGGTTTACGCAAGAATAGAGAGAGAGAAAGAGAGAGAGAGAAGAGAGAGAGAGAGAAAATTGTTCATTTAGTTAAAAGGTTAATTAGCGTATAAAACTATCGTTTTATTGTTTGTTGTTGTAGATGTTGTTGCTGTTGCTATTGCTGCTGTTGTAGTTCTTGTTCCTATTTAGTTATTGTACTCAAAAACAGGGGGGGAAATTTTATTCTCCAAGTTTCATTTTAAACAAAACAAAAAAACAAAACAAAAAAATTAAGCGCCTTTAATACATTTCAGATTCAGATTTTTCTGCGATTACACATACGAAATATATATATAAGAAATATATCTATGGGTTGGAACTTCCTTTTTGGAGAAACGAAACGATAAATAAAGAGAAACCAGAGAAACTAGAGACGGTCGAGAGAGTGAGAGACAGGGGAAAGAGTTAAGCTGAGTGGCAGACACCCGTTAGTAAGTGAGAAGCGTGTTTTGGTCTTATTTTGATTCCTTGCTGCTGCAGAGAGAGACAGAGAGAGAGTGAGAAAGAGAGACAGACTGGCAGGATCCGCTTACAGAGACAGAAAGAGAGAATAGAGAGGGAAAAAGAGTGGTGGTGATAAGGGTGGTAAGGGTTTATGGTGTTGTAGGGACCAGACCGGCACAGAAGACAAAATTTGGTTCGGTTTTGGTTTGGTTTTAGCTTCGGTTCGGTTCGGATTGGATTGGAGCTCTCGTTCCTGGAGCTCCGAGTGGGTGGGAGAGGGGTAGAGACAGGATGCGAGATAGAGAGACAGTGAGAGAGTTCGCAGGAGAGAGACACACACACAATGACAGAGACAGAGAGACAGACGCTTTTGGGATGGAATCTCAAATGGTTTTCATTTGCTTTCGACTTTCTAATTTGTGGTGCAAAAAATAAAAATAATGTACTTGTAAATAATACTAGACTAGACGCTTTCAATTGTGATTGTTATGCAGATTTTTTTTTTTCTTTCTTTTTTTTTGGTTCTTTGAGTGATTGTCGTGGGTGGTTGGGAAGGGGTTTTTATTTCATATAGTACCTGAGTCCTCATCTTCTGGATGTGCTGTCCTCCCTTGCCGATCACAGCGCCAGCGATCTGCCAAAGAGAAAGAAATTAAAAGATCGAGAGATAAAGCGAGAGAGAAATTTTATTAGAAAAGACTCTCCACGGATATATGTACGTATATGCATGTATCACAGCAGCGATTCATCTGTTCATCGTACTTACACTGCTTGGAATTAGTATGCGCACGGTATCCTCATTACGGCGATTACGCTTCTGGTCCTGTGGTCCGTCTCCTGCATCGTTCATTTCACGCTTCATTCTTATACTCTCTGCAACATGTACAAGATCCGAAAAGGCAATTCGATTATACATTTATACCATATATATTTTAGGTAATGGTTCACTGCTCAGATACTACAATGCTGATCTCTGGTCGGTCGGAATCGAACTGATACACGGGGCGGAGCGGAGCTGCCTGCCGTCGCCAGATCAGCGACAAATAAATCGATGTGGGCCGATCAGAGTCACAGACATAGGCATCAGGTGAGTGGCAGCAAGTTGTCTGCTGCTCCACAATTAAAAAAAAAAAACAATTAAATTCAAGCCCGGCTTGGAGCCGATTCGTGAATCGCAGCTGCAGCTTCACATGGCTACGGATCCATCCGTGAGCCGTCGCTGGGTTGCATATACGCCCTAAAGCACCATCCAAAACAGAAATGGCGGAAATGCCAGACAGCCAACGCTCAACCAGAACTCTGTACGATATACGAGTGTGTGTGTGTGTGTGGCAGCCACTGCCACAACTGTCACACACTGTTTGCATAATTGAGAGCAAACGTGTGCAATAATACAATACAACATGTAACGAAAAATTATTCATTTATACAGAAAAATGCCAAGAGGCTGAGAGTTTGATTCAACTATTTGTCGGGGGGGCTTTGTCGGCGGACTCACTGCTGCCCACAGAAAAATACACAAACCTCCAATCATTTATATATAGATATATATATATTTTTTTTTTTTGTAATTTTTCTAGCACTTTGGGCCTTTTTGTATACCCTTTGACGGAAAGGTTAGCTGAGCTTTTTCAATCATTTCATTTAATATATGCAATATTACATCCAAACCTCTGTCTATATATCTAACATCTAACATTCCATTATTCTCCATCTTTATCGATTCATTTGCCAAACTATATTTATATATTTATATTTGTATCTATTTATCTGCTGGAAGGGTATTTGAAAAGTCGCCCTCTAAACATTTCGCTCTCTCATTTTGTTGGTACTTATTTGCTTTTATTTAATTTTATGGAGTTTCCATATGTCAAAACATCAATTGTCCAAGCTGCTGCTGCCGCTGCTGTTAAGTTGTCAAAAATCTGTCGGATATTCGTATAACAATGGCCAAAACGACGTCGGCAATGGAAGATTAAACGATTTTTTTCGAGGGCTCCCATTGGGGGAATGACTCAACTTGAAATTGAAATTAAAAATTGTTGAGCGAGACTGTACCACAAGTACTGTATAGGTGTTAGATGTGTGGGAAGAGCTTAGGGAAAGGGTTGCCAGCCATCGCCTTCAATTCGGGGGCACTTTTGAGATCAAATTGGCTAGAATTCCGACAAGGTAGCACACGGCCTCAAAAAGAGACCAAAATGTGGTTACTCTTTTTCTTTAAAAATTGTGAGAACAATTTAGGAAACTAAGAAAACTTCGGACAGTCTTATACTCCCATAAAATGATCTTGTAATCTATCACAGAATTACCTTGTTTTGCTTTTCAAACAAATATCACAATAAATCACAAATAAATATATTTGTGTTTTTTTTTAGGGGTACATCTTATAGATTTCCCTTACACATTCCACTGAATTTTCCAACTTTTTCACTCGACAGTTACATAATACTAAGACTTGTGACTTGTCTTTCGTCCAGATGATTTCAAAGGAGAGCAGAGCAGAGGTGCAGAGAGCACCGCTTATGTGTCCTGTACAAAAACTAATGAATAGTATCCGCCAGAACTAGCGCTATTTATATGAAAAATCCTTCGACATGGTGTCCTGGGGGCTGGCCAATCGGAAGCTATTGGGGATCGGATATATGACAGCGGAAATCGCTGACCAATAGAATTCGTACAAATGTACCAAGTGACAATACCTTAAAAAGGGGAAGTGCCTATGGGTACCGGATGCTAGGCAACCGCTATAATTGTACTGGACTGACCACAACACAAACTGTTCTATAGGGGAATACGGTATAGATAGAATAGTCCTTCCCTATGTACGAAACGTATCGAAGAATGTTTAGTCTCATTCTCGTGTATATACAATGATATTTTTGTGGGGGAGTAAGTGCATTTATTTCTATTGGAATTGTATGTACGCATATGTATGTTGTACGTATTTGGAGTATAGATTCTTTATATAAGAACACGTATCGATGCTCCACCTCCGAAAAAAACCAGCGTAAAGTACTATGTGAGTATTACATATGTATGTATATGATGACTAAATAATTTTATTCAAAATCAGATTCTTGAGCGCCTGCGGGATTCTTCTTAGCCCTGCCCTTGTAAAAAGTACCACAATCTTTGTTTATCTGAACGCTAGACATTAATGGAGAGCCTAAGTGGTATGTGGTAGTCAGTCACCCTGTACAAGAACTCACATCGCTCCACCTTTCCGCAGAACTATGTACATTATATACCTACATATATATATATATATACATATTGACAAATTATATAGTCACTGCCTATACATATGAACATATGTGTGTGGGGGGTGCGTAATGAATTTTCAGTTTGGCATTAGTCTAATAACCGAAGAAGTATGGGTGGGCCGTGGGGCTAATACACACATGTATGTGTATATAGACTCCCTTTTGGAGCAGCAGAAGGTAAAAAACTGCAGCCGTCGTGCAGTTTTCTTTGAATTTTAGATGAAACTTCAGCTGATGTTTTCCCATTATGCATATTTTAAATGGCAGCACCAGGAGTAGTAGTTGCCGTTGTCGTCGTTGTAGCAGTAGAAGGCGGTCGGTCCTCCCCGTTCTTCTAAGATAGCAAACCGTTTAACTATTGATAGAGCCCCCAATAATAGTCCCTCCAGAACGGTTCTACGGCTAAATGCCTGAGAAATGCAACAAATTGCGCTGACCTGGACAAATATCATTAGAGGGGTCTGGTCTATCTAGAATATGGATGTGAATGGATGAGGACGTCATTAGACTGCGATAGCAAGCTGCACTGTGGGGAAACCCAACACTTAAAATTCGCAGAAAAACCACACTGACTGAAACAAATATAGTTTAAGCGCAAATATGAATATTAAGTCGCAAATGAAGCTTCTATTCATAGCCAAAGTCATCTTGTAAGGGAAATGCCGCAAGCGGAGGTGGCCAGAAGATTGCTTCCGCTTTGCAGTACCTTCGATGGCCCCTGCGCACTGCTCTGATTGCATTTTGCGGTCAGTATGAGGCCAGCTCTTGTTTGCCAGGAGCATAACGCCGCCTTCTTCCCAGTGTACTGTACTGTAAATGCATTATTCAAGTAATTGCTGTAAAATCGAGAAACAGTAGCTCGTCAAAGGCATAGAACCCAGAGCCCACCCAATCCATGTGCTACACATAAAGCTAACCCCCACCACCCGACGCAAGCCACACCCGCACGCAGCCTAATGAAACTCTGAGAGCTGGAACAGCCGTTCCGAAGAGCTCAGAGATCTAATTATAGGGACAATTTCAAAGGCCCCAGGACGAGACCGAGGCACAGGCCCAGGCCCAGCCACAGGCCCAGGCCAAAAGAACCTTGGAAAGTTTGTGCCTGAAAGCGGAAGTGGCCAGAAGATTGCTTCCCCTTTGTGAGCACCTTCGATGCCCAGCACAGATTGCATTTAGCGGTCAGTGTGAGAAAAACGCTCCCATCGAGCGTAAGCACAGCTTCCCAGGAGCAGGGTAGAGGGCACAGCCAGGGGACAAGGACTGTGTAAAAGAGAGTGGAAGAGTAAAGCGAAGCTTTGGAATTCCTGAAAGTGACATAAATGACAGGTAAGCAATTATGTGAAAATCATTTGATTGCTGTCCACATCCTGTTCAAATAGCCTTTGACAGCGCACACGCCGCCGTCCCACCACCCATCGTTTCGACCTGGCCCCACATCCTCCCCCATCCAACAAACAACAACAAATGCAATAAGGACAATAATTTAAGTTGTTCGTCCCCCAGGCGAACGCGCTTGAAACTTTTTTTATACATATATGCCCCCCGGGCCCTCTGCACACACACACACACACACAAACATACAGGTGGGCTGGGTGACCACAAAACAAAAGAAAAACAGGAACAACAAAATAAATGAAGGGGGAGAGAGAGAGAGAGAAAGGGGGGATCACATGTCCAGCGAGACGTGGCAAACCACATGAAAACGCGCTTCGTGGCTACCCACCAAAGAGCAAAAGGAGTCGACCCCACACACAGAGGCACACACACTAATGCACACGCCCCATCGCTCTTATGCTCTGGCTTTCTGTGCCTGCTCTTTTAGAAGCATTGGTGATGTGCATGTGATTGCGCGTGCCAATCTAACCTTAAAACAAGATTATTCTCTTATGTAAATAAATGCCAAAGGTTCCATAGCTGGTAAGATGATTGAGGAAGAGCAATCTACTTACATTTTGTTTTTATAATAGAAACTAGCGAAAAATTGTCTATATGTATACCAAAATTTTGAATATTCAGCCTGGCTCAGTCTGCCTTAATTTTTTTTTTTTTTTAGAATTGGAATATAATTTCAAAGCCAGAAATAGAAATTTTCACGTTCACTTTAAACATATGTAGTTGTATTTGTATGGGAATCGGTAAAGATCACGCGATCCGTAAGCCAAAGTCGAAGACATGACGAGAAAGAATCGTAGAGCAATCGTGTCTCTTTCTTTCTATAAGTGGTGCCGTGTTGTATCACGTGTCACGTAGGCATCTCTCTCCTTACCGACCTATGTGTATGTGTATGTATGGCTAAGCCTTCAACTATCCCTTTCCTGTCCACTTCCACCTACACCCCTTCAGAATTCTTTTTTGCCAGCGTAATTGGGCGGTGGGTATATGCGTTCCAACTCTATAATTTAGCGGAAAAACAGCTAATGGACGCCATGTCCAACAACAGCAACAACAACAACACAATAACCCCAAGCCCAGATACCCAGACGAAAGAAGCAGGGCAAAGCGGAAATGCATACAATTGACAATTCTCATCGTCCGCGCTAGAAAAATAGATAGCCGCCCCCTTTTTCAGCCCTGTATATGCATATAAATATGTATGTGTATGTGTGTGTGTGTGCTGTCCACTTCAAGGCTTTTATGGACATGTCAGCGTGCTTAGCGAGCCAAGTCGGGAGCCAGCACCAGCCATCGACATCGCGTGTGTCTCTTTAGTGGGGGTGGGATAGGATAGGATAGGAGGTGGGGTTGATGTCGGGGTTCAGCTGGTCCCTGCGCTAATAACTAATGTGCTTATGGCGTGTGCCGTGTGTGTTCCTGTCCCGTTCTATCCTGTCCTGTCCCAACTTTCATGAAGAGTTAAACTACAGTAAAACTTGTCTTTGGCTGCCAGCTCTCCTTTTCTCCGCCCTAAAGTTGTTGAATTATTAAAAGACTTCGATTGAGAGGTACTTTGCTTCCTCCTCCTCCCCACCCACCCACTCAATCCTCTTTTCAGTTCTGTGTACCTTAAGCCGCCTTATCAACTGCATCTCGAGACATTCATCTTTGGCTAATTAATTGGAAATACAAGAATCATTGTGCAGCAGAAATAGAAATACCAGTCAAGGCTTCAAAATCAATAAAACTCGTTCGAGCTGTGCGGGAGGGTTGGGGTAGAGGGAAACTTGTTTCAAGTATTATTTTACGATTTGCATAAAAAAACATTCGCGCTGCTTCGTTTTTTCATTCGTCATTCGAGAAGACAAAAGCTATCAAAAAAGAATCATTGAGTGGAACATGTTTTGCGATTGCGAATGGCAATGGGGCTGAAGAGGCTCCCAAGAAGTGGGGAAAGAGAAGAGCGAATGATAGTCACATAGCATTTGCGTCAATGGCTAACAATTTCGTTGTTCTTGCATGGAGACCCCCCCCATCCGTCTACCCATGTCAACATAAGCCCAATAGATACTTATTAGATACATTTAAATGCGGGCAAGGGGAACAGACATTTGTACTATCTGGAATGGAACTGGAACGATGGTCATATGGGAAATCATCAAAGCGGGCAACATCCGACAGCGAATTGCGGTACAATGGCAGCCTCCCAGTTCCATATTATTTGTTATTTATTTCATTTTCCCCATGCTAAGCTGAGTGCATTGGAAACAAGGCGAGCATCATAAATTTTACATGATATATGGAAGCTCCACTCTGCCACTAGAGATGGGCGCGTGTGCAGCACGAGTACGCATGTAGAAAAATTACCAGTGCAGAGCATGGATTAGAAGAGTTTTTTATATATATTTAATTATTAGATATATTAGCACAGTCGATGACATATCTGTTGAATGATAAGATGTATTAAATTTATGGGATCTATTTACTGCTCGTGCAGGTGAGGTTTACACGAGCACGCACGATGTGGAGAAGATCACATCTCTAGCTCCTATTTACGAATGTACAAGAGAGTACACAAACAAAAGCAAAAACAAGGAGAGAACGAGTGCGAGAGCATTTGCGAGTGTATGTGTGTGGTTCCTAAAATATAGGCCGATACACCCCTCTAAAGAGAAATTTGTAGACATGTTTTGCAAAAGAACAAACATAGCCATAGAGCTCGCTCAATAAGCTGCAAAAAACATAATGGAAGTTCACTATTTACTAGAGAATTCAGTTCAATGTCAATGAACGCGCACAAACGGCTGGGAAATATCTATGCGATTGCTTCATACGAAATAAAGAATGCCGAAGCTACATGCCATCCTCATACATACACACACACACACAGAGCAAGCACACCAAACAAGGCAAATAAAAGCGAATTTTTTGCACAAAACTGGAAACTAAACAAAGCAAAAGAACAAGAACAAAAAGCAAAAGTCGAGGTCTCATAATAATTAATGGGAAAGGGAGAGAGGCTGTGACTAAAGTTAAGAGTGCCAGTGGGTGAGAAATCACAGCGAGGAGTAAATGGGGGGTAATAATGAGGTGTGCCTAGGTGGCACACACTCATTTATTGAAGATTTGTTTGCTTCGCTCATTATCAGACGACACGCAGATGTGTGTGAGAGAACACACAGATAACTCTCTCACTCTGTTCGACTCTTCGATAGATGCTGCTGAGGCAACAACAACCGTAACTATGAATAAAATATAGGTTAGGCCTCTTCCTAATATGTAAGTGGTCGAACGTTGAACTCGACTTGTTGTCGGCTCCAGCGAAGCGTGGGAGCTGTTTTGGAGTAATAACATCAGCGGCGAACGAGAGACAGAGGGAAATGAAACTATTTTGTTTTGATTTTATCTCTGCCGCAAAAAGAAAGACAAGACAAATAAATTATAATGAAATTATATGCGCCAGCACATGCGGTTGAGCGGGCGCTTCTCCCCCCGCCTTCTGTGGGTAAAAGCGCGTGGAGAAAAATAAAACAAAACAAGAGACTAAAGCGGATGAGACAACAACAGCAACGGCGGCGACTCTGTACCTGGGCCAAACGAAAGCCGGCCTGAGAGCGCAAGGGAGAGGACAAGAATGTATGTGTCTGTGTGTGCTCTGGTGGTTGTAAATGTAAAAGGGAAGCCAAAAGAACGATCTGGGCTGCGTGCGGGAGGGGGTTCCAAAGACACTGGCGGCGAAAAGTGAAGAAAAATCGGCATGCACTGTATGTATTGGCAAAACTTTTCACAGAAAATGTATCCGGGAAAACACAACACTTCACACACACATTCACCCCGTTTATTTGGCCCGCAAATTCGCTTTTTTCCCGTTTTCCAGCGCGTTCCCAGGAATACACTTACCTATCTGGATGGTTTGTCGTAGCTGCTTTGCGTTGCTACCACAATTTAAATGTTTGCTCTGATAAGCAATGCACAGAAATATATTTAACCACGAGTTGGTTACTTCAGCACTTGCTGAAAATATTTATTATTCAATTGTACAGAAAACACACGATAGAGTTAAAATTCACAGATGAATTGCAAAATGGCAGAAAAACACAAGAGGTGTCAAACCAAAGAGGGCACTATCGATAGTGTCGATATTTTGCTGCTAGCGTCTACTATCGATGGTTTTGAGACTATCATGATAGTATTGAGCTACAGTCGTTGCGCCTTTGATATGTTTGGATTGGCCGCTATAAAATACGAAGACAAATTTGTAAACAAATCGACAAACCATTTTTAGAATGGACAAGTTCCTAAGAAGTTTCAATGGGTTTTTAATTATTATTTGAGCCCGATACTATTACGATAGTATCGACTGTTTTTTTCAAAACATTCAACGTTGATATTCCTCGATTTTGATATTCCGTTTAATATTACTAGCTAGTTGGCACTCTCAGCCCTAAACAAATAATTTTATCCGATAGATACATACATTTTCTACAAGATTGGCAAGTTCTCAGAACTCCTTTATATTGGAATATTTACATATTGAGGCTCAAACAAAAACAACATAAAACGAATCTGACGTCGTTTTTGTGGCGCTGCCAGACTCGTGCAATTCGTAGTTGCTGCGGGCTGCCATACCATGATATTTTGTGATATGAAATTCGTCAATTTTGATATTCAGTTTAATATTACTGGATAGTTGCCCTCTCAGCCCTAAACAAATAATTTTATCCGATAGATACATAAATTTTCTATACCTTTGTATACCTTATTTCATTTAATTGATGTTAAATTTGTTGTTCCAAGCCCCATTGAAACATTAATAATGATTTTATCCTAGAAACGCGAAATCAAAAAAAAATCGTCAAACAGGAAGAAGAAGAAAAACAACCAAAGTTGCACAACAATGCTGTGCAACATTCTCATGTTGCTGAAAGAGAGCAAATTTTGAAAACCCACCACGATTTGAAACATTGAAACATTATTTATGATTTTATCCTTGATTGACATGTTTTTTACCTATTAATGCACATGTTTGTGTTTTATATATACATTTATCCCGGTTCTGATACCAATTATTGGAACCCGTGAGCTGCAAAATTTCGTTAATATCTTTAAAACAGAGAATGAGTAGTTTCTGCATTAATTGGAGCCTGAAATTACAAACAATATCTCAAGTCCATAATATCCAATTTTCCCAAGGTATGCAGATTGTTTCTCATTCCGTGCCAAAGTTGCACAACAATGCTGCTACTTCATTTCCCCATGTTGCTGAAATTTTTCCCATACAAATAAATTTATCTTACGGGAACGCCTAGGAACGTCGTAACAATGAATCTAAGTTTCACGTTCCCGTAAGATAAATGTGGCTCCCACCACGAAAAGGAGGGGAAAGTCACCACGAAAACGCTCTCTTCACCTCGGAAAAGAGAGAAAATTTTAAAAAACCACCACGAATTGAGAGCGCAAAATGTCAGTATTTTTTGTGTGCTAAATGAGTTTGGCGGTCATTTTCAAAAGTATATATATGGAAAAATAAATATTTCACTTGATTTGTTTTGTCGAGTGTGACTGGAACCATATGCCGTAAATATACCGATTAAAAAAATAGCTTAACCCCGCTCTATTTAATCAGGTTAGTAACCGGTAAATATAAAAAAAACACTTTTTTGAACAATCTTAGTATTATTTCGCTTAAAATATAGCATTTAATAGAATTTTTTAATAATAATTATTTGAGCCCGATACTATCAGTGATACCGATATCCTCGTTTGGATAAAATATATCAAATACGATATTTCAGTGCGATAGGTGGAACGAATTCCGCGTACTATTTTGAAAATACTTTAGCCGGTGGATGAAAATACAATTTTTTCCCGCACATATCATACAAAAATTGATGGTCTGAATATTTACACAGGCCCCATTTAGACACACAATGCTCTTCCAATGGCTTTTAAAAAAAAAAAAAATTTAATCGTTTTTAGTATTTTCTAAAATTTTCATTCCTTACTTTCTCCAAACTGGTCACACCTAAATAGGCAAACACTTTGTTGTGCATTTTTTGAATTAAATCGCATTTGGCTGTTTCGCTTTTAAAGTGTAATAATGTCTGCACAGAACACCGAACCAGGCCACGAGGACATAGAGGCTGCCTTCAATCGTCACAGCAAAATTGTGCCCGAGGTGAAACGGGCCTACCAGGAAGCTATTGATCAAGTTTTTGCGGATCTCAGGCATGCGGCAGATTCTTGCAACTAAAAACAATTTTCCTATTAATGTCATATATATTTTTCACCATGCAGTGCGGAAGATCTGGCGCCCTTTGCGGCCATTCACTCAGAGCACGGGGACACTTACTTGGCCACCGATGAACTGGTGGGTTCCATGCGTAACAAAATGACGGCCATACTGAGCCAACTGAACCAGCACTTTTTTGACAGCAACGATGTGGAAAGGAAGCTGGTCGAACTGGAAATGCTAAAGGAGAAGTTTGCCCCCTATGAAGGCCACAATTGGTTGGTTCTTCGCCTGCACTTGTCGCCCTGCATGCCCTGACTTGCTTTCTTTTCAGGAACGTCAACCGCTTGTCCCCGGAGGACTACACGCGTCCGGTGCGCATGCGCCTGTTGGATTCCAGTATCCGCGTCATGGAGAGGGAGTTGGCAGCACAGGATAAGGCAATTGAGGTCTGTCTTCCGCTCAATCGCCACTAAACGCGAGGATTAATTCGTAATTGTTTCATTACAGGTTGCTGTGGCCATAAGCAAATCTAATCGAGAGCTATTGCAGAGCCTGCAGAACGAACGCGTTAAAACGAACGCCGCGATGGAAAAGCAGATAAACCAGTACACGGAACTGGATCCGACCCTATTGCAGCTCGAGCAGTCGATCAATGATTCGTTTTTGCCACCAGGCTTTGATCCACTATAATCCAAACGATATTGTTTTGTTAATATATTTTGGTTTACATATACATAATGTTTGATGTCTTTTTTGTGGTGCCACCATACCTTGTGGTATATTCCGTGCAGGACGTGCAGCAGCAAAAGGCAAAATCAGTTATTCCCAATGGAACGCTCGAGCAATGATTCGATTTTGTATCTATAATAAATGCAATATTGTTCCGTGTTCATGGATTGGATTATACCGCGGTCGAATTTGAGCTTTGATTTTGGTCTGCATATAAAACAGTCTTTAGCCGTAAGAGTCGATATTGGACAAGAATGGACTCCTAAAATGTTCATCATACATACATACATATATTCCGGGCATGTGTTTTTTTTTGTAAATCGAGGCATGCATATACACACATATAGAAGGCCATGTGCGTTAGTGTGTGGCTCTTGCGCGGAGTTCGTCGGTAAATTCGAACACTTGTGCAAATTGAAAGTGCTGCCTATTTTTTATTGTCCTATATAGGACATATGGAAGGGGAAATACGTGTGTGTGTGTGGCCCCGCTTTTGTGCTTAAATTCGCACGAGAAATCAATTTTGTCAGAATCGATCGTTATTCACAGTCCTCCTTCTGATATATTTCCGCATTCCTGGCGTATTTTTGTGGGTCTACCACCAAAGCTTAGGAAAAATCGTGCACACTTATTGAAGGCTACACGTGTTTGTTAGTGTGTGGGTATTGCGCCGGCATTCATGTATAGAAAGCTGCACACTTGTGCGAATGGAAAGTGCTGCCTATTTTGTGTCGTGTGTAAATGTGTTGGTGTGTGCTTTTTGAGTCGTATTTTGGATTCAATTTGAACGAGAAATACAGTGTTCAGAGACGAGTTAATCATTGATTAGAATCCTCTTATCTTTTTAAATATTCCTGGCTTAGGTATTCTGGGTCATATTACCAAAACTCCGGCAAATCAGCAATTTTCACACCTACACCTGTGTTGGTGTGTACTTTTTGCGAGCGTTCATGTATAGCCGCACACTTGTGCGAACTGAAAGTGCTGCCTATTTTTTCGAGCTGTCATTCGATGTCGCTGCCGCGCAGGGTCAGAACCCTATAAATTCGGGGACACAGGCGATTTCGTTCTTTTTAATTCCCAGTCGCCGAGTAAGTAAGGAGGTGAGCTCGCTCCCTGACAAACAAGAAAGTGAGAAATCAAAGTGAAAAAAAACGTGCTCCGCATTTATGTGCAAAACTATTTTCGGTTTCAAGGCTACGATTCCGTAAATATTCGAGGTGATGTTAGACTTATCTTGTTACTGTACGATCAGTCTTTCCTCACCTCGAAAATTTGTTGAAAATTGTGCATTTGCCAGTTCGAGTGTGCGGAAAACTTACAGCTTGAGACGCCACGTGTAGAGTTGCGCCATTTTGTTTTAACAGAAATTAACACGGCGCGTTGTGACTTTGTTCTTTGCTATTTAAACGCCACAATTTGCCAGGCGTCGATCTGGAATGAGCATTCAACCAGTTTTAAACGATTTGTATTAATAAAAATTCCGCTTTGATTCCGCTTGGAAATTTTAAAAATTGAATATCAGTTTGGTGGTGTGCTCTCCATAGTGCAGCGTGATAATTATATGAATGCGTATTTTGAACTAAACATTTTGTGCAAATATTAAAATCAAATTGGGTTCTGTTTAAGTATTAGTACAAATAGGGCCCAGTTTGGTTTTCATATTTAACCAAATTTTACACCGACCTTCGCAGCGCTACAGTCGCTCATACAAAAACACATGTACATACATACATATGTACGAGAACGCATGATTCCGCCATTTTCCAAGAAATTCTCGCTGTCGGTTGCGAGCTTCGGGACAAAAAAAAAAAACACCAATACCAATGCAAAAATCCGTCGTGCTGCCTGTCTCTTTCTAGCGGCTCGTCGTTGATATCGGCATACCCATACACATATGTACCTATGCGCACATCTCGAATGTTCATATGTTATATATGTATATTTCTATGAATATTTGGAAAATTTTATGATCCAATTGGACACCGTTTGAATATTGTTACAAATTGTGTTTAGTTTGATCATAATATTAAACCAAATTGAAAATCGCCAACATAAACATAAAAGGTTTTCCAAGGTTTCTCGCCTTGCTTCGGGCTTCAAAGATCCGTTTTGGCGCCGTTGTGGTGCCTCTATGTTTGTCTCGTTTTCGCGTCGTTTGCTGTCCAGCATATTTTTTTCATTCCCTTTTGTCCCTGCCGAGGCAGAGACAAACAAAAGCTATGGCGAATGATGTGGACAAAGAAGAGATGTCAAATGTGTTGTTGTTTTTCTTTGTGCGTTTGACTTCTATTTCTTTGAGATCGTTGTCCGATCTGCTGCATTCTGTTTTCGGTAGTTCGCGAGTGCGGCGAAAGTGAAAAGTTAGTTGCGTATTGGTTCGGTCGTTACCTTCGGGTTGGTGGATGGGCAAATACTTTGTTTTATTAATCAGTATTGCACGTCCTTCAGCCTGAAAGTGCCTGTTGCTGGGTTCATCAAATAAATAGGGAATTATTAATCGGTAAACAAAAAATGATCAGTGAACAAGGGAAGCCTGTGATGAATCGAACTGCTTTGATTTGTAGGCCGGGGTTCCTGCAAATGCGGATTCTTAAACGTATTGCACTAGCCCCGGTCCATAGAATAATAGCAAAAAGCTACGATTTAAATATTGATCGGAAGAAGCTCAAAGAATATCTGTGCTGACGGCGCATTGCTACGTAATTCTAAAAAAGTGCAGATTGAGAAGTGAACAAATGACCGGCAACTAATTTATAGGCACGAACTAGTGACAATATTTTGGTTATTAATAAATATTGCACTTTTTCGTGCCTATAAATTTGAATGTCTCTTCTACTATTCAGAAATATCTTAAAAGTGATTCGATTTATAGCTGAAACTAATTTCAATGAAGACATAAACATCAGCGATCAACCATTTAAATTATTCCTTAATTATTTTCAGGACAGAGATTGTGCAATACATTTTCGTTTTTTAAATATATTGTCAATCTCTGTCACGAAAATATTCAAGGTTTTCTGCAAACACATATCGGTAGAAAGTGGAATATCATAAGTGAGTCAGTTCTGTGAATAATGACAAAAAATGTATAGTCTTGAATCTGTGCCAATATATAAGTTCTTAATTATTATGGCACTTTTTCAGGCCTATTCATTTCAGTGTCTCGGTCTACAGATTAATTTCTTCAAAGTGATTTCAAATCATAACTAAAGGTTAAATGTGCTGTGATAAACTACAAAAACATTTATAGGTGAGAAACAGTGTCAATGTTTCTTTTATTTTTGTAATATTGCACCGTTTCTTGTCTCTAAATTTAATTGTCTTGTCTAAAAGTAACTCTAAAATAATGATATCTTGGGCACTTTATTTTGCCCTTGTTCTCTTTGAAATTCCTTTTCGCGAGAAATAAAATGCCGTTATACGGAACAGCAGTGTAGCAGCACACGAAGTCAAGGGGTGCGAGCGAGATGGAGATGGATACACAGTTACAAGCACACATTTATTTTGTTCCTTTCTTTCCTCTTTGTGCTTTTGGATCAGAGAGGAATTGCTGGCGTACCGAGAGTGCAAAGCCGTAACAGTTATAAAATGTATATTTGTGTGTGACTTTGTTTTTTTATTCCTCTTTGCTCTTTATTGTCTTTGAATGTTTTGCAGAGTTGCCAGATGTGCGCATTGAGACGTTGGATCTAGTTCATACTATCTGGTTCTCTCTTCGTGGGTTCTTATATTATATTATTTTTTTTGGTAGGGGCTATTAATTGAATTGGGTTAAAGACTGGCATTAAATAGTTTAATTAACATACATTCCTATAATTTAATTTTAGCTGAGTATTCCCCTCTAAATGTTGCAACAAAGTAATAATAACAGGCACTCCGAATGAAATCAGCAATTTTAATTAGTGAGCTCCGCTGGTTGCATTTGTTTGCACGTGATTTACCGTTGCCGCCATGCATTATCTGCCCGCCACCAGCTCCATCGCGGCGGAGAGCCTGTGGCCAGTCTTTTGTCTAATGATGGGATGGTCATTGGTTTGGAAAACTAACAAGAAGAGGCAGCACCTCTTGAATAATGCACCAGCACGCGCGAAGCCAACAAGTGTGAAATTGGGCGACGGTATGGTGGAATTAAAGGTGTTGGTCCTAACTGTGCGCCAGATGACCACCAAAGGAACGGTGCACTGCATCGGCCTCTCCAAGGGAGGCGCCGCAGATGAACAGCAAGTACCGTAAGTTTCAGCGTTTATCCATGTGTTACATTTAACTGATTTTGAACTGATATTTCCCAACCCACTCCCCGCAGGGCACTTGCTGACATCGGTGAGAATCTGCCATTCGTGCTGATAGCAAACACAATTACATAAATGTTTGTTTGGCCAACAATAGACAGCTGCAGCAGTGGCAGCAGCAGAAACGGCAACCACAACGACAAGATTGCATAATTGCTTGTAGCAAAAATGCTCCCACAATTTCTCATCTCCGTCATGAGACAAACGAGCCGGCTGATTGTTATCTCTCAATTCTGGCCGACAGAGAGGGAGAACGAAACGAGAGCAGCGCTACGATACAATCCTCCAACAGTAATGTAAGCTTCTGTTACTCTCTTTGGCAAGCTTTTGCATGGAAAAGCTTCTCTGTTGGCAGAGATGCGTAGAAGCCACAGTGGATCGACTGGAATCGTGATTAAATTACGTCTGCTTAAAATCGTAAAGAATTATCTTATCTATTGGGAACGAAAAACGAGCGTTCGAAGTTTCATATTCCGATGGGAACTCTTTCTCTTCCTCGTCCAGTGCGGCGCCTCCTGGGGAGTGGGGTAGATATATGGAATATAGGAAATATACAGGGTAGTATAACGTTGTGGCACGTGTGCTGCTACTCTCAACTTTTCTACTGGTTCAAATGACTAACTTTTATGCAATGCAGTGCACTGTAGACACCGCGCAGCGAATTTCTCTCTTTCGTGACTCTGACTCTGCCCCTCTTTGTGGGCTCTCTCTCGCGATCGCTAACGCTTGCTCGGGGCTGAAGCGGCTTCAAGTGAGTTTGTTACCTGGCGACCAGCAAACAGCTAAGACGTGTCCGTACTCCTCCGTCTCGTGGTCTTCCACTCAGCATGTAAGGCCCCCGTCTGTCCAGTCGTGTTTTGTGTTGTGTGTGTTCGCGTTTCGTTTTTTATTTGCCGTTGTCATTTGGTTTTTGATTTGTTGAGTATTGGACGGACTCCATTCGGCCGCCACTTTGCTGCCTCTTGGGCATTCTCTTCTGGCTTTGTTTCATAATAATTTGCCGTCTGTGCGCCGCCAAGTTTGTGTGTGTGTGTGTGTGAGTATGTGTTGTGCTTGTGAAAACGACAAAAAGGCCAAAGAAGAATACAAATGAAATGTTATGGCCCGCCGCCGCTGGTTGTGGAGCAAGTGCCGTTTGTTCTGAATGATTATAATAAATAATATGCCGTTTGTCTTTCCGTTTTCCGACAAATTAGATTCGAAATTTTTGGGAAATGCCGCCTCGTTCAATGCAAATGTGGCGCACTCTGTGGCTGACGGCCCTCTGCTGTGGATTAGCCCAGGCCAAAGGTAAGCTAAGCTACACGCCGTAAATTAAGCTCAAGGTGCAAGCTGAAAGCTTTGCAAGCTCCCCTCTTTCTGCCAGCCAGCAGCATCGCAACGTGATGTCATTTTGTGCGCAATGAAATGGAAAATATTTGTGTATTTTGGCCACACCGAATCCGCGCTAAGGTGACCTCGTTTTCAGTCATGTGGAGTACACATTTTGTGGCCATTTGAACTGATGGCCAAATTTAACGATCGTTAAGTGTGCGGGTGCGGTTGCGGGCGATGGTCATCGCTGCGTCACAGCAAAGCTTGTTATTTCTTTGACGAAAGACTGAGGCAACGAACTTGGTGCTCAAGTGTGTGTGGCCCTGTCATGATTTACTCACCGACAGCCAGAGCTGAGCTCTCTTCCTGCCTTATAAGCGGAATGGTTTGGGACTGGGATTGGGATGGATGGCCATGCACGGCAAATTCTCGGCATATGTATGCCCTGGCACATTAGTCATTAGCTGAGAACCTGGTACTGGAACTGGTAGCCGTAGCCCTGCTGTCTTACAACTAAACAAACGAACCAACGATCAAGGCGCGGCGCGGTGCGGCAAAAAAAACAAAAGAAACAGCAAGACACCTACACAAACACACCTGGTGACGGGGAGGGGGTTTGGGGTGGGGCCTGGAACATGACACGTTCAAAACAAAAAAAAACAACATCCAAGGCAACGAGATAATATCGAAGAGAGAATTATGAAAAAAAATGCGATAAATGAAAAATAAAGCTATAAGCCCCCACAAGGTAGAAACGATCGAGTATTGGTTGGGCCTTATTAAAAGGCAAATCAAAAAGGAAAGGAGAATTAACAGCCCGCCCTCTCCCGCCAGTCGGTCCTCTCTTTGGCAAGTGCAAAAAAGTTACGCGAGAAAAATGAAGAAATAAAAGCGAAATAAAGCTGAATCAGGCGACACTCGACTCGACTCGACTTGGACGCCGACGTGTAGGCGAACTGGTCTCGGGAATTAAGATGCAGCCTAAAAATACATAAAACAGATACAATATATAATAATATATGTATATGTGTGTGCATCTCCATATCTGGTAGTACACACACACCCATACAGTAAGAAATCTATAGAAAAAGCTGAAGACGAGGCTATAATTTACGGGAGAACTCTCCTCCGTTTGCTCTCCTCCGAAGCGAGACAAGAGCGGCACCAGAAGGCGGCAGCAGCAGCAGCAGCAACAGACGGAGCTGAAAGCCAAATTATATCTTTGCCAACTGTTGAATCGGCGCGGATGACGAGGAGGAGGAGGAGGCAACGGGGGCGTGTCTGACTAACTAAAGCGAAACTTTTGTTTGTCTGGGGGTCTGTTGCATTAGGAAAAGTAAAAGTCTCTGGCTTGTGCGTTGAAAACTCTTCGAGTTTTGTATGAAAGCCAGTAAAGTTCTCTTCGTATTTCTCCACTGAATCTTTGCCACTGGAGTGGAGATCGGTATCGGATGCTCGGATTGTCAAATTGAGAAGAAACGACACTGGATGATGTCATCGCTGCCTTGGTGGGCAGCGGCAACGGCAGCCTCCACAGTCCAGTGCACACAATGATGGGATGATGACCTTCCCCACCAAGCAAACGTCCGCCCCCCTCATGCAACAAAACTGACAAATCATCGAACTGTGATTAACTCGTTTAATTGCCGGCTGTGCAGCGCCAACACGCGACCTTGTGGAGCCTCCTCGTTCTCCTCCTGAAGACCGCTGCCGCTGCCACAGCCACATCAAGATCGTTTAATTTATGGCCAGAACGAATGTATGACTGAAGAACTGGCCATATAGATATAATAAATTGTCGTCTATCGCAGAGGCTGTAAATCTTCCCATCCGCCGTTGTCGCTTCCACAGCCGCCCTCTCTCCATTTAAATAACATGAAGAGAGCGAGACAGGAGGCAGAGATCGAGCATTGTCGCATTAAGACAAAACATTGACATTGCATTGTGATGGGATGGGATGGGGGATGGGATCGAAGGAGGAGCAGTCGAGGGTGGGTCGCGACAACGTGGATGGAACAATAATGATCAGCGGATCTGTGACAGGCAACAGAGAGCTAGCCACAGGGGAGACTCTCCGCCCCAGCGGCCAAGAAGGACAACACAACAAACGAAATGCTCGTAATAAAGAAATTGCCAAAGTCTCGAGACCCAGAACCAGACCGAGACCAAGACCAAGACTCCAAGACACCACATCTATGTCCATGTCCATGTCCAAGCTTCGCCACATTATGCCAGCGGGCTTAGGCTCAGACTCAGAGACAGAGCATTGGGATGACCACAGCAGCGGCCAAGAGGAAGAGCCAAGACCAAGACGATGACCATGATGATGATGATGAAGCTGATGCCACACAAGGCAAATAAACCGCTTCGGCATCGGCTGTGGCTGTGGCTTTGGCCAAGAGAGACTTGGACTTCGCTTTACATTTTTGCCTTATGTGTGCGAAAAATGCCAATTTTAGAGCAAGTCCAGCTCCCCAATGGCTATGTCTGTGTGTGTTTTGGTGTCTGTGTGTGTGAAAAATTGCCCGTCTAGACAAGCGCAACAGGCCATAACAGCCCCAGCAGCAACAACAACAACAGCAACAAGCAACGAGAGGAACAAGAACAATCAAAGCCTTTTGCTAAGCTAATAAAATCGAGCCGCTGCTTCTTCGGTGCAGACTCGTGTCTGCTACATGGATGCTGGGTTGCTCCTGCCACCTACCCTGCCGCTGTCCCTGCCGCTATATACCCACTCCCGCTGAACTCTTAACCCATTAATGGCACTCAATGTTGGAGTGGCTGACCCAGAGAAATGATGCGGATGGGTGAACACGTTTGGGCCTCATACGAGTACGAGTATTTGATCGATGTGTGGGAATGTTTTTGGTGGAATGTCAATGGATACATGCTGCACATGGGATCCTTTAAAGTTTAAACACCTGCAATGAAACGATGCCTGCACTTCGGTTGGGTCTACAAATCAATACAGAAATTGATCCTTGAACATTGAAGGCATTCGCTGATTTGACTCTTGGGTTAAGTCTGTGGTTTCTGCTGCTGAATGCTGTTTCCTCTTTTGCCATTCATCCTCTGTCGCTTAACTCTTAGCCCATTAAGGAACACTTCTCATAAATGATATGATGGAAATCGGAAAATATCAATGAATACGAAGAGATATCTCTTTTTTTTTTTAGCTATTTCCGCAAGTTTACCAAGGGTTAAGGTCGTTGGTGGCTGCAACAATGCCTGCTGCCCTTGCCCCTGGATAGGTGGGAAGGGGGCTGGGGTCTGAAGCCTGGCCCAGACCTTCTTCTTCGCCAGGCTCCGCGCGGCAATGGGCAGATTAAAAGCTCGCGATAACAAAACGAGCAAATCGAATAGAGAGGCGGCTTGCTTAAAGGGCAAGTTCTGGACCTGCAGCGGACAGCCGACTCTGAAGATCAGCCGGAGGCAGGGGCCCTGCCCAAGTACTCGTACTTTGGGCCGCCCTTTGTTGGCCGCCCAGGCATTTGTCATCAAGTGCCTGGGCATCCTTTTGTTTGCCGGCACATCTTTTATTGAATAATAATCCGATTGCCCTTTCGACCAGACAAAGACAACTTCACTTGTTCTGGCTTCAGCTTCAGCTTTGGCTTAAGCTTGGATATGTGGATATGGATATGGTCATGTCTTTGTTGGCTTTGTCTACGATTTGGGGCTTTAATTAGTTCAACTTTGGGCCCAGACGCAGACAGCGGAGCAGACAGGGGAGGGATTTGGCAGCTTTGGGGCAACACTGCATCGATTGGCGTTTACCGTTATGCGCTGACCATTTTGGCAACAAGTTGCTACTCGAAATCGGAGAGAGAGGGAGAGAGAGAGAGAGAGTAGAGGTGAGGCGGCCTAAAAGGCTTTCGGCTTTCAACTTTTCCTTTGGCCACTGTACAATCAATTCGCGCGTCCGTCCCAAGGCAATTTCAATCGGTGGCGACTCCAAAACACATGTGCGGCGTGTGGCGCGAATTGCGTAAGAAGAGTGACCAGAGCGGAGAAAGAGAGTAAGAGGGGTGGGAAGCAAGCAGTGGCTAACTGTATATGTACTCTCGACCACTAACGGGTTTGGCACGGCACGGCACTCCTCCGGCACCGGCACTGGCTCTCGCTCCGGCTCCGGCTCGAAGCCAACCCAAGCATAAGGCATGCGTATTACACAAGACTAATTGTAT